GGAGCTTGGACTGAAATAACAAACAGTACAAATAGTACCAAGTAACAATGTAACAGGGGCCTGACTTCACACCCACATTAACTCCGGTCCTGTGAACAGAGCCGAGTCTTAAAGGCTTCCTGGGACACGAGGGGAGGGGGCACCATCTGAAACTGGAAATGCTGATCCAGAAGGTGGTGATGAGTATGTCTCAATGTTGGCAACTTTAAGATGTGTGAACTTCAACTTCCAGAAATTTTCAGCCAGCATATTGGCTGGAGAATTCTGGGGTTTGAGGTTCATGCATCTTAAAAGTTGCCAAGATTGGAAAACACTGGTGGGGACCAGGATAGAGAAAGCATATTTGCTCTGTCCTGCAAGAAGGCAGCATTTAACTAAAGGGAACCTCTTTTAAATGGCCCCAGTTTCACCCACGGAATTCCTTGTGGTCTCTCATCCGAGGGTTAACCACCTTTTGTTCTTTGGGATGGTGGCTCAGGCAGAATCAATAAGGGAGTGGCAATGGCTGGTTCTTAATAACAAAAGAGGATTTCCTTCTCCAATGCCATCTGGAATAGCTGGAGGAATGCCATAAAATTTATCAAAATTATTATCTACTCAAGGATTGATGGGGATTGATTCTTGCATTAAAGCAGTGGTTCTCAACCTGTGGGTCGGGACCCCATTTGAGGTCGAACGACCATTTCATGGGGGTCGCCAAACAATGCAGTCCGCCATTTTCCCCCCCTTTTCCTTAGCTGTGCTACTCCCTTTTATTCTATTGGCTTTTGAAAGCCAATAGAATAGACTCTCTTGAATAGAGTCTAATTCTATTGGCTTTCAAAAGCCAATAGGAATTATCCAGGCTGTCTCTGCCCTGCTGAGCCCGCCAAAAGTCCCATTCTGCAAACGGTGCTGCACCAGTTGAGTAGTCCTCGACTTACGACCGGTTGAGTAGTCCTCGACTTACGACCGGTTGGGGGTCGCGGCATTAAAAAGGTTGAGAACCACTGCATTAAAGGAACAGAGATACTTTATCCCAAAAGGCTTTTCCACTTAGGTGAAATGGCAATTGCCAGAGACAAATTGTTCCCTATTATACTTTCCATGTCTTCTTCCAGAAGCTCTTAGACTGGATGTAATTTATCAATTTAACAGTAGTTTAAACAAGTACCTCTCCCAGGGTTTTCCAATCAATACAGCTAGTCCTTGACTTACAGTCATTTGTTTAGTGACCGTTCAAAGCTACAATAGCACTGAAAGTACCGTTAGTACTTTATGATTGTTTTTCACACTTAAAATTGTTGCAGCGTCCCCGTGCTCACGTGATCAAGATTCGGCACTTGGCAACTGGCACTTATTTATGACAGTCGCACTGACCCGGGTTTGGGATTCCCTTAACAACCACATGGTTCACTTAACATAAAACATATAAGGAACGGCTGCTGGAATTGGGTATGTCTAGTTTAACAAAGAGAAGGACGAGGGGGGACGTGATAGCAGTGTTCCAATATCTCAGGGGCTGCCCCAAAGAAGAGGGAGTCAAGCTATTCTCCAAAGCGCCTGAAGGCAGGACAAGAAGTAACGGATGGAAACTAATCAAGGAGAGAAGCAACCTAGAACTAAGGAGAAACTTCCTGACAGTGAGAACAATTAATCAGTGGAACAACCTGCCTCCAGAAGCGGTGAATGCTCCAACACTGGAAGTTCTTAAGAAGAAACTGGACAGCCATTTGTCTGAAATGGTATAGGGTTTCCTGCCTGAGCAGGGGGTTGGACTTGATGATCTCCAAGGTCCCTTCCAACTTTATTATTATTATTATTATGGATCATTGCACAGTCAGCCAGATGTTCAGACTGGATTTGGCATTTTGTCTACCTATTGAGTCCTTACCCAGGACCTGGGATAGGCAGATGTGGATGTTTGATGGTATTACAGGTATCGTCGCAGGATGGAAGCAGTTCCTATTATTATTATTATTATTACAACCACGATTCATTTACCAGCGGTGGCACAAAAAGTAGCAAAATGGGACACAGCTCACTTAAACAAGCGCCTTCTCAGTGGAAATGCTTGGGCTCAATTGGGGTTGTAAGTCAAGGAACGCCTGCATTTGCCTTCCAGGCCCCCCCCCCAAAGTAAACCGCCACTTTTCCCCTCTCGAACAGATGCTGTTATGAGAAGATTTGATCAAACCCAGTTTCCGATAAAGCATCAGTCACTTCAACCAGCGGTATCCCTCTTGAATTTTTTTTTCTTTTTTTCAGCAGAAAGTCATTTATGCAGGCAGTCCTTGACTTACAACTGTTCCTTTAGTGACTGTTTGAAGTTACGACAGAGCTGGGGGAAAAAGTGCCTCACACTGAAAAAGGGGCAAACCGGAAAGCAGTTCAGAAGGATGAAACATTTTAATTGTTTATGTTTATAACTGCTTTACAAAGGAAAATTCAAGAGCAAGGCCAAGGAAAACTTTATTGTTTTGGTTTTATGCCGCCCAAAGTCACTTCCTTGTGAAATAGGCAGCTCTATATAAATTAGACAGACAAACTGACAGATGATAGATAGATAGATAGATAGATAGATAGATAGATAGATAGATAGATATAAATAGATAGAGACAGATAGATATAGATAGATAGATATAGAGATAGAGAGAGAGAGAGAGAGATAGATAGATAGATAGATAGAGATAGACAGATAGAGATAGATAGAGATAGATAGATAGATAGATAGATAGATAGATAGATAGATAGATAGATAGATAGATATAGATCAGTGGTTCTCAACCTGTGGGTCGGGACCCCATTTGGGGTTGAACGACCATTTCATGGGGGTCACCAAACAAGGCTGTCCGCCATTTTTTTCCCCTTTTCTTTGGCCACGCCTCTGGCACCCGGTGATGTATAAGTGGTTGGGGTTCACCACAACATGAGGAACTGTATTATGGGGTCGCTGCATTAGAAAGGTTGAGAACCACTGAGAGAGAGAGAGAGAGAGAGAGAGAGAGAGAGAGAGAGAGAGAGAGAGAGAGAGAGAGAGAGAGAGAGAGAGAAGAGAGGTAAGAGAGAGAGAGAGGAGATAGCTAAAGCTTGACAAAATCTCTTAATAAAAATATCCAAACCCAAACAGTAATTCATGTCAATGCATTCTAAAAAGACAGACCCATTTCCAACTTTTTCACATGGAAAAGACTGCGGAAAGTGGTGCCGTGAGTACTGTAAAAAATGAAATGATGGAAATAAAGAGCAAAAGGTTTTGAAAATTTACACCGGTGCGAAGGGCAGTTGTCTGAAATCAAGAGTAAAGGGTGGGTGGTCAGTATAGAAAAAGCAGGCCTGGTTTTTTGAGGCCAGCCAGCCCGCCCAGGAGATTTTTCCCACGGTTGCTCTGCTGTCTGATCCTGCTTTCTCCTCTCCCCCACGCCCGGCTGGCTGGCTCTGACTCTCTCTGGTCTGCCTTCCTTCCGTAGAAGCTCAACGCCCTCCCTCCCTTGGCAGAACCGACATTTGCAGCCTTGTTCTCTGGGCTTCTCTGCATCTCTGCTGGACATTCTTGATGCATTACTTCATTGTTGTCTGAAAAGGCTCTGCTGCTGCTGCGATGTGCTTGTGTGTCTGTCTGGGTGTTTGTGCAAGTGTGTCTACGGGAATCAAGGATAGTGAAGAATTACATATGTGGGTATCAGCAAAACTAGCGATTCTCTCTCTCTCTCTCTCTCTCTCTCTCTCTCTCTCTCTCTCCTTAATCTATGGGTTTTGGGTGTGCCTTGGAAGGAAAGGAATGGGGGGGAGCTTCTGAGGAAGTTGGGGTCACTAACAGCTCAGGAAGCCTTTGTGCAATAGGGAACGAGATGAATCGGTCCTAAGAAATGACTAGAGCGGAAAAAATAGAAACTAGGAAACTCACACCTGTCTTAGATCAGATGATGTTTGACAGACCAGTTGAAAGTTTGGATGGCTTTGCCCCTAAAGATGGCACCTGCATCCAAGCTCTGTGTGTACGGGGGGGGGGGTGATCTTCGGCAGCTTCATTTGACTATGCCATGCTTCTGGGGCCTGAGAGCAAATGGGTATCCACAGTAAAGGCTGTTTGTGAGGCTTTCTTCATAATGTTGAGGAAATGTTGGTCCTCTCTCTTTGGGCGCTGTTTTTTGACTTCCCGGTCCATTGTTTCCCAACTTCGGCAGCTTTAAGATGGGTGGACTTCAACTCCCAGAATTCTCCAGTCAGCTATGCTCTCTTTGCTCAATCTAGGTCAAGGGTAGGCAACCTTGGCTCTTTTATGACTTGTGGACTTCAACTCCCAGAATTCCTGAGCCAGCATGGGGGAACTATGGCCCCTTCATGACTCGTGGACTTCAACTCCCAGAATTCCTGAGCCAGCCATGCTGAGGGGAGAGAGGTTTCCAAGCTGAGCCATGCTGGCTCAGGAATTCTGGAGTTGAAGTCCACGAGTCATAAAAGAGCCAAGGTTGCCTACCCCTGGCCTAGGCCGCTTTATGAGTTGTGGACTTCAACTCCCAGAATTCCTGAGCCAGCATGGCTCAGCTTGGAAACCTCTCCCTTTCCCTTCAGCATGGCTGGCTCAGGAATTCTGGAAGTTGAAGTCCACGAGTCATAAAAGAGCCAAGGTTGCCTACCCCTGATCTAGGTATTTTGGGGGTGCCTTGGAAGGAAAGAAATGGGGGGAGCTTGTGGGGGAATTGGGATTATTCACAGTTCAGGAAGCCCTCGTGGAAGAGGAGGAACAAAATGAATCAATCCTAAGAAATGACTAGAGGGGAAAAACAGAAACTAGAAAAACAGAAACCAAAAAATAGCAAGCGGGAGAATTCTGGATGCTGTGCTCCACCCATCTTAAAGTTGCCAAGTTGAAACACACTGTTCTAGTCTAATCCACAGCATGAGGCTTTCCTCATGGTCTTTCATCCAGGGACAGCATCCTTCTAAAACAGCACTTGTAATTTTTGATCGTATCAGCAGCTAAGTGAGATTTGAGCCAGCCAATGTCTGTCTTGCAGCCCCTGGTCGGACCCTGTCGGAAGTGATGCCAGCGCCTCGAAATGAACAGACGGCGTCCTTGGGGGGGAAGGCAGAGGCTCAGTCCGGCCGCCAGACCCCGCCAGCCCTCCATCCAGCAGTCCTGTCTCAGCCAGCTGCAGCTGCGACACTGCCAGCCCCAAATGAACTCGCTGGTGCCAAGACCCCCACCACACCTGTCTCGGAAGCACGTTCTGCCCTCCGGACTCGCCAGCCCAGCCCCCTGCCTGCTGCCCCACTTCCAGAAGCAGAGACCTTGCCTCCTAAGAGTGATCGCCCCCCACCCATCGGAGCCCCGAGTCCGCCTCAAACAGAGGAGACGCGTGGCAGTACCCGTCTGCCCCCCAAAAGCGAGCAGCCTCCCCCTGCCCAAGGTTCAGGCACTGCCAGGACAAAACAAGGTAGGCTTTTTTTGTAGTGGAACCAACATACTGAGGGCATCTAGGGCAGTGGCAGCGAACCTGTGGCACGCGTGCCAGAGGTGGCACTCAGAGCTCTCTCTATGGGCACGCGTGCTGTCGCCTCAGCCCCACCTCCCCCGCGGCCCCCTCCTCACCAGCAGCCCCCCTGGAGGAGAGTCGCCCCCGGGCGCAGTCTGCACGCAGCAGCACAGCTAGTTAGCAGGGACAAGACTCTGCCCTCACGCTCCATAGCGTGCATATGATGCTGCGGGGTGTGGGCGGAGGGCGTGGCTGCCTGGGCGCTGCAGGCCTACCTGGGCGATCTGTGGCGGGCCATGGAGGCGGTGCGTGGCCCTGTGGGTGGGCGGGGCAGGGGGTGGAGCAGGCAGGACGGGAGGCGGAGCAGGGGCAGGGGGCGGGTTTTGGGCACTCGGTCTCTAAAAGGTTCGTCATCGCTGATCTAGGCGGTGCCTGGGACGCTGTTGCTCACAAATCATAGCATTTTCTTTCCATTTTGTGCCAAAGGTCCGTAGGTCCAGTCAGCCGTAAATATCCCTACAGGTAGTCCGCAACTTACCACACTTGGTTTAGTGACCGTTCAAAGTTACAAGGGCACTGCAAAAAGTGACTTACGACCATTTTTCACACAACCACTGCAGCATTCTTCCTGGCCACACCTGGCAACTGACTCATCTTTATGACGGTTGCAGTGTTCTGGGGTCATATGATTCCCCCTTGACAAGCAAAGTCAATGGGGGAGCAGATTCAATGAACAACCCTGTTACTAATTTAACAACTGCAGGGATTCACTTAAGAATTTGTGGCAATGAAGGTCGTAAAATGGGGCAAAACAGCTGCCTTGCTTAGTGACAGAAATTTTGGGCTCGGTTGTCGTCGTAAGTCAAGGACGACCTGTGCTGTTTTCTTTAGAAGCAAAGAAGTTAATTTAGCCCTAACTGCAAGTTCATCGTCTTCGCAATTCATCCGACTTTCCCTTCATTGTTCTGATGCCTTTGGATTCTCTTTCTTTCAGATTCTCAAAAGGCCCAGGCGAGACACAGAATGGCCCGGGAGCGTCGTGAAGAACGAGCCAAACATCTGGGTAAGGAGGAGGCTGTCTAACATCTGTACCACAGGATTCGTGATGGGGGGGGATCATCTCATTGAGCCATGTCAGGCTTTCAAATCCAGATTGACAGTCTGGTTATTTCACCTTTTTTTTTTCAACCTGGTGTTTTCTAGGTCAGTGGTTCTCAACCTGTGGGTCGGGACCCCATTTGGGGTCGAATGACCATTTCACGGGGGTCGCCAAACCATGCTGTCCGCCATTTTTTTCCCTTTTCCCTAGCTGTCCTACTCCCTCCTATTGGTGGCCACACCCACTTGGGGGTCACCACAACATGGGGAACTGTATTATGGGGTCACGGCATTAGAAAGGTTGAGAACCACTGTTCTAGGTGATTTGACCAGGTTCCTATCTTGCTCAGCCCTCCAGGCAGAGGATGGGGATGATGGGAGATGCCATCCAATGCATTTAGATGACTTTTGGAGTCATCTCACTGAGCCATGTCAGGCCTTCAAATCCTGATTTATGGTCTAGTTATTTCACTTTCTTTTTCAACCTGGTGTTCTCTAGGTCAGTGATGGTGAACCTTTTAGAGACCAATTGCCCAAATTGCAACCCAAAACCCACTTATGTATCGTCGGGTGCCGGGTGGGCGTGGCCCATTGGCTGGGTGTGACCAATTCAGTGGGTGTGGCTTCAGTAGTAACAGCAGACTGGGTAGGACTAAAAAGTTCAATCAATCAATTCCAACTTTGCGAGATCTTTTTTTTTCCCCGCGAGAATTTGAAATTGATTGATTGAACCTGGAAGTTTTTAAGAAGAGACTGGACAGCCATTTGTCCGAAATGGTGTAGGGTTTCCTGCCTGAGCAGGGGGTTGGACTAGATGACCTCCAAGGTCCCTTCCAACTTTACGACTATTACTATTACTATCACTAACCTTCTTTTTTTTTTTTGTACATGGTGGTGGAGGCCTAAAGCAAAAAGGGATTATAAAACCCAGCTGAAGGCCTAGGACTGGGGTGACGGCGCATGTGCCTACAGAAAGGGCTCTGCGTGCCACCTGTGGCACGCGTGCCATAGGTTCGCCACCACGGCTCTAGGTGAACTGACTAGGTTCCTTTCTTGCCCGGCCCTCTACACAGAGGATGGGGATGATGGGAATTGTCATCCAATGACAATTAAGGAGACTCTAGATTCAGGAAATTCTGCCCTTTTTCCCTTCAAGACTAAGCCCAATTGGGGGGGGGGGGATCAAGACTAACATGCTTTTCTTGCTGTTGTATTCATGGCCAAACTTAGTGTTTGTGATTGTGAACAAAATGTCCTTTCATTCTTCCCCCCTGACAGGAGAATGAAAGTGAGAAAGCACCTCCAAATGACTGAATTTACACAGAATATATCAAGTGAGAGAAAGGATTTGGGGACCTTTATTTCCCTGTGAATCCCCAAATTTAAGCTTATCACTTACTTGATTGTTTTCTTCCTTTCCACTTTCTAAAAGAAAAAAGAAAAAAAGAAAGATGAATTCTAGTATTGTTGACAATTAAACATAACAACAACCCATCACTGCCAATCAAGTGTAACATTTTCCTGTCAGAATTGTAAAAGAATTTAGTTAGTTCTCATCCCCCTCACCCCATCATTCACGATATTTTGATAGATTCCCCCCCCAAAATTGGGAGTCTATCAAAACACATTACGTAAAACTCTTTAACATATAAAATCAAGTAAAATATAATACCAATTCCATCAGCTTTCTTCTACATCAGGGGCCTTCAAACCTGGCCCTTTTATGACTTGTGGACTTCAACTCCCAGAATTCCTCAGCCAGCGTGCCTGGCTGAGGAATTCTGGGAATTGAAGTCCACAAGTCATAAAAGGGCCAAGTTTGAAGACCCCTGTCTTATACCGAAGGGTTCCTGGACAGGCAGGTTCAGAAACAGCTGGCCCAAATAAACTAGATGATACGTCCTTAAGTTGAGCATACTCTGGAGTAAATCAGATTCAGTTTTAATGCTTCAAAAATTGACTTCCTCAGAGTTGGTTATTATGAGATGCTTAGTTTATATTTAGATGTAGACACTGTTTTCAAACTCCCCAGTGTATGTTTTTCATAGATTAAAAACTTTGTCTCAACCTTTCAAGTTAAACAGTTACTGAGAGACTGCCTAGCAATAAATCTCAAATGATGGAAAAGTAAACTCATCTTTGTGAACAGATATTTGCGCTTTAGAAACCTGCAAGCTTGCAAGATGCCCTTGCTGACAATATTGGTTCAAAAACCTTGTAAATTCCATGCAACCAATATGATAGATAGGATAATCCAATTTGCTCGGTGTTCAGGTAAATTTCGTGTCCAATATCCATTCCCAATTCATGTATTAATAAATAGGAATCTTGATTGCTGAACCAGCTATAAAACATAACCAGTATGTAATAAAATCTTATGCTCTTTCCCTTCCTGCTCTATGGGATATATTCTGAATTTCTAATCAGTCAGGCAAGGGGTTCTGAATTAAACAGAGAATGAGACAAAGGATACACTTGGCAACGTAAATTGGCCCAAGGAGAGGGTACACTATAAATAATCGCCCCTGATTTAGGAGTTGGATAATTCAGATCAATCCAAAACAAAATTCTTAGAGAAGCCCAAATCTCTCTCTCTCTCTCTCTCTCTCTCTCTCTCTCTCTCACACACACACACACACACACACACACACACACACATACACACACTCTTCCGAGAGCCATATCAAAAACTTTGGAAACTTTCAGCATCCACGAAATCAGGGGAAATCTTGTATATTTTCAGTTAAAGCAAGAACATCCATTTTTGTTCAAAGTTGGCAGTCTTGTATAAATCTAGCCTAAGTGGGATCCGTTATTCTTGGGAGAGGCCCTTGGAATCAATTCAGGTGCCATGTTCACGCTTGGTGAAACTTTTGGGCACCAGGGACCGGTTACGTGGAGAGAGGTTTTTCCACGGATTGGCAGTGTGTGTGGGGGGGGGAGGGGGCGTTGTGTGCTGCCTGCATCCCATGGATGGGGCTTTTCTTGTTTGTGTGGACCGGTTGCTGGCATGCTGCAGCCTGGTACTGATCCACAGACCGGGGGTTGGGGACCCCTGTCTTACAGATATATTGGACTACAATTCCCATCATTAGCTGCCTTTCACTTTTCCTTCCTTCCCTTTTGATTCTCTTTCACATTTCCTTCCTTCCTTCCTTCCTTCCTTCCTTCCTTCCTTCCTTCCTTCCTTCCTTCCTTCCTTCCTTCCTCCCTCCCTCCCCTCCCCTCCCTTCCCTTCCCTTCCCTTCCCAATGTCTTCTAAGTATATTGGACTATGATTCCCATCATTAGCCCAATGCAGCAAGCCTGTGTCCCATCCCCCCCCCCCAGTGCATTCCAAAAGGGAAGGGACAAAGAATGGGAACTCAGGAAATTGAAATTCAACCTGGTTGAAATGTGATTAAATTCTTCACGGGGATGGCTTACCCTTCTGTCACGCTAAAAAGCACATTACAGAGGGGCCGGACACAAAGCCTTCCGAAGGCCCAGGGCGCATGGCCCTCTCAGTTGCTCTGTGGGTCTGGGAAGATCCCTTCTGCAGGTCACTTCTCGGCTAAGGAGGCTCCTTGTCTCCAACTGTTGTGGGTCTGTGGCCTTGTATTGGGCAGGGTGGTCTTTTCTGCTCCAGCCCCCCTCCCCGCTCTTCCCTCGCAGCAGTGGCAGTTCACCCTCTGCCCCTTTCCACTCCCCTTCCCCAATTGTCTGGCCTGAATGTGCTTTTCAGTTGAGCTTCCCATTTCTTTTGTGTTCAGCCTTTGCCGGCATCTCACTTCCCTCTTCTCTTGCTTCTGCCTCAGCAGCTGTCGCCAGCTGTGCAGATCACTCCTGAAGCTGGGGATGAAGCTGCTGCAACACTTTCCACCCCCTCCCTCTCTCCTCACTTATTCCTCCTTCCCTCCCTCTTTCTCATTTTTGTTTCCTCTCTCTTCTTCCTCCTTCTTTCCTTCCCTCCTTTTCTCTTTTCTTCCTTCTTTTCCTCCTTCCTTCTTTCTTTTTTTTTTCTTCCCTCCCTCTTCTTTCTCCTTCCTTCCCTCCCTTTCTTTTCTTCCTTCCCTTTCTTTTTTCTCTCTTTCCTCCCTCTTCTTTCTTCCTTCCATTTCTTTTCTTCCTTCTTTTCCTTCCTTCCTTCCTTCCCTCTTTCTTTTTTCTTTCTTCCCTCCCTCTTTTCTCCTTCCTTCCCTCCTTTTCTCTTTTCTTCCTTCTTTTCCTCCTTCCTTCCTTCCCTCTTTCTTTTTTCTTTCTTTCCTCCCTCTTCTTTCTCTTTCCTTCCTTCCTTCCCTCCCTCTCGACTCTTTTGGGGTCCTCAAAATCAGCACGTGCATCAATTTTAATTTTTAATAAAATAAATATTGATCAACCCAATCCCTCTAAACAAACACGCAATGTTGAAGAGGGACAGGCTCCTGAAACAAACAAACAAAAAGACCAAGAAACAGTGCTGTAAATTAAAGGTGTGGGATCCTTGGTGCTCTCTGCACCTCGTTGTTTTCCTGCAGACGTTTCATTACCCAAGTAGGTAACGTCATCAGTGCTAAAGCTGGCTGAGATGCCTTTTACAGCTCTTGCAGGGTGGGCTTCATCCAGCTGGCCCTTAAAAAAAAATGAAAAAGCCCCACATTTCACGAGAAGTTAAGAAGCTCCAGGAGTGAGTCCGAAGGTGTCCTGGGCAGGAGGCATTGCCTGTATCTAAACCTCTCACTCTTTCTTCTTCTTTCTTTGCACACCCTTGAACAGCTGCCAAACGGGCAGTGTGGTTGGAGAAGGAAGAGAAGGCCCGCATGCTGAGGGAAAAACAGCTGGAAGAGAGACGGAGGAGGCTGGAGGAGCAGCGAGTGCGAGCAGAGAAGCGGCGAGCCGCCCTGGAAGAACGCCAGCGCCAAAAGGTGGAGAGGAACAAGGTCGGTTTGAGAGGTTCTCGGGTGGGGTCAAAGAGGAATCAAACAGCCAGGCAAGCTGTGGGTCACCAACGTTGGCTCACTCCACGGCTACGGTGTCCCGAAAGGGAACAGGAGCAAAGGCGTCTTGTTCCCTCCACGATGTCTTTCCCGGTTTTATGAGAAATGTTTCAAGGTGGTTGTGTAAAAATATAAAAGCTTTTTGGATTGAGATATGGTGGAATATTCAAAGAATTTTTAGAAGAAGGATAAAATTTACCCCACAATTGTTTTTGTTAGGTATTGTTTCTGATTGTGATAGTAAAGAGACTATATTGATGTTAAATTTAATTACAGCGGCCAGGTTGTTAGTAGGGCAATGTTGGAAGAAGGAATCTTTGCCTACTTTGCAAGAGTGGTTTTTTGAAAGTTTCTTATTTGGCGGAAATGGCAAAGATTTCGGCTTTCTTGAAAGATCAACCGCAAGAGAAGCACCTCCTGGTATGGAAAAAATGGATAGATTTCATACAATATAAGTTGGATATAAAAAAATATTATTTAGTTTTTGAATAATTTATATTTAAAATTTAAGATATTTCATAGACATTTTTTTAATTTTTTAATTTTTCTTTTTTTTATTTGATTTTTTCTTTTTCTGTTTCTTTTTTTCTTTCTTCTTGTATTTTTTATATATTGTTGTTAACTATTTTATAATTTGTTTAATTAATGTATTTAGATTTGCTTATGGTTTATATGTGTTTTAAGATTTTTTTAAAAATTTTTTAATTAAGCCTGTATTCAGCTCTGGGAAGGTCGGGGGAGGGTAGGGGAGGGTTGGGAGGGTTTGGGAAAGGGAATTTTTTTTGTAAAACTTAAAAATTTTCGATTAAAAAAAAAAGAGAGAGAAACGTTTCAAGGAAGGAAATACAGGTGGTCCTTGATTTACGACAAAAACTAAGTCCAATGTTTCTGTGGCAAGGTGTTAAATGGGTTTTGCCCCATTTTAGGACTTTCCTTGCCACGGCGGTTAAGTGAGTCGCTGCAGTTGTTACTACAGGTAGTCCTCAACTTACCACGGTTCGTTTAGTGACTGTTTCAAGTTACAACGCCACTGAAAAATGTGCCTTATGACCGTTTTTCACCATTAGGACCTTTGCAGCATCCCCAGGGTCACAGGACTGAAATTCAGACGCTTGGCAACTGACTCGTACTTATGACGGTTGCGGTGCCCCAGGGTCACGTGACCCCCCTTTTGTGACCTTCTGATGAGCAAAGTCCATGGGGAATCCAGATTCACTTAACAACCGTGTCAGTGACTTAACAGCTGCAGTTGTAAAGTGGGGCAAAACTCACTTAGCAAAGGTCTCGCTGAACAACAGAAATTTGGGGCCCAGTTATGGTTGTAAACTGAGGACTATCTGTAAAGTGAACCTGGCTTTCCCCCTTGGCTTTGCATGTCGCCAGGTCGCGTTGAGGGAATCACATGATTTGGTCATGTGATTGTGGGGATCCCGCAAGGGTTATACGTACGAAAAACGTATGAAAAGTGAAAAAAGCCACAAGTTACTTTCCTCCCTGTGCTGTTGTAACTGTGAACAGTCACAAACGAATGGTTGTAAATCAAGGACCACACAAAACAAACAAGAGCGAAGAAAATAAGAGATGGAGAAACAAGAAACAAATTGGAGGGAAAAACCCACCTACACAATTGCATCTTTTGTCCTTTCTGTTGAGGAACTGTCATGTTAAACTTTGCTCCAACCCCTTAGTCCAGAGGTAGGCAACCTTGGCTCTTTTATGACTCGTGGACTTCAACTCCCAAAATTCCTGAGCCAGCCACGCTGAGAGGAAAGGGAGAGGGTTCTAAGCTGACCCATTCTGGCTCAGGAATTCTGGGAGTTGAAGTCCACGAGTCATAAAGCGGCCTAGACCCTAGACCAGGAGTGGGCAACCTTGGCTCTTTTATGACTCGTGGATTTCAACTCCTAGAATTCCTGAGCCAGCCCTGCTGAGGGGAAAGAGAGAGTTTTCCAAGCTGACCCATTCTGGCTCAGGAATTCTGGGAGTTGAAGTCCACGAGTCATAAAAGAGCCAAGGTTCCCTGCCTCTGGCCTAGGCTGCTTTTATGACTCGTGGACTTCAACTCCCAGAATTCCTGAGCCAGCCTAGGGGAATTATGGCCCCCTCATGACTTGTGGACTTCAACTCCCAGAATTCCTGAGCCAGGATGGCTCAGCTTGGAAACCTCTCCCTTTCCCCTCAGCGTGGCTGGCTCAGGAATTCTGGGAGTTGAAGTCCACGAGTCATAAAAGAGCCAAGGTTGCCTTCCCCTGCCTTAGTCTCATTTTTAATATTCAAATGCCACAATAGGTTCACTTGTTCTTTTTTCAGTAGAAAGTCATTTATGCAGCCGGTCCTTGACTTAACAACTGTTCCTTTAGTGACTGTTTGAGGTTACGACAGCGCTGGGGAAAAAAAGTGCCCAAAAACTGGTCCTCACACATAACAACTCTTGCAGCCATCCCTAGGGTCACGTGATCAAAATCCAGACTCTTTGTTCTGTCCTGCAAGAAGGCAGCATTTAATTGAAGGGAACCTCTTTTAAATGGCCCCAGTTTCACCCCCGGAACTCCTTGTGGTCTCTCATCCGAAGGTTAAGCACCTTGTGTTCTTTGGGATGGTGGCTCAGGCAGAATCAATAAGGGAGTGGCAATGGCTGGTTCCCAATAACAAAAGAGGATTTCCTTCTCTGGAATAGCTGGGGGAATGCCAGCTGTTTATGACGGTTGCCGCATCTTGGGGCTCGTGGGATCGCCATTTCTCCCTTTCCCAGCCGGTTTCCAATAAGGAACGTCAAGGGGGAAGCTGCATTCGCTTAACAAGTACAGCAAAAAATATTGTAAAAATCGGGCAGGACTCACTAAAACAAGCGCCTTGTTTAGTGACCAAAGTTCTAGTCCTAATTTTGGGTGTAAGTCAAGAGCTATCTTTAAGGATTTCGGTTCTTTTTTAAAAAAAAAGTCTTTTATCGTTTTTTTTTCTCTCTGACCAAACCGCTCAGTTTCGTTGTTTATGCAAGCGCATCCCGGCGCTGCACGACTGGCGAACAAAAATGGAGAACTAACCCTCCCCTTTTCCCCCTTTGTGATCAGGAGCTCTACGAAGCTGCCATCCAGCGCTCAGTGAAGAAAACCTGGGCTGAAATCCGGCAGCAGCGATGGTCGTGGGCTGGGGCGCTGCACCAGGGCTCCCCAGTTCACAAGGAGGGTGAGTGGAGGCCCTGCTTAGCTTGGGGACGCGGCTGTCAGATTCCTCAGGGGAATGGCATGCACAATGGGCCTGGTGGGGAGGCGGGGTTGATGCTTTTGCACGGCTGGGCACTTTTGCACGCGCATGTGCTCGGATGAGGAGGAGCTTATGCATCCTAGTTTATAGTTTGAAATTATAAGACAGTTCCTTCCTTCTTTCCTCTGCCTATTTTCTTTCTCTTTCTTTCTTTCTTTCTTTCTTTCTTTCTTTCTTTCTTTCTTTCTTTCTTTCTTTCTTTTTCTTTCTTTCTTTCTTTCTTTCCTTCCTTCCTTCCTTCCTTCATTCCTCTGCCTATTTTCTTTCTTCTCTTTCTTTCTTTCTTTCTTTCTTTCTTTCTTTCTTTCTTTCTTTCTTTCTTTCTTTCTTTCTTTCTTTCCTCTGCATATAGGACAGCACTCCATTTCCTTGCAGCTTCACTGGGGTCCTTTGTCCATTTTTGGTGGACTTTTGACCGCTTGATACCTTTAAGTTCCCACACTGCTTCTTCTCTTGTCTGCCTTGTGCTGCTCAGAGCCTCAACCATCTTTCTCCTCATTGGTTGGCAGTTTCCACCCTGCGGGCACATTATGACCAAGGCAGAAAGGAGCTGAGCCATAGATGCAGCTTGCCCAAGACTGAGCATGTTCTGTATCTGGAAATTGTCCCCTGCCCAAGAGTCTTTGAGCAGAAAGGGACTGGAGAGTAGGAAACTGAAGGGTGAGAATGGGAGGTGCCACACTCCACACTTTGGGCATGTACAAATGCAGGCATGCATGATGCTAAGTGGACATAGCCATGTGTGTGAACGGGGCCAGGATTTCCTGTTTTGGTGGGGTTAGGAAGCGTTTTGGAGGGGTGATCCTTCAGCACTTTAAGACGTGTGGACTTCAACTCCCAGAATTCCCCAAGGCAGCATGCTGCCCTAGCAGCGGAGAGGGTTATACGATCACAATCTCCAAGGATTGGAGAGAGAAATGTGTAACGCAAGATGACAACATAGAAATGGTCTGGAAGGGCTTCGAAAAGCCAAGTACCAAGTAGTCCTTGACTTTTGACCAATCTGGAAAAGGGGATTTACAACCTGGATCAACGTTCCGACAGTCACCCACCCACCCCATGATCATGTGACCACACTTTGGGTGCTTGGCCACATGGCTACATTTATGGTCATTTATGAAAACCCCGTGAACATGTTACTCCATTTTATGACAGTTTTTTTTTCTGAAAACCAGCACTTCTAGTTTTCAGCAAAACAATGCCTATAGTGCAGCAGTCCCCAACCTTTCCAGGTTGGTGGTCCAGCGTGGTGTGTGTGTGTGTGTGAGAGAGAGAGAGAGAGTGTGTGTGTGTGTGTGTGGCAGGCACACGTTCGTATGCACAGCTCCATTTGTATGCGTGGCAAGCACGTGTGCCCTCCACTCGCACAATTGGAGCTTCACACTTGAGTGGAGGGTGCTTATGCTTGTGCGCAAAGTTCCACTCGTGCAAGCGGAGAGCCCTTGCGCTTGTGTGCAAAGTTCCACTTATGCGAGCACAAGCACCCTCCGCTCATGCCCGCTGCTAGACCTGTTTTCCTTGTTACCTTCCGTGGTATCCGAAGCAGAACATCCAGATTCAGTCACAGTTTTGTTCCGTACAGGATTAACCTCGTGAATTCTCAAGCTTCCTCCTTCCGTTATGTATTCAAGACGAAGGGATTAATATATATGTGTTACTCATAAACAAGGGTGTAGGTCTATACATACGTTGTATATAGTATGTTTAAATGTGCGTTATGTATGTGTACACTGTGAGAACAAGCAACTACATTTCATTTTTAATGGGTGCCGTTAGGCCCACAGTAAAAAATGACAATAAAGGTTATCTGTCTATCTATCTTCACACACGTGTGCTTGCCCATCTCTCCTGTGGCCTGGTTTTGAAAACTCCAAGACGCATTAGTGGGTCACAGCCCAGGGGTTGGGGACCCCTGTTGTAGTGAATCATTGATTTACTGAATAACTGCGGCAGCCACCCAAAAAAAAAAAATGCTTGTATTTTATGAGCAAGCTTTATTACAGTCGTAACTCAAGGACTACCTGTAACAGAACAGCAAGCATAATTGATTTAGTAGCAACTTCCTGGTCACCTGTGGCAATTAACAATTCTCCATAAGCAACCAGGCTATTATTATTTACAATTCTGAGGTGCTCTTCTTTAACTTTAAATGTCTGAACTGACTGGAAATTTCTGCTGATCATGATAAAAACAAACATTTCAGATGTTCACAACACTTCAGATATACTTTCAAAAACTTTTTGAGGAAGATCTGTTGGCCAATGTATGGGTAGTTGGAATCTTGTTGGGAAGCGAGTGGCGAATCTGGTGGGTTTTTAATCTCATCTTCATTTAGCAATAGCAAACAGGGTAGATAACTAGGTTGTTAAGCAAAGAAGTTATTAAGTGAAATTGTCATGGTTTTAGAATCTTAACTCCTTACAAAGTTGTTTTCTTCGCTTTGCAGGCCCGCAGAGGTCATAAATGCGAAGCTTAAGTCGCTAAGTTATTTTTTCATCTTGCTGTACTTGCAAACGGTTGTTAAACAAGGCAGTTGGGAAATGAGGACTAGCAATAGGGGTCTTTCGAGTCACTCTTCAGAGCGAGTGGTTCATTAATAAATAAATAAGGTCGAATGACATTTTGTCTCTGCTGGATTCTTTGCTGGATTTTATTTATTGCAAAGTAGGTTATATGATGTTCAAATAAATATCTGCAATTAGTCTGTTTTTTTGCAGAGACAAATCCTGTGATTCTATTACAAATCTTCCATCAGTATTGGCAGCTCTTACTGTGAATTAGTTTTGGATTTAGGAATTTTACTTTGGATTTAGACAAAACTGTGGTGTTTGGCCACAAGAATTCCACATCAGCTCTTGTTTTTCATCCTAGAATACAGATAGAGACCCATGCAGAATGCTACCAGTGACCCAATGTGCAGAAAAGTTATCCAATTCATTATTTTATGTTTACATTGCCATATGAAACAAGAAAAAGCAAGTTCAAAGGCATGCTTTGTTTGGCCTTGTTCACAAAACACACTTAACCAGGTGACAGAGCCATCTTATCTCCTGGATTGTTTTAATACTTTGAATCAAAAAACCTGGAGTCTCAGAACACATAAAGTCACAAAAAAGCCCTAACAAGCTTAAAACTAGCTAAGCTTTTCACGTTGTGCGAATGACTGATCTAGTTAAGTCCGGAACCATCAAGTTAGGTGTGTTAGAGAAGCACAACAACTTTTTACTGTGGAAATTTTAAGAATGCTAAAAAAAAATTACCTACTTGGTCATTTTTCCAACACGTTGGCTTGCAGAGATCGTACTGAGGATAGACTACCGCCCCACTTCTTTGTTGTGGCCCTGGAATAAAAAGCCAGGGTTTGTTTCAAATCCGGATTATGTCCTATAAATAAGGACTCAAAATGCTTTCAGTTTTGTCCTTTCGAAACTCACCCACCCTCATGTTGGTCTAACAAAACTGCTTTGCTGTCAACCCAAGCCCTTTGTGGTTCAGCTTCTGTCTCTAAAAGGGGATCTGTTTGCTGGATGGTTCCTTCTATGTCTTGCTCAGCTTTTGGCAGTGTAAACATGTTGTAAGTGTGACCAGGAATTGGATATTTAACATCTTCTATGAAGGCTGTCCTCTATATTGCATGCTTTCTGTGGGACTCTCAGCTTCTCTCAGCTGGGTGGGACCCGGGTGCAAGTCAGCTTGTAACCAGGAGGAGCTGTGGATGATATATTCACCTCCTGCTGTTGTTTGGCTGCAGAAGGGAAAAAAATCTCCAAATCAGACCTTCTGCCAGTGGGCCTCTGGGAAGGGCATAGCCCTGCCGACAGCCACTTTGCCACCACGTGTGCTAATTTGCTTTCCGCCAAGCTCACTTAGGCCTCTGACATCAGTGGGAGCCTGTGCTGGAGTAGAATACACAAGGCTGCAAATCAGCACATTAAAAGGTGTTTGTATGGTTTCCTGTTCCTGTAGGCAGCTCCAAAACGAGGCACCTTAATAGCTTTTCCCGGGGGTCTCCTGTGCAACTCATGGCATTCACTGCATGATCCCCGCTGCTGCATGCTCGCACGTCCACCAGATCCCCCACCCCACCCCGCTGCCCTTAACACCTGTGTGTCTTTTCCCTCTGTAGGTGCAAGCAGGTGCTCACTCTCTGCTGTAAATCTCCCCAAACATGTGGACTCTATAATCAACAAGCGCCTCTCCAAATCTTCTGCCACTCTCTGGAACTCACCCAGTAGAAGTAAGAGACCCCCCTGGGGACACGCAGCTGTGTCATGGCGAGGGATGGGAAGAAGCGGGGCCCAATTTTAAACCCATCCTATCAATAGCCCTGGAACTAGGTGACAGGGGTAAACTGATAAGAGGAAGGAAGGAAGGAAGGAAGGAAGGAAGGAAGGAAGGAAGGAAGGAAGGAAGGAAGGAAGGAAGGAAGGAAGGAAGGGAAAGAAAGAAGGAAGGAAGGAAGGTAGGAAGGAAGGAAGAAAGGAAGGGAGGGAGGGAGGGAGGGAGGGAGGGAGGGAGAAAAAGAGAAGGAAGGAAGGAAGGGAGGAAGGGAAGAAGGAAGGGAGGGAGAGAAAGAGAAGGAAGGAAGGGAAAGAAAGAAGGAAGGAAGGGAGGAAGGAAGGGAGAGAAAGTAGGAAGGAAAGAAGGGAAGGAAGGAAGGAAGGAAGGAAGGGAGAGAGAGAAAGAAGGAAGGAAGGAAGGGAGAGAAAGAAGGAAGGAAGGAAGGAAGGAAGGAAGGAAGGAAGGAAGGAAGGAAGGAAGGAAAAGTGAAGCCTTTTAGTATATGTTTTAGACCGATGTTTTTCAATCTCTGGGTCATGAAGATGTGTGGACTTCAACTCCCAGAATTCCTAGCCAGCCATAGTGCCTGGAGAATTCTGGGAATTGAAGCCATCACCTCAAACTGCTGAGATTGAGAAACACTGTTTTAGACAAACATGTTAGTGCAGGATGCAGCGTTCAGCATTTTTAAAAGATTCAAGGGCCTAGGTCAGACATGTCAACCTCGCGATGTCACGTGACATTGCGTAACGTATCGGGACTGTTTTGCCATTGCCGGCAATGGGGTGGGCACGGCTTCCGCGTGACGCGTCCGGCCTGCGGGCCGGCAGTTTGACACCCCTGGCCTAAGTGTTATGGTTACCAAAAGAAGCATGAACCCAGCCAATAGAGCAATGTTTCTTAACCTTAGCAATTTTAAGATGTGTGGATTTCAACTCCCCGAGTTGCTGGAAGAGAGATCTGGAGAACTGAAGTCTACACATCTTAAAAGTTTCCAGGGTTGAGAAATCCTGCAATTTAGGATGAAATTTTAGCAGACGGAAGATGGGGCTCAGTAGAAATTTAAGAGATCGGGGGCAGAACATCCTTGCACTGCCCAGGGACCTTGGAGGTCATCTAATCCAACCCTCTGCACAGGCAGGAAACCCTACACCATTTCAGACAAATGGCTGTCCAGTCTCTTTTTAAAAAAACTTCCAATGTTGGAGCATTCATCGCTTCTGGAGGCAGGTGGTTCCACTGGTTAATTGTTCTAACTGTCAGGAAGTTTCTCCTTCATTCTAGGTTGTTTCTCTCCTTGATTAGTTTCCAATTTGACAACCGTGGAAGTAGCTCAGATCTTTCTCTTAAAGCGAGTCTGTTTGTTGTGTTTTTGTTTCTGTTTTGGTCTCTCAGTCCTCAGCCCCAGGTTCTGGAATGGGACAGCTCACCCCGGCCAGCTCACAATTTAATAATTCAATTTAATTATTCAAAATAAATGAATTTTTTTTATTTTTGTCATTCACGTTCCATTCTGTCCCCTCTTTTGCATCCTTTCTTTCCTGACTCTATTCCATCCTTTCTTTGATATTAGTGTAACTCTTGTCCCACAGCGAGTTGTTCCATGGCAAGTTGTCTGTTGCGAATTGTCATAGCCCAGTGGTTCTCAACCTGTGAGTCTGGACCCCATTTGGGGTCGAATGACCATTTCACGGGGGTCGCCAAACAAGGCTGTCCGCCATTTTTTCCCCCTTTTCCTTAGCTGTGCTACTCCCTTTTATTCTATTGGCTTTTGAAAGCCAATAGAATGGACTCTCTTGAATAGAGTCTAATTCTATTGGCTTTCAAAAGCCAATAGGAATTGTCCAGGCTGTCTCTGCCCTACTGAGCCCGCCAAAAGTCCCATTCTGCAAACGGTGCTGCACCAGTTGAGTAGTCCTCGACTTACGACCGGTTGGGGGTCGCGGCATTAAAAATGTTGAGAACCACTGTCATAGAGCCATCCCAGGTTTCACTGCCCAGCCGGGTCCGTTGGTTGATGTGTTCGTTGTAATTTATTTGTGGCCTGCTTTGTTTTTTTCCATGCCAGCTCTTCAAAGTGTTTTTTAACAAACAAAAGAACTGAATGCAAAGCTCAACATGCAAACAGAGGACTGTCTCTGTGTCTGGTTGTTTTGGCATACAGTGCCCTATAGCGGCGTTCTGAGGGGTGGAGTTGAAACATGCCCAGGATGTGAAGGGTCTATATATATTTTCTCAGCCCTCTTTCTGGCTCATGCCCTATACAGATGCTCAATGATGGAAGGCAGGCTGGTTGCAACGGCTTTTTCCTCCGTCCTAACTATCCGTTTGAAGTCTGTACCTGTCTTGCTTGGTTGCTGTGCCAAACCAGGCAGTTAGAGAAGTACAAATGATACAGTAATTCCTCAAAAAGCTAAAATGGCCGACATCCTTGTTAGTTTGGGGGACAGCCGTTTCGTAGTTTCAACCTCTTTGCCCGTACTGCAATTCTCAAATGCTCAAAATGCTTTTCTATCAGAGATCCCAGTGATCCTTTTCAACGAGCAGATATTATTTTTCCCTCACTTTGTCCATTGGGTCACATGGGGGAGGGGGGGTTTAGCTGGCAGAAATGTGAAGAATCCCTGTTCAATATCTTAACCATTATTTATTTGTTTGTTTGCTTGTTTATTCACACGTCATTTAGACTTATGTATTTCTTCATAGTGTTTTACAGCCCTCTCTGGACAATTTACAATTTCAGCATAGTGCCCCCAACAATCTGAGCCCGATCCAATTTACTGATCTTGGAAGGATGGAAAGCTGAGTCAACCTTGAGCCCCCCCCCCCATCAAGATCAAACTCCTGGCAGTGAGCAGAGTTAGCCTGCAATACTGCATTCTAACCACTGCGCTACCACGACTCATATCCTGCCTTTATTATTTTTATAACTAACTAACACCCTGTGAGGTCTGAGAAATAGTGACTGACTCAAAGTCACTCATCTGACTTTCATACTTAAGGCCCTACTAGAACACACAGCCTTCTGGCTTCTATTCTGCTGCTTTAACTACTAGGCCAAAGAGGGCTAGTTGGTGCAAAACTATAGGGCCTTTTGCAATGACCCTTCTCCTCCTAATTGTACGTTTCTGGAGCAGCTCTTTGCAATGGGTCTCAGCCAAAACGCTAAAGGCACTGTGAAGTAGTAAGATGGAACTTCCCCAAAATCTAAACTATAAATTGGTGGGATATTAATAAGCCAGGTTTACTTTGATCCCTGCAGTGATGGTGATGTCTACAACGGACACTACAAAATAAGAGCACACCACCTAATGTCTTCCAGATGTGTTGCATGACACTTCCCAGAGGTTTAACCTGGAAAACATCTTGACACCCCTGTGGAGTTCTCTCTCCATTGAGGGGAAATTTTAACCACTTGGCCCATGCAAGCAGATCCCATGAGGCTGAGCTCCAATTACTCTCTGCCCTAATGTCCCTTTGCTGCTAAAGATAGTATTTCTGCCCACCATTGTTTTGTTTCCTCGTTGCTTAGCGAAGATGAAAATATCCCGAGCATCTGAACAAGATTCAGGAAAAGGCCAAAGGAAGGGATGGTTAATGCACATGGAATTAGGAGCGGTCCTGGGGTGGGATTATTCAGGCAGCACTATGCTCATAGGTATGGATGGGTGCCAAGAGAAAAATTTCAGCTTTTCCTTTTTTTAAAAAAAGATCTTTTTAGGTTAAAAAAAAAAAATACAAATCTGTGATTTCACAGTGCTGAGATTAGTGGATTGAAAGGTATTTCCAGCAGTGACCAAGCCAAATTTAGCCAGCCTTTAAATCTAAAATTATGTTTGTATTTGTTTATTTATCAATTTATTCAACTTAGATAGCCACCCACCTCACATCTGTGATTCTGGGTAGTTTTCAGTTGTGACTATGTTTTCCATCCCACAAACAACGTAAAACATTAAAATGATAACTAGTTTGACTCTTCTGTTCAAACTTGTTAAAATCGATTAAAACAGACCCCACTTTTTAAAAATAAAATACAGGTAAGTCCTTGACTTACAACCGTTTAATGAGCGTTCAAAGTTTCAACAGCACTGAAAAAAACAACATGGCCATTTTTCACACTTAACAACCACTGCCATGGTCATGGAATCAAAAGTCGGACGCTTGGCAAAGTGACTCGTATTTATGACGGTTGAAATGTCCTAAGGTCATGTGACCTTCTGACAAGCAAAGTTAAAGAGGAAGCCAATCCCACTTAACAACCTTGTTGCTACCTTAACAATTGCAGTGATTCACTTAAAAGCTGTAGCAAGAAGTCATAAAACGGGGCAAAAGAGCCGAGGTGGCGGCGCAGCAGTTAGAGTGCAGTACTGCAGGCCACTTTAGCTGACTGCGTTCAGCAGGTCAGCGGTTCAAATCTCACCGGCTCACGGTTGACTCAGCCTTCCATCCTTCCGGGGTAGGTAAAATGAGGACCCAGATTGTTGGGGGCAATGTAATATATATATATATATATATATATACATTGCTTACTGGTGTACACCGCTTAGAGAGTGCTTGCACTTAAAGTGGCATATAAGTCTCATAAATAAATAAATAAATAAATAAACCTCACTTAACAAATGTCTCGTTTAGCAACAGAAATGTTGGGCTCAATGTTGAGCCTCTAGAAAGAGTACAGAGAAGAGCAACAAAGACGATTAGGGGACTGGTGGCTAAAGCATATAAGGAACGGTTGCTGGAATTGGGTATGTCTGGTTTAATGAAGAGGGGGGAACATGATAGCAGTGTTCCAGTATCTCAGGGACTGCCCCAAAAAAGAGGGAGTCAAGCTATTCTCCAGAGCATCTGAAGGCAGGACAAGAAGCAATGGATGGAAACTAATCAAGGAGAGAAGCAACCTAGAACTAAGGAGAAACTTCCTGACAGTGAGAACAATTAACCAGAAGCGGTGAATGCTCCAACACTGGAAGTTTTTAAGAAGAGACTAGACAGCCATTTGTCCAAAATGGTGTAGGGTTTCCTGCCTGAGCAGGGGGTTGGACCAGATGACCTCCAAGGTCCCTTCCAACTTTATTATTATTATTATTACTACTATTACTACTACTACTACTACTATTGTGATCCTAAGTCAAGGACTACCTGTATATTAAGATAAATATATAGGTACACAGAATAAAATATATTAAAATAAAATACATCCCACATTTCTCTTACAGAAGCATTCAAGCTCCCTAGATACAAACGTAGTTAAGGAGCATTAAAATGCCCTTTGATTCTGTTCTCCAGAGCCACTGAAAACAAGCTTGTTCAAAAAAAAATGCTGGAGACTTGGGTGTCTCTTGAACAAAAATGTTTCCCACTGTTAGGGTGTGGGGTATTCCTGGCCCTGATTAACCACCTGGGATTTGCTAACTCGACCTCCCATTGTTCATATTTGTGTCTATTGCAAGTCACTTCCTCTGGCAGAATCTACCAAGCTAAAGGTTTTTCAGGCAAAGGTGGTTTATAATGTCAGTTGAGCGTCAACATGATTTGCAGAATTATCAGCCGTACCCAGAATGTCAACATGTAGCTTGCTCCGTAACTATTACAAAGTTCCTTTAATCTCCTGGAGTGTGTTGGCTTTAAAGCAGCTTGTTTGGGCAGCCAAAGGAATTATTGGAGACTGAGAAGCCGGCTACACATTCAGTGCATAAGGAGGTAAATCAGCTACTCTTGGTTTCTTGACTAGTTTAAGTGAAACTGAATACATCACTTAATCTATCAAGTAGCCAGTAACCATTGTGAGATTATGAGTCTTGGACAACGCTCTTCCAATACGTTGGCTGGGGTCAAGCAATAACACAACCAACAGTGTCCATAGGGAGGAAGGACCAATAAAGTCAAGATGGTGGCTTTGGTTGCAGCCACCATCTTGACTTTTTTTAAAGTCTCTCCCTCCAGAGCCGCTTCTGCACTGTCAACTGTCCCCTTGGTAAATGCACAAAAGAAACTCCAGGGGCATTATTTTACCAAGAGTATAACTTTGCTGATAATTCCACATAGGCACCGAAATAGCAAAGCCAGTTCTGAAGTTTTCCCCTGGACTTCCCCACTGTTCATTGTCCACCAATCAACTGCCTTCCTGAGCAGCTTGGAGTTTTCCCAACGTTTGATTTGGGGTGTTGGGACTGTCCTGGGCCACTTGAATCCCTCAATTCTCTCCCAAACCTCCTTTACGTTCCAATACTTTCCGTTCCCCCTCCCTGTTTCTGTTGTCTGTTTGTGAGCAGAGGTGCTTGGCGAGTCAGCCGCGACACGCACAAAAGCTAGTTGAACAAAACACGAGGACTGGATTCTCCAACATCTGTATTGTCGATGGTCTTGCGCAGACAAAATGCTGAGAGCTGAGCTCTCAAAAACCACCCACTGGCCAGTACAGGTTGGATAGCTTTAGCCATTGAGTTCCAGGATTAAAGATGATATGAACCTAATATCTCCACCACCACCCCGACAAATCTTTTAACAGATTTCTGTCTGTAAAACTTGATTGTCTGATATCTGCTTTAGGGCAGCGTTTCTCAATTCACCAACTTTAAGATGGGTGGACTTCAACTCCCAGAATCCCCCAGCCAGCATGGGCCATAGAGAGGATTAGTAGGTTGACTTCAGCTGCAGGAGGAAAGGAAAGACGTAAGACTAACAAGTCCATTAGTTAGAATGGAATATTTATGATTGGTTTTCACACTCATGATCCTTGCAGCATCCCCATGCCCCCATGATCAAAATTCAGGCCCATGGCAACTGGCATGTATTTATGATGGTTGCACTGTCCCGGGGTCAAGTGATCATCATCTATAACCTTCCCAGCCAGCTTTTGACAAGTAAAGTCAGTGGGTGAAGCCAGATTTGCTTAATGATTGAATGACTGACTTAACAACTGTAGCGATTGACTTAACAACTGGGGCAAAACTCACTTAACAACTGTCTTGCTTAGCGATGAAAATCTGGGGCTCAGTTGTGGTTGTAAGTTGAGGACTACCTATAATCAATATTTCCTGTCCCAACGGGCGCAATGACTTTTCTCTTCCATCTCCTTAAACCTGGTTCCTTTGTGCTAGTCCTGCCTTCCACACCGGGTTCGACTAACTGGAATCTCATTGTGGCACCTGAGCTACAAGTTGGGGAGCATGGTGGCTTATGTGGTTAGGATGCTGGTCTGACGATTGGCAGTGTTTGAGATCCGATTGGTGCTGCGCGACGGGTGAGCTCCCATCACTTGCTCCAGCTCCTGTTGACCCAGCAGTTTGAAAGTGAGCAACTGCAAGTAGGTAGATGGGTACCACTTTGAGGACATGAAAGAAGTCCCTAATTCCCAATTAGCTGGTGATGTCACCAACTTTCAACCTGGAAGTGCTTTGGTGCTCGAAACACAACTGTAGTGATAGTCATAGCTACCAATTTTGAGGAAAATGGAGCTTGGAAAGTTAGTCTTGTTGCACACACTCTGCAGAAATCCAACTTTGCATCTTCAGGTGCTGGAAGGTTGGTCCAGGATGGAACTGAGCCTACCAGATTAACCAAAAGCTTTGTTGTTCCTTCCCCAGATCGTAGTCTCCAACTTAGTGCTTGGGAGAGCAGCATCGTGGACCGGCTGATGACCCCGACTCTCGCCTTCTTGGCCCGCAGCAGAAGTGCTGTGACGCTGGCCGGCAATGGCAAGGAGCAGGGTAAGCAGAATGACCCGAAGGGGCTAAAATGTTATCGAGAGGAGGGCGGGATGGATTCACCAGCATCCCAAGCAAAGCCACGATGATGCCAAAATAATGAGCCGAGGTGGCGCAGCAGTTAGAGTGCAGTACTGCAGGCCACTTTAGCTGACTGTGTTCAGCAGGTCAGCGGTTCAAATCTCACCGGCTCAAGGTTGACTCAGCCTTCCATCCTTCCGGGGTAGGTAAAATGAGGACCCAGATGGTTGGGGGCAATGTAAATATATATATATATATACATTGCTTACTGGTGTACACCGCTTAGAGAGTGCTTGCACTTAAAGTGGTATATAAGTCTCATAAACAAACAAACAAACAAACAAATAAATAAATAAATAAATGACAGGATTGAAATTGCATCAGGCAAACACTGCTGTTGCATCCTGGGGTTGATTTATTAGTTTTAGCTTGAATTCCGTGAAGTCGGCCATTACATTTGTGAACCAGGGTTTATGGCTTAGCATGCCATGTTTGGTTGATTGAATAAGCCATGGCTAACATAAAGCCACGAGGCTAGCCCTTGTGTCCTGTGCTTCCCTAAATTCCACACTCTGAAATTTTGCTCACGATTTTAGGAAGAGTCTATTTTAACAATAAACTGAGAATTTTGGGAGGGTTATCTTTAGTTTGATAGCTTATCTGAAGTTAGCAACAAGCCTAGGTCTTGCATTCACCCTGTTTGCAAACACTTGAATTAGATTTCATCTTGGCTTAGTCTTCTGGTTCAGTCTCTTGTGTGAATGAAGGCCTTTGAGTAAGGTGGACAAAAATGAGAATATGGATTGCTTTCCCAGCCTGGTGAAGCTTATTTGGGGATACATTCAGTAACATGGAAGAATGGGCATGATTTGAATACAGGTAGTTGTTGACTTGCAACCACAATTGAGACTGGAACTTCGGCTGCTGAGCAGTGCAGTTGCTTGAATTGTGCTCAGTTCTGCAATCTTCTTTGCCATGGTCATTAAACAAGTCACTACAGATATTAAGCAAATCCAGCTTACCCCATTGATTTTGCTTGTCAGAAGGTCACCAAGCATCCCAAATTTTGATCACTTGACCATGGGGATGCTGCAACAGTCGTAAGGATGAAAATGTCATAAATCGCTTTTCCCACTGCCGTTGTAACTTCAAACGGTCACTAAATAAATGGTTGTGAGTTGAGGATTACCTGCATTGCTGTCGCTTTACCGATGGCCTGTCCTTCAAGTGTGATCAACTCCAGCGCCCTTCATCCCATCAAGGACAGACAACAGCTGTCTGGGAAGGATGAGTAGGGTTGACACCTAGTAGGAAGACAACAGGTTGAAAAGGCGGGCTTTGAAGAGCCCAACTTAGCATATGGCAGGAATAATATAACCACTCTATAAACTTTGCTGGCTTTCAGAGTGCTGGGACTGCAATTCCCAGAATGATTAGCACCCATGCTGTGTGTGTGTGTGGGGGGGGGGAATTCTGGGTGCTACAGATCCAATAGAAGTAAAAAAGTGCTACATTATTATGGCAGGCTACCTTTTAAGTACTGTAGAATCAGAACTCCAGATATATATAAGCTAAAAATTTATTGATGAATGTAATAATGATGTTTTTATTGATATAATAAGGACTGTACTAGCTTGAATACGAGAGAGTAAATGTTAAGGAGAAAAGAGAAGAAATATTTGACGTTGCAATTTGAGATTTGTACTAAAGATTTTGTTATCGAACTATTGATTAACCCAGTCACCATCTTGCTTTTTAAATACCTAAATGTAAAATTGGAAAATTAATAAAATGTTATTTAAAAAAAAAGGAGGAGAAGTAGAAAGTGCTACATTATGGCAGGCTACCTTTTAAGTACTGTAGAATCAGAACTCCGGTTTTATTCCCAGACTGAATACAGGTAGTCCTTGACTTGCCATTTAAAATATTTGGAAATTAATTGAAAATAAGGACTAAAATGTGTATTTTGGATATTAGACTTTGTTATGAATTGAGATAAGGGAAATCTTGGTTTACCTAAGGCTTGAAAATTATAAATATCAAAGGTTAAGCTGGAATATTGATGAGAAACTAAAAATTGGGTAAAAATGAATAACAAGGATGTGGATTGTTTATGAAGGCTGAATGTAATTAAGATATGTATAAGCTAAAAATGTATTGATAAATGTCAAATCTGATTACATGACCCTGGGGACACTGCAACCGTCATAAACACATGCCAGTTGCAGAGCATCTGAATTTTGATCACGTGACCACAGGGATGCTGCAACGGCCGTGAGTGTGACGTTATTTAGTGACGTCGTCACTTGGAACTGTCACTCAAAGTTGCAAATCGAGGATTACCTGTATTGTAAAACAATCCTAGAAAAGATTCAGACCTTCTCTTTTCGTTGACTGCCAACAGTACCCATGTGCCCCCGCTCGGCTTCTGCCAGCCCTGTAAGCCCCTGCAAAAACCAGCGTGTGCACCGTTGCGCAGAGCGACGGCGCCCGGCAACCAGCAGCCCTGATGTATCGCCCCGGAATAAGCCACAGTCCTCTCCTGTAAGTTGCTATGATTTTTTTTTTTAACCATCCCCGCTCTTTAGATCTGTGTTTCTCAAATCTTTAGGTTCCACGCCCAGAATTCTTAAAAGTTGCCCAAGTTTGAGAAACGCTCCTTTAGGTTCACATCTATATTCCCATCAATGTTTCCTCTCTCCTGTTAGAAGTAACAGAGACTAGCAGGTGGGATGGTTCTCCTTATGGTCTTAAGCAGGGGTCTTCAAACTTGGCCCTTTGATGACTTGTGGACTTCAACTCCCAGAATTCCTCAGCCAGCCCTGAGGGCTGGCTGAGGAATTCTGGGAGTTGAAGTCCACAAGTCATCAAAGGGCCAAGTTTGAAGACCCCCCCTGATCTTGAGTGCTGCAGTAGTAGCTCAGCTTTCCGCAACCCGTTGTCCCCTTCCTACTCCAGCCGTGGGGGCCCACATCTCATTTTTAACCTGCCTGTTGGGATGAGGAGAACTGTAGTGACCTTGAGGGGGTCAGCAATTTGAGGAAATTGCAGACGTTTCATCCAATGGAAAATGGAAATGGTCTTCTCAGTGGCTCTTTTCCAGGATTCTCTTCATTCCCAGGGCTCTCAGACTAATCATAGTCAACTTCCTAAATTAAACCCAAATCCTGGCCTCTTCGATAGAAAGGAATGCCTGAATTTCAGACCTGAAGTATGGGAGTGGGAGAGAGACACCCAATAGCCAAATGCTACGTACATCCCAGCTTTGTATGTTCAGACATGCTTCTGCTGTTGCTAGGAGAGAGGGCTGAAAACCAAATAGCTTTCGATTGCTAAGCAACTGATATACAGACAGGTACAGAAAGGTTGACCCAACTACTACACTGGCAATTTGGGGACTTCCACACATCTTAAAGGACTGGGGAATTCTGGGAGTTGAAGTTCATACGCTGCCAAGATTGAGAAGAACTGGCTTCAACAATCTCCTGCTTTGAAGATGATGTTAGTGTGAACCGACTGGGCCCAAAGCTCTGGAGAACTGCTTCTCCATCATCAAAGTGGGCTCTGCTTTATGAGTCTTTCTTCTCCTATTCTCACCACCAGAAAAAGAAAGAAAAGAAAGACAAGGATCGGGAAAATGCCCAAGAAAAGAGTGCCTTAGCTCTCCGCAAACGCTACTCTACGCCTTCTGGCCAGGCGCGTCAGCTGCATGTACCTGAAGGCAGGTAAGAAGTCACAGGGATCTTGAGGAGATGCAGAATTAATTTAGCTCTGGCCAAATGGACTTTAAGAAACCAACTCTGCGGTCATGTCTGACTGTGGGAGGTGTATATCAAAGGCTATTTCAAAGAGGATGGAATATTTAGATCAGATTGGGGTTAACTGTAGGGGTAATGACTTGCTATGAACACATCCTGTTGTTTTCTTGGCATCTACTTACATAATTATATTTTATACTTTTGATGTGGTCAAATAACTAAATAAAGATTCTATTCTATTCTATTCTATTCTATTCTATTCTATTCTATTCCATTCCACTCTATTCCATTCCATTCCATTCCACTCCATATATTCTATTCTATTCTATTCCATTCCATTCCATTCCATTCCACTCCACTCCACTCCATTCATGCCTGACAGTGGGGAGGTGTATATCAAAATTCAAGATGATGGCAATGACTACATGGATGAGGCTGCTTGTTATTCCCCCTGCTTTCCTTGCCAGGAATGCTTCTATTTATAATAATGCGCATAAGCATTATTATTATTATTATCACCGATTAGAGTGATAATCCCATTTTGTACAATCGGTCACAGGAGTCATAGAAATGACAGCTACAGTAAGGAAACCATTCCAATACTTCTGAGTTTTTGGACATAATTCCGAAAAGATGCTTTTTTGCAGCCAGGGTTCTGAAAGCAGCCTCAGTCTGCAGCCCTTTAAAGCAGCTACATCTCTTCCTAGGATTGCAGGCCAGTTTCAGAGGCATACACGTCTCCATGCTCGGAAGCCCCTTTTGTGAACGAAGCTGGAAGCTTTGCGCAGCCAGAAAGTGGGATTCCACACATTCAACTGGTTGCGAAGGGCTGAAATGGACAACTGCGGGTTTTTTTTTTTTTCACGAGGCTTCAGATTTTTTTTTTTTTTTTTTTGCAGCACGTTGTTTCTGCTGGGATGATGTTAAATACTGGGCATGAGTTCTCCCTGGAAATCATATCACTGGAGATTTTGTTTTGTCCGTGTCTGCTCTGGGAAGGGTCTCCAGAATAGGATTGGGTGGCTGGCAAAGCTGTTTCCTCCACCGTGTCTCTAATGCCGTCTTCTCTATACTTCCCTTTGGCAGCCCAAGCCCCAAGGCCAGGCCAGCCTCACCAGCTGTGGTCAAACAGCGCCCTGCCTCGCCAAGCCCGGGACCCAGTATTTCACATCGGTCAAGCCTGGCTCGCAGTGCCCAGTCTTCCCCCAAGAGACGAGCTCGCAGGGAGCCCGAGGGCCAACCGAAGGCCCGTGAACGCAAGAACGAACCCAAGGAACGTGGGGTGGCTTCTCCAGCCCCAGAGGAGAGCCTGAAGGCAACTGGGAGCAGCGAAACACCAACAGGTGGGTCCTACTTGGTGTTAGTTAACACTGAATTGCAGTCCAAGACTAACGTGGTCAAATAAAACAAGGCATAGAGCTGGACATTAAAGAATTAACAATTGAATTCTGAAAATTTATTCAGGGAGTCCTTGACTTACAACCAGTGGTGGGATTCAAATATGTGAACAACCGGTTCTCTATGTGGATGCTGCTTCCGGAAATCCATTCTGGGCCTGGGCAACAAAAAATTAACTACTCGTTCTGCTGAAGTGGTACAAACTGGCTGAATCCCACCACTGCTTACAACCCTTCAGAGTTATGACCAGCCCCTAAAAGGAGACTTACAACCCGAAGTCAAAGATTCAATGGTTGGCCATGTGACTGAATGTTGAGTGCTCAGCAACACGGTTGCATTTGCAGTCGTTTGCATTGTCCTGCAGACATGTGACCGTGTTTTACGACGGTTTTCCTAAAAACTAGCACTTCCAGTTTTCGGCAGAACTGTGCCTGTAGTGAACTGCTGGTTTTCTTAATGACCACAGATTCATGTAACGACCATGGTGATTTGCTTAGTGACCACCGCCAAAAATATCCTAAAAGGAGGCCAGTCCCATGGTCAACTCGGTTTATCATTTTCATAACAGATGACTCTAATGGTTAAGGCTCTGTAATGATTGTATGTTGAGGACTACCTGTAGGCAAAGGGGGGGGGGCTAGAAAGCTAAATGGGATATTGTGAATCCTAAAGCAGGTATGTTTCAAGAACCCCAAAAGAAAGGGGAAAAGTTTTTTTTTTTTAAAGTGGTTTATTCTGCTTTTCTCTGATTGCTCAAGACAGGGACGGAAGCTTCCAACTTTACACAGAGGAGGCAAAGATAGCAAGGAATGCAAAAGAGACAGTGAATGCAATCTCAGTCCTGGGGGGAAAGGAAATGTAAGGAAGAGACTCAAAATAACAGCCTGTTAATTTTCCATAAAAGAGGACAGGGAAACTGGCAGATTCTGTCACTGTATCTTGTGACCATTGAGTTTCAAATAGTCAACCTAGGGCAGTGATGGCGAACCTTTAAGAGACCGAGTGCCCAAACTGCAACCCAAAACCCACTTATGCATCGTCGAATGCCGGGTGGGTGTGGCCAATTGAGTGGGTGTGGCCCATTGGGTGGGCGTGGCTGCAGTGGTAACGGCAGACTGGGTGGGACTGAAAAGGTCAATCAATCAATTCCAACTTTGCGAGATTTTTTTTTCCCGTGAGAAGTTGAAATGGACTGATTGATTGAACCTTTTTTTTTTTTTTTTGCACATGGCGGCAAAAAGGTTTTATAAAACCCAGCTGAAGGCCTAGGACTGGGACGACGACGCGCGTGCCCACAGAGAGGGCTTGAGTGCCGCCTCTGGCACTCGTGCCGTAGGTTTGCCACCACTGTCCTAGGGTCTATTTCCTAACCTGGCCCGCCTCGCAGGGACATTATTACAACGTCTACGCTGAGAGATTGATTGCATCCAGGCAGGTGAAGCTCAGCTGCTTTTGCACAACTTGTCTAGTCTGGACAGCGTTAACCTTGGGCTAGTATTTTTTTGGGGCTGCGCCTGTTACGTAAGCATGCCGTCTTGGTTAGTTTAGCAACAGGTTAACATAGCCTCAGCTTAAGAGCGCTGTGTGACTTGCAGCCATGATGGCTATCCAAAACCATCCAGCAAGCAGTCCCTGGGCTCCCTTAACCACGTGAGACCCTCAGCACAATCAAGCTACATCTTCCCTTCCGTTAGGAATGCGATCCCTGGGTGGAGACAACGGGTGGGGAGGCTTCTTTGGGGAGAAGTGGCGTAACCCTAAGCTTGGCATTCTTAGATGTCGCTGCCCCCTCTGGGCCTGCCAGCCTGATGCCTCCACCTCCTCCTCCAACACCAGGCAAGCCAATGGCTGGCACCACAGACCAAGAAGAAGCTGCTAGACTGCTGTCTGAGAAAAGGCGGGAAGCACGGGAACAGCGGGAGCGGGAGGAGCAGGAGCGGAAGGAGCGAGAGGAACAGGAGCGGTGAGTTTTACACACGAGGTTTCTAGGCCTCGTGGAGGAAGGTGCGATTTTTTTTTTTTTCCCCTGGAGAGTCGAGCACAATTAGCTTTGCAGGTGACCAGCCCGTATCTCATCTCATCTCCTTCGAGGTCAAGTATCTCGTCTCTTAGGGAACGAAGGGATGAGATAACCTAGTAACTGGTAAAACAAGATGGTGAGGTAGAACATGTGCAGAGTTTTATTTTCTCTTTACATACTCTTGAGTTAAGGTTTCTGCAGTGCAAGCATATTGATTCTGGGCCATGCTAAGATGCCTTCAGCGGCTGCTTTCCATTCTTCTTTTCTTTGTGTGTGTGTGTGTGTGTGTGTGTTTTGAGCTGAGATATTTGACTCTTTGACATCCGGCAGGCGCCAAGTGGAGGAGAGGGCCCAGCAAGAAGCCAGAGACCGCCTTCAGCAGCAGGTTGAGCTGGCTAGGCTGGAGGAGCAGCAGGCCCGGCGGGAGGAGCAGGAGGCCCAGGAACGGGCTCGGGCGGAGCAAGAGGAACAAGAACGGCTGCAGAAGCAGGTGCGTTATGAATTGGGGGACTGGTCCTAATGTGACTTTTTTCAGTACCATCCTAACTGCGGTCACTAAATGAGGCAGGTGCTAAACGAGGACCGCCTGTCCTGCTGAGAAGGGTTGATATTTTGCTTATGCAGAAAGAACTTTCTTCCCCTCTACAGGGAGGGAGCCCTGAATTTCCCAAATGGTCTGGCAAGAGGAGTAGCCTCTGTTCTGTCTCTCTCGGGGGCGGGGGGAACCTGACTCAGTAAATAATAATAATAGTAATAATAATATTAATTAATAATAATAATAATAATAATAATAATAATAATAGTAGTAGTAGTAGTAGTAAAGTTGAAAGGGACCTTGGAGGTAACCAAGTCCAACCCCCTGCTCAGGCAGGAAACCCTACACCATTTCGGACAGATGGCTGTCCAGTCTCTTCTTAAAAACTTCCAGTCTTGGAGCATTCACCGCTTCTGGAGGCAGGTTGTTCCACTGGTTAATTGTTCTCACTGTCAGGAAGTTTCTCCTTAGTTCCAGGTTGCTTCTCTCCTTGATTAGTTTCCATCCGTTGCTTCTTGTTCAGCCTTCAGGTGCTTTGGAGAATAGCTTGACTCCCTCTTCTTTGGGGCAGCCCCTGAGATACTGGAACATGGCTGTCATGTCCCTCCTCGTCCTTCTCTTCATTAGACTAAACATACCCAATTCCAGCAACTGTTCCTTATATGCTTTAGCCTCCAGTCCCCTGATCATCTTTGTTGCTCTTCTCTGTACTCTTTCTAGAGTCTCAGCATCTTTTTTATATCGTGGTGACCACAACTGGATGCAGTATTCCAAGTGTGGCCTTACCAAGGCCTTGTAAAGTGGTATTAATACTTCACATGATCTTGATTCCATCCCTCTGTTATTGCAGCCTAACACTGTGTTGGTTTTTTTGGCAGCTGCAGCACACAGCTGGCTCATATCTACCTTTCTTCCACCCTTGCTCTCCTGGTCCTTCTGCAGTGGCTGGAAATAGGGGCATGGGGGGTGGAGTCTTCTCTTGCACGGCGGGTGCGCACCTCTCCTCTCCTTCCTTGCAGAAGGAGGAAGCCGAAGCTCGGGCCCGGGAAGAGGCTGAACGCCAGCGAGTGGAACGGGAAAAACATTTCCAGAAGGAAGAACAAGAGCGGCTGGAGAGGAAGAAGGTAAGAGGGTTGCCCCAGAATCCCTGCTCAGTTGCCCCTGGAGTGACGTGGAAACCTCCGTAATAGCTTTATTCTATAAAGGAGAAGGGGCACTTGGGAATTTGCTTCCAAAGCAAGCAGGCCAGCTGGTCTTAGCCACTGGGTTGGAGGGCAACCATCCCAGGCAGGGGGTCAAATGGGGAATAGTCTGGAGTCGGTATGTAAACACAAGACACAGGAGGCCTGACCCTGCCTTGAAGGCAATTAGACTTATCTAGTCTTTCCCCAGGGGCAAGCTGCCAGTCTAGGAAGATTCCTGGGAAATAGGCACAAAGCAATAAAGTAGCTTATTTGTACTCGACAACACGTGTGGGTCTGGTTGTTGGGTGCTTGAACTACTGGATTTTAAAGAGTTGCAATCAAAATCGTGACGTCTTTGGTTAAATTCAATTTCATTGGCAAGCACAGTTAAAACCCACCCCGTCATGTGGTCAAGATTCAAGCGCTTGGCAACCAGCATCCATTGGCCATGGTTGTATGGTTCCGGGGTCTTGAGATCACCATTTCCAACCTTCCCAACTGGCTTCTGACAAGCAAAGTCAATGGGAAAAGCCAGAGTTTGCTTAACGATCTCATGATTCGCTTAGCCACTGCCGTGATCTGCTTAACAATCATGGCGAAAAGATCACACAATTGGGTACGACTCACTGAACAACCAGTGGAAATTCTGGTCCCAAGTGTACTGGGATAACACTTCAACGGTGGAATGTAATTCTTGTTCAGGATCCTGAATCTTGCTCAGGATTCCCTGTGTGAATCCTTCTGGTTCGAAAAAACGTACAGGATCTTCGCGCATACCTTACCTCATAGCAAAACATCCAAATAATCCCTGTATCGCCTCACTGTTTTATAAAATCAGACTTCCCCTCCTGTTGTGACTGGTGAGGCAGCAAATTTTTGCATTTCAATAGGGCCTTTCTTCTTCTTCTTTTTGTCAATCTTGTTCTGTTTTTCTCCTTGCAGCGCCTGGAAGAGATCATGAAACGGACACGAAAAGCCGATGGAGCTGATGCAAAGGTGATTGATTTTCCTGGCCTCTTCTGGCAGATGAGAGGACCGTGAGCTGCTGTTTCTGGCCTTAGATAGGGTGATGCCCACGGAAGAGGTAGCAGATAGCAGCCGTCCTTCTGGATGAACGGGAGCGCAATTCAGCCTGGGCTCTCCCGTGGCTCTTAAAACATTTGTGCCCAGCTGCTCCACAGAAGCTTTGAGTCTGCCAGTCTGCTGTGCCCCTCTTACGATAGGGCAACTTTGGATCTCTGGCACCCCACCAACTCGGGGGCCTTTGCAGAGGCCCAGAAACAGTGGACAGTTTTCCTTCCAATCGGGATCAGGCACCGTGACCAGAGGATTACTCTTCCGAGCTTTATGTAGGCCAAAGCACGTATTCCAGTAGAGATAAATTCCCTGAAGATGGGCTGCAGCACAACTCCGAAAGCTGGGAAGATAGAGCCTCTGGCCACGGTGACCGACCCAGATTGGATCTTGTGACATTATCCTGGGACACGTATATTTGCCTTCATTCGTGAGTCTTCCTTCCTTCCTTCCTTCCTTCCTTCCTTCCTTCCTTCCTTCCTTCCTTCCTTCCTTCCTTCCTTCCTTCCTTCTCTTTCCTTCCTCCCTCCGTTCCTTCCTTCCTTCCTTCCTTCCTTCCTTCCTTCCTTCCTTCCTTCCTTCCTTCCTTCCTTCCTTCCACGAGAAGATAGCAACCGTGAACATCCGCCAACATACTGGTTGAAGACTTGCTTCCTTCTCCCTTAAATAGATCTCCACTCCTTTTTTTGCAGAAGAAAGAGGACAAGAAGATGGTGAACGGCAAGGAAGGGAAGCAAGGGGGTGGAGTGTGTCCAGGTGAGAATCCCTTTTTGCATCCTTCAATGTCCTCCCTATTGAATCGGATTACAGGTTGCCTTCAACTTCGCACCATTCATTCAGCAACCGTGTGAAGTTGCAACCACCCCGGAAAAAGCGATTTGACAACTGGTCCTCCCACTTGTGACCATCACACGCATTCCCATAATCACACGCTCAAAATTCAGGTGCTTGGCAACCACCATGTACTTACAATGGCCGTAGCATCCCAGGGTCACGAGATCAACAGTTGTGACCTTCCCAGCTGGCTTCCAACAAGCAAAGTCAGCGGGGGAAGCTGGATTTGCTTTAAGGCCCATGTGATTCATTTAACAACCGCCTTGTTTAGCAATGGAAATTCTGGTCCCAGCTGTTATCGTACATTGAGGACTACCTGTCATCTCGTGAGCCTGTTTCTCTCTCTCTTTTTTTTAATGAACTCTGCTCCAAGACTCACCGTGGATGAATATAGATTCATTTGGGGTCCTATTGATAACTCCAGCTTTCTTTTGGGGGGGGGAAGCAGGAGGAGGTCCTGGAAGGACCGTGGTGGCACAGCAGTTGGCATGCAGCACTGTAGGCTAACTCACTGCTCACTGCAGCAATTCGATCCTGAGTGGCGGAAGGTTGACTCAGCCTTCCACCCTTCCCGGGTCGGTAAAATGAAGACCCAGGTTGTTGGTGGCAAAAGGCTGACTCTGTAAACCGCTTAGAGAGGCTTTAAAGCATTGTGAAGCGGTATATTAGTCTAAGTCAGGGGTCAGCAACCTTAAACCGAGGTGTTTAAAATGAGCCGAGGGGGCGCAGCAGTTAGAGTGCAGTACTGCAGGCCATTTTAGCTGACTGTGTTCAGCAGGTCAGCGGTTCAAATCTCACCGGCTCAAGGTTGACTCAGCCTTCCATCCTTCCGGGGTAGGTAAAATGAGGACCCGGATTGTTGGGGGCAATGTAAATAGATATATACATTGCTTACTGGTGTACACCGCTTAGAGAGTGCTTGCACTTAAAGCGGTATATAAGTCTCATAAATAAATAAATAAATAAACACTCAAAGAGCCACTTGGACCTGTTTCCCAGAGAAAAGAAAACACTGGGAGCCGCAAAACTTGCACATGCGCACGCGCAAGAAGGGGGAGCTTGATTGAAAAGTTTAATTAAAAAGAAATAGAGGCTGCTGTGCATGAGTTCTCTCTCTCCCTCCCTCCTTCTCTCTCTCCCTCTCTTTGTCTCCCTCCCCCCCCCTCCCTCTCTGATCTTCTGCTCACCTGGCAAGCTGGCTTCACGCTGTTCTCGGACAAGCTGACACACATTCTTATTGGGCTGGCTCTCTCCTGCCCTTGGTCTGCCAGTCCTCTTCCCCCACTCAGTGAGAGAGAGAGAGAGAGCGCGCTACTGCTTCCTGCTTCGACGCAGCAAAGACAGAAGCCCCACCTAATAAGCTTGTCAGCTTGTCCGAGAATAGCGTGAGGCCACTCTCTTTTACATACAGAGAGAAAGAGAGGGAGAGAGGGAGGGAGAGAGAGAGAGAGAAGCACAAGTGCCTCTCTCTGTCTCTCTCTCTCCCTCTCTCTCTCTCTCTCTCTCTCTCTCTGCAAATGGCGGAGGAGGCTGGGAGCCGCAGGAAAAGGCTCAAAGAGCCACATGCGGCTCCGGAGCCGCGGGTTGCCGACCTGTACGCTAAGTGCTATTGCTATTTCTCCCCTCCTTTCCTTGTGGTGCAGTGGTTAGAATGCAGTGTAGCAGGCAAACTCTGCCCACAGCCTGGAGTTCGATCCTGATCGGCTCACGATTGACTCAGCCTTCCATCCTTCCGAGATCGGTAAAATGAGGACCCAGATTGTTGGGGGGGGGGGGCAATAGGCTGACTCTGGAAAACCACTTAGAGAGGGCTGTAAAGCACTGTGAAGCGGTATATAAGTCTTCAGTGCTATTGCTATTTCTTTTACTATTCTGTGGCCTCCAGGGAGCTTAATAGAAGATTTTCTTCCATTTTCAGATAGCAAGAAATATCCCGGAAGTCTTCCCAAAGAAGAAGAACTGCCCGAGATGCAACCCTCCAGTCCAGCCAGTCGCAAAGGGCCAGGTCCGGAAGATATGCAGCACAGGTATGTAAAGAGTTGGAAAGACAGATCGGAACGTGACAGGAATGCCATGGGAGGTACTTTCCCAGAACCCCCTTCTTTGTTGCTATAAAACGATAAAGATCTCGCTCAAGTGGAGCTTCACGCATCTAGGTGGTTTTCTTGTCAACGATACGGCAGGGACTGCGAAAGCTTTCTCTTCTGGAATGTCCTGGATTTTTCTGGTATTCCTTCATCCAGCTACTAATCCAGTCCAACCAGCTGAGCCTTTTTTCAAGATCGGCCAAATTATTCAGGTGGCTGTTTTTCCACTTTGGCAACTTGAAGATGTGATGACTTCAACTCCCAGAATTCCCCACCCAGCTCAAAAGTCCTTACGCCAATCCAAGGAAGAACCCGTGGGGCTAAAGCAAAGATTTCTTGTGTGTCAGCACCTGTGTGTTGTGTGCAAAGATCTGCTCTCCAGAATGTAGATCTGGGGGTTCTCCCTTTTGCCCACCTTTGCTTTTCCTGTGCGTCTCCTTGAGGGAAGCTTGGGATGCCGTGACTTCACCCCCACCCCTTCTCTTTCCGCTGCAGCTGCCCCATCAACCCCACCCTGACCCTGGTGAATGGCCTGCAGTCCAGCAAGCATGAGAATGGCTTCCCCTCTCCCCAGGAGCCCGGTGGACGGGAGCACCCTGCAGGGTCCGGGCTAAGCGTGGCTAATGAGCCCATCCTGCCTTTTGCCAACAAGGAGCCCTTCCTCAACAACGCCGTGGCCAAGGCGCCCCAGGTCACAGGTAAAGTCGCCGCCATTCTCCAGCAAGGAGCATCTTCTGTCCAATGGGGTTCAGTAGGGAGGCGGACTCCCAGGAGGGAGGGGCTGCATTCCAGAGGAGTCGAGAGGCAACTTGGCCCAGATATTGTGGGAGAGAAAGAGGGTGAGGACAGCTCCTCCCTAACAGTTCATAGAGTACAGAACACATCGACTTACGACCACGGTTGGGGCCAGAATTTCCGTTGGTAAGCAAAGCGGTTGTTAAGTGATTCACGCTGGATCTTACAACCTTTATTACCCAATTTCAAGCAGTTGTTAAATGAATCCCATGGCCATTAAGCGAATCCAGCTTTCCCATTGATTTTGCTTAATAATAATAATAATAATGTAGTACCAATAGTAATAGGCTCCTTGGGTGCAATCCCAAAACAACTGGAGCACCACTTGAACACCACTGGCATTGACAAATTCGCTATTAGTCAATTGCAAAAGGCAGCCTTACTAGGAACTGCTTCCATCCTGCGACGATACCTGTAATACTATCAAACATCCACATCTGCCTATCCCAGGTTCTGGGTAAGGACTTGATAGGTAGACAAAATGCCAAATCCAGTCTGAACATCTGGCTGACTGTGCGATAATCCATAATAATAATAATAATAATAATAATAAATATTAATAATAAAGTTGGAAGGGACCTTGGAGGTCATTGAGTCCAACCCCCTGCTCAGGCAGGAAACCCTACACCATTTCAGACAAGTGGCTGTCCAGTCTCTTCTTAAAAACTTCCAGTGTTGGAGCATTCACTGCTTCTGGAGGCAGGTGGTTCCACTGGTTGATTGTTCTAACTATCAGGAAGTTTCTCCTTAGTTCTAGGTTGCTTCTCTCCTTGATTAGTTTCCATCCATCGTAACTGGAGGACAACCTATATTCAGTCCTGTCTTGTACAGGGAAGCTTGGCGGGTCAAACCTGGAGCGTTTTAGTCCTCCAAATTTCTGATTTGTCTCTTTTCTTTTCCTCCTGCAGAGGTTCTGTAGAAGGGAATGCCAAAGGACGGGGGCAACGGCCGGCCATCTGCAGGCTACGTTAGAATGGAGGAGGTTGACCCGGGGTGAATTCTGCCCCTCTCTGGACGTGAGGGCAATGCAAGGAGCCAGGCTGGGGTGCCAGCCCTGTGGACTCACTCACACTTCTTCCTGTCCTCATTTTATGACTAGTATTATTTTTTTAATAAGCACCTTATCCGACTGACCCCATCTCATAGCTCATCTTCAACACTATATAACCACATAGTTATTTAACTGGCTGGGTAACAAAGGATGTGAATAATGTATATAAACTTGGATGCTAGCACGAGGACTGCGCCTTTGTGATCTGGCTGCCCCTGCATTTTTAGGTGAGGGCCGGATCGCAAGGAGGGGAGATCAGACCCCCAACTCCAGAAGGGTTTTCCTAAACAAGGGTGTGTCAGTGTTGCAGGTGAGGGTGTGTTCCGGCTAACGGGAAGCATTTAGATCAGTGTTTCCTAACCTGGACAACTTTAACTCTTCCCAGTTCCCCAGCCAGCCAGCCACCCAGCCAAGGTTGAGAAACATGGATCTAGATCTCTTATTTAAAAACCTCTCCCTGTCGGTCTCAGCCAGGAGATGGGCAACATTGTGTGGTTGTGTGTGAGTGTATGTGTGTGTGCACTGTTAGCGACTCAGCAGCTGCCATCGTCCAACACACTGTGCTTTTTTTTGAGGAGGGGGTGCTGCTGTTTCTCAGTGGGGCATTGACTGGGGCTGCTGCGCTCAATGTCACGGTGACAGTATTATGCCTCTGAGCAACCTTTGTGGACAATAAAATGGAGAAATCAAGGGAGGGGCGTCTCTTCTTTGTGACTGACATTGGCCAACTGGGGGGGGGGATGTCCTGCTTACTCTGCTAAGATGGTCTTCTTAAACCTGGTGTGCACCTCTTTTTAGAGGGGGGGGGACCTGAACCGAGTAGTCTTGCAGACTGAGAGGGGCGACATATAAATGTAACAAATAAATAATCAAACTCCCCCAGTCTTACACTTATGTAGCCATCCAGCTTTCAACCAGCTCTGGGTGGCTCCCAATCAAACACCAAAAGACGCATGAAATCATATTAAAACTATAAAGCCAAACCAATGAAAACCTTCAAAAAATAACATAAACCTGGCATCGGATCCAAGTGCTAAAGGGTGATTTATCTACTCTCCTCCCAGCATTGGGGGGGGGGGGGAAGCCAGGTCTTCAAATCTTTGCGGAAGGCTGGGAGGGAGGGCAGAGGCCTGCTGAACTTCGTGGGGCAAAGAGTTCCATAGGGCGGGGCTGCCACGGAAAAGGCATGCTTCCTAGATCCCATCAGGTGGCAAAATTTAGGGGAAGGGAGTGCCCATCTCATCTGACCTAGTAGGACAGGTAGACGTCCTTAGGAAAAGGCAGTCCCGTAGGTAGCCCGTGTCTATGTCCAGAGGACTTTGAAGGTCGATGACTAATTTCCCAGTTGACCTGGGAAACTCTTGACTCTCGTAGACCAAGCTAAGTCAAAAATGCTGGAGAATTTCTGGAAGCCTGACACTCCGGCAAATTATCCATCAACAGACACACAGGCATAAGCAATATCTATTTGGTGGCGCAGTGGTTAAAGTGCAGTATTGCAGGCAAACTCTGCCCACTGCCAGGAGTTTGATCCTTGACTCAGCTTTTCATCCTTCTGAGGTTGGTAAAATGAGAACCCAAATTGTTGGGGACAATATGCAGAAAATGCTTCCAATTGTAAATTGCCCAGAGAATACTATAAAGCAGGGGTGTCCAACCTTGGCAACTATAAGACTTGTGGACTTCAACTCCCCAGCTGGCTGAGGAATTCTGGGAGCTGAAGTCCACAAGTCTTAAATTTGCCAAGGTTGGGGACTTCTGCTATAAAATGCTATGGGGTGGTATATAAGCCTAAATGCTATAATGCTATATATAATGCTACTAAAAGAGAACAAAACGCCTCCCCACCAGCTGTAAACACCCAGATAAGCAATCCAAGATTAATATCAGACTGTTAGTCAAGAAGCCAATATCCCAATCAGGAAACTGCCAATCAAACTAATAGTAAAGTATTATTACCACTTTACAATGCCTTGGTAAGGCCACACTTGGAATACTGCATCCAGTTTTGGTCACCACAATGTAAAAAAGATGTTGAGACTCTAGAAAGAGTACAGAGAAGAGCAACAAAGATGATCAGGGGACTGGAGGCTAAAACATATAAGGAACGGCTGCTGGAATTGGGTATGTCTAGTTTAACAAAGAGAAGGACGAGTTTAAGCTGCTGGACTGGTATCGGGGAGACCCGGGTTCAAATCCTCCCTCAGTCACAGAATCTCCAAAAGGTTTGAAAGATTTTTTTTTATGTCCACCCCAAAAGTGCCCCCTGGAATTGGTCATGCTGACCAAGCCCGGTGGTATTTTTGCCAATCCAGAATTAACATCCTGCCAGCACCAATCAGAACAGAGTTTTTCAACCTTGACCCATGCAGGTTATGCTGTCTCTGGCCAATCTAATCATTCCCTCCCTTGGCAGCGTCTCTTAGCCTGAGTCTCCCAAGATTTTTTTCCACATAACATTACATCTCTGTGCAGCTGCCCCACCCCTTGGCCCAGGGCTCCCTGCAATAGCCAGCCTTCTAGATCTCATAATAATAATAGTAGTAAAGTTGGAAGGGACCTTGGAGGTCACCTAGTCCAACCCCCTGCTCAGGTAGGAAACCCTACACCATTTCAGACAAATGGCTGTCCAGTCTCTTCTTAAAAATTTCCAGTGTTGGAGCATTTACTGCTTCTGGAGGCAGGCTGTTCCACTGATTAATTGTTCTCACTGTCAGGAAGTTTCTCCTTAATTCTAGACTGCTTCTCTCCTTGATTAGTTTCCACCTGTTGCTTCTTGTCCTGCCTTCAGGCACTTTGGAGAATAGCTTGATTCCCTCTTCTTTATGGCAGCCCCTGAGATATTGGAACACGGCTATCATGTCCCCCCTTGTCCTTCTCTTCGTTAAACTAGACATACCCAATTCCAGCAATCGTTCCTTATATGTTTTAGCCTCCAGTCCCCTAATCATCTTTGTTGCTCTTCTCTGTACTCTTTCTAGAGTCTCAACATCTTTTTTACATCGTGGTGACCAAAACTGGATGCAGTATTCCAAATGTGGCCTTACCAAGGCATTGAAGAGTGGTATTAATACTTCACGTGATCTTGATTCTATCCTTCTGTTAATGCAGCCTAGCACTGTGTTGGCCTTTTTGGCAGCTGCAGCACACTGCTGGCTCATATTTAAGTGATTGTCTACTAGGACTCCGAGGTCCCTCTCACAGTTACTACTATTGAGCATGGTGCCACCTATGCTGTACTTGTGCATTTGGTTTTTCTTGCCTAAATGTAGAACCTTGCTTTTTTCACCCTTGAATTTCATTTTGTTAGTTAGTGCCCAGTGTTCAAGTCTGCCCAGATCCTTCTGTATCTTAAGCCTGTCTTCATGTCAAAACAGAAATCAGTGTTGTTCTTTGGAAGCACCCTGCCAGACAGGGAGGAGGGATCAAGTCACTGCGCAACCATAAAGAAGCAGGCAAACCTCCCTGAATTCTTTATAGTCTTGTATAATTGTTCCCAACAGAGAGCTGCCACACTGGGAACATTCTGTATTATAGACAGACTATAATAAAGTAGCTGGAACTCTGCACATGTAAGTCTGGTTGTTCCAGCCTGACAGCTGCCATTTAGGCTCCATTGACTTGGACAAATGGGCAGGAACCTCCACGCAGCTTTTGTGAATCAACTGTAGAGTCAACGTTTTAAAAAGGGTTTGCATTCTTGATGCCTGTTATATTTTCGGCCATCTCAACTCCATCTTTCCCTGAAGAGCAGAGGCCCAATGGGTAACAGTCCAGAGATCTTCAAAATGTTTTCTCCAACAGCAGTAAACCTGAACCAAATAAATATTCCATTGTCCAAACTTTCCCCGAGTTTGTGCCCAATCCAAGAATTCGATAAAACATGCCAGATGATCAACGGAGGTCATCGAAAATATATTTACTCAACCCAAGTAACATGGGATGGCTGCCAGAGTGGATTGCTCTCCTATCTCCCTTCTCATAGTCTTACAGAGTCATCTGGGCGGTGTAGAAATTTAGTAAAACAGGTTTTCAGTTGAAAGATTTAGCTAGTCATCAAATGGAATGTATTAATTTATTGCAATACACGTACTCCTCAACTTAATAACCAGTGACTTATGACAGAGCCCCCCCCCAAGTTCCCATGGCCACCCCTCCCCCACAGTCATGCGACCACAATGTCTCATAGCAAATAATGTTTGCTTAACAACTACTGCAAAACAGGTTGTAAACTTGAGTGTGATCACATGGTAACCCACTAACAACTGTCACAACCACATATAAAGAATGCTTGAAGGAATTGGGTATGTCTAGTTTAATGAAGAGAAGGACGAGGGGGGACATGATAGCAGTCTTCCAATATCTCAGGGGCTGCCACAAAGAAGAGGGAGTCAAGCTATTTTCCAAAGCACCTGAAGGCAGGAGAAGAAGCAACGGATGGAAACTAATCAAGGAGAGAAGCAACCTAGAACTAAGGAGAAACTTCCTGACAGTGAGAACAATTAACAGTGGAACGACCTGCCTCCAGAAGCGGTGAATGCTCCAACACTGGAAGTTTTTAAGAAGAGACTGGACAGCCATTTGTCCGAAATGGTGTAGGGTTTCCGGCCTGAGCAGGAGGTTGGACTAAATGACCTCCAAGGTCCCTTCCAACTTTTTATTATTATTATTATCGATCATCGCACAGTCAGCCAGATGTTCAGACTGGATTTGGCATTTTGTCTACCTATCGAGTCCTTACCCAGGACCTGGGATAGGCAGATGTGGATGTTTGATGGTATTACAGATATCGTCGCAGGATGGAAGCAGTTCCTAGTAAGGCCGCCTTTTGCAATTGACTAATAGCGAATTTGTCAATGCCAATGGTGTTCAAGTGGTGCTCCAGTTGTTTTGGGATTGCACCCAAGGAGCCTATGACTATTGGTACTACCCTTGCTTGCTTTTGCCACAGTCTTTCTATTTCTATTTGTAGGTCTTTGTATTTTGTTATCTTCTTCAGTTCTTTCTCTTCTATTCTGCTGTCTCCAGGCATTATTATTATTATTATTATTATTACGTTAGAACCAAAACTACAGGCTCAATTATGGCCATAAGTCAAGAGCTACCTATCTTCCTCCTGTGCAGTTCTTATTTTTTTCATACTCTGTTAAAAGGGATGTTTCCTCGTCTATAATTAACCACAAATGTCTTGCAAAAGAGCATCTCGTCTTTCGTAGGTATATATCTTCGAACACATAAAATATTTGTCTTCTTTTATGAAGGTCTGCCAAAGTGCTGTGCTCATTTATCTATGTTGTCTTTCAACAATCCTTAATTTAAACATACTGTAAATGTGTAAGGAAAATCCTCTTAACACTATGAATGCTGACTCACCACTGCAACTGTGTTATCCCATCTGGCTTTCCAAGCTTCGAAAGGCAAGTTTTGGATTGATGAACCGGAGCTGTTTGGAAGGATGGAGGAATTAGGAGTTAGGTAGGAGTTATGTTTGTATGCTGCAAAAAAGACTGGAAATGGCTTCTTTAGACGTTGTTTTCTCTTTTCTTGTCTCTGTGAGAAATTTGATATCCAAATATATTTTATTCTGTATACTGTTTCCATCTTCCCCTTAAAATATTAACAGAATCCACAATGATCTGAGAATCAGTGTCTCTGCTAGATTATTAACAGTCAAGCAAACTTCCTCAAGTAAATTGCCCAGATCTAATCCACATATCAAAGGATAAGGTCTGCAAACACAAACTGAACTAATTAAATTAGGTCTCCCAGAGGAACTGCTTTTTCACAAGAATAAACATACTTCCCACACACACACACACACACATCAAGTATCACTCTAGGTTCAGCATGTGATACCCCAGACAAGCTCCCCCTATAAAAAAAATCTGCTGCTGTACCCCATTTCTCTGGCAAGCTGTTCTGCTTTCAGGAATAAATATTCTTTCCTCACAGCTGTCTGGATCTCATTTTTGTTTATTCTTGGGCAGCAGCTCCGACTGGGGTTGGAACCCCAAATTATTCTTCGGGCAACTCTTTAACTGTGTTGAAGGAAAAGTCTTCATCATGATTCAGGCTGGCCGGGAATAAACAACATGGTGACTGCTTTAGGAAGAAGGTTGCAGTTTATTGAAGAGAAGAGCCAGACCGGAAGATGGCTCTGGAAGAAAAGAGAGAGAGAGCACACACGTAGGAAGTGGGTTTTTATACCCTCTGGAGCCTTTTGTTCATCCTGTGGCATGAACTTTGACCTGAGTCTGTGTTTGCCTTTCTGGTATTCTGATGGTAGTGGATTAATCCTATTAAATCCCAAGGGTCATATCCTGCTTCCCTGGGGCTGATAATGCTTAGATTTTTGGTGTTTCTTCCTAACCCGTTTCCTGACTCCAGTCTGACAAGATTATCACATCTGCAATTTGCAGACTTGGTTTCTGTTTGGGACAGAGAGACTTGGGGGGGGGGTTGGTTTCTGCCTTTAAAATCCTTTAGGGCAGGAGTAGGCAACCTTGGCTCTTTTATGACTCGTGGACTTCAACTCCCAGAATCCCTGAGCCAGCCTCGCTGAGGAGAAATGGAGAGGTTTCTATGCTGAGCCATGCTGGCTCAGGAATTCTGGGAGTTGAAGTCCACGAGTCATAAAAGAGCCCAGGTTGCCTACCGGTGCCCTAGGCCTAGGCCGCTTTATGATTCATGAACTTCAACTCCCAGAATTCCTGAGCCAGCCGCACTGAGGAGGAGAGGTTTCCAAGCTGAGCCATGCTGGCTCAGGAATTCTGGGAGTTGAAGTCCATGAGTCATAAAAGAGCCCAGGTTGCCTACCCGTGCCCTAGGCCTAGGCTGCTTTATGATTCGTGGACTTCAACTCCCAGAATTCCTGAGCCAGCCACACTGAGGAGAAGTGGAGAGGTTTCCAAGCTGAGCCATGCTGGCTCAGGAATTCTGGGAGTTGAAGTCCACCAGTCATGAAGGGGCCCAGATTGCCTACCCCTGCTTTAGGGAAATACATTCTATCTTTTAAATATTTCCAAAAATATTTCTTTCTCGGGGAGGGGGGAGCTGACTTCCCACAACTGCATTCTCACTTTTTAAAATAATAATAATAAAAAAATCTTTTCACACCCGTTCCTTTATTTCCCCTAATGCTTCCTTTATATTTTTAATTCTGTCCCCTTCCCCCCCCCCCCCAAAAAAAAACAAGCCTCAAGGGTTTAGTTCGGGATTGAATGGAAGCCACAGAAGCCAAATCATTTCCTGGACCTGAACTGGATTCACTTTCGTTTCCCTCCGGCTTGAAGCGGAAACCGAAACTGACTCCCTGCCCGCTCCATAAAAGCGGGAAGGGGGCGCTGCGCCTCCAGTCGCCGCACAGTCTCTCCGCCGTTGCGCCGCTTCTGCAAGAGCTGCAAGCGGTGCGAAGCCGGGTCTGGTTTAACGGGCGGGGAAGGGTCTCCCGGCAATGGATAAGCCCCAGGATTCTCGGGCGGGGACGTACATGGCAGGGGGCTGCGGGGGGGGGGGGGAGGGAAAGCGGGGATGCTCTCACGCCATCCCTTCCCTGGACCATTTTTAATACCCCCCCCCCGCAATTGGGAAGATGAGAGGGGCGGGGGGGGCTGTTGGATGCCGGCTGGGTTTGGGGGAGAGGGAAGGGGGGGGGAGTGGATCAGCCGCCCCTGCTGAGTAGCCTGCGAGGAGGAGGATAAAACGCAACTGCCTATCGGGCTGCTTGGAACCCGACTCCGAAAGGAGGCTGCGCTCGGGTGGGTTTTGGAAGAGGGGAGAAGCCCCCCTGATGCTCGCGGAGGGCTTTGGAGAGAGCTTGCTGGAAGGGAAGGGAATGCATTTTGCCCCCCCCCTTGCAAGGGGGGGTGGGAAGGGGAGGGTGGCAAGGAATGGCTCTTTTCCCAAAAGGCCCTTGCAACTTCTCCAAGCGCCTGATCCGGCTGGCGAGAAGAGTCTCTCTCTCCTTTTGCTCCACTACACAAACCAGCATCCTTGTTCCTGCTGGCTGGGGCTGCTGGGGTTTGGAACTGCCGAGGGAGCCTTTGGGTTAGGATTGGCTCACCTGTTTCCAGCAAGATGCATGGGGGGGGGAAGAGGTTGGGTGTCCTCCCAAGGTCAGGATGAGAAAATTCCTGCACGTAATTCCTTTTCGGCTGGCTGAGGTGCATTTGTCTTCGTGCAGGGCTGTCTGCATCGGCTGGAAAGGAAGACCAATAGTTACCAATGGGTGAGTTTGCTCTTTGAGTACATCCTAACTGTTAGCAAGGAAGTTTCCTTCCACTCTTCCTGGTAGCAGATGCTTTCCCCTCAGGCCTGCCTTTCCCTTCTGCCCTGTTCCCTCTCCCTTCCCTCTTCCTTCCCTTCCCCTCCCTTCCCTTAATTTCCTCTTTTCCCAATTGGTTTTGTTTGGAAATATTTCTCCTTGCTTTTATTACCCTGAAATGAATGAAGCAACCTAGGTGGTTAGTCTACACAGCCACAATATTATAACTAAGCAAGTTAGATTTAAACCTGATTTTTTTTTTCTGCTTTGTTCAACCAGCCATCTTCCTATCTGGTTCCTTTGGATGGTTAAGTTATATTAAGGAACCAGGAGAGGCCGGTTGTGGGAGTGTAGCCATAAAGGGGGGTTCCTAGATCTAGTCGTTTTGTGCAGTCAGCTACAGCTAGTTGGAATGCAAATATTTTCTGCTATTGGTACTTGGGCCTGGCCGTCATGTTTTGTCAGAGGGTCTCATACTTTGTCAGATTGTGTCCCCTGCCATTTGAATTTGTATGATTCCCCCCCCCCCCAAAAAAAAAATAATAAAATGGTTTCCTTGGGGTTTGTGTCAAGCAAAAAATAAATGTCAGGCCCCAGGAACTATGAATGACACCTGCAGTTAGTTTAGTTTCCTTTGTTGTTCTTCACCTATTTGTTTTGACAAATAACTCAACATGGCAAACATCCATCTTCCTCCTTCTATTTTCCCCACAACAGCCTAGTGGGGTGGGCTGAGAGTGAGCAACTGGCTTTCATGGCTAAAGTGGGAGTTGAACTCACAGGCTCCCGCTTTCTAGTCTGGTGCCTTAACCACTAGACCAGGGGTCCCCAACCCCCAGTCTGTGGACTGGTACTGGGCTGCAGCATGCCAGCAACCAGTCTGCACAAACAAGCAAAGCCCCGTCCATGGGATTCAGGCAGCACACAAACCCACGCACTCTCCAGTTTGTAAAAACCTCTCTCCATGGAACCAGTCCCTGGTGCCCAAAAGGTTGGGGACCTCCGCACTAGACCAGGGGTAGGCAACCTTGGCTCTTTTATGATTCGTGGACTTCAACTCCCAGAATTCCTGAGCCAGCCATGCTGAGGGGAAAAGGAGAGGTTTCCAAGCTGAGCCATGCTGGCTCAGGAATTCTGGGAGTTGAAGTCCACCAGTCGTGAAGGGGACCATAGTTCCCCCATGCTGGCTCAGGAATTCTGGGAGTTGAAGTCCACCAGTCATGAAGGGGCCATAGTTCCCCCATGCTGGCTCAGGAATTCTGGGAGTTGAAGTCCACGAGTCATAAAAGAGCCAAGGTTGCCTACCCCTGCACTAGACCAAACTGGCTCTAATTTGCCTTTGCTGATGAGGATATACAGGAAAGGCAGTGGGTGGTTCTTCCCTTGTGAATTTTATTCTTTTGAAGATACAGTATTCATCGTTTCATATGACTCTAGAAAAGAATCTTGCCAGACTGAAGCAACTGTTTGCATAATTGCAGATATACTCTGGGAATAATTAGAGAGGAGACGTTTTAACCCCTTTCCTGCTAGCCAAACTCTACAAGCAGCATTGCCTCTTTGCTCTCTAGAAAGCAGCTCCTCCCTCCTGGGAATCCAGACTACATTCCCACCACAATATGCTTTCTAAAATGGCAGCACTTCACCCTGGCTTCCTTCACTCTCAAGTGTGCAAAAACCCAACACTCTTAAGGACCATCCTCTTCGGGAATCGTGTTACGCGACCTTGCTCTGCATTGGATTTGGAGACTTTTAGCAAGAGAGGAACTGTGGATAAAGCTGTTCGGGGTGAGTCTCTGTTGCGGGGGTTGAAGGTGTCAGCACAGCAGCAGCAGTGTCGGGTTGCGCGTTCCGAGGTGGAGGCAATGTGAAAGAGGAAACAGGTAGACAGAGTGGAGGTCTAGCAACTAAGCTAAAGGATAATACATATAGAGCAGGGGTCTTCAAACTTGGCCCTTTTATGACTTGTGGACTTCAACTCCCAGAATTCCTCAGTTAAAGTGGGAAAGAAATAGAATAACATAGAATAAAGAAGAATAAAGTATAATAATAATAATAATAATAATAATAATAATAATAATAATGAAAAATCACTAAAAGCAAAAATCATGTGTCTGCATAATCTCTGAAAGAAAGCTGTGTTAGCCAACAGCTGTATTAACAGTACGTGAATGACCTAATGCATATTTAGAAACATTGTATAAAAGTAAAAACTGCCTTCATTGTATTCCCATGAGAAATGGACTTAACGTGTGAGAAACTATCTGAATGTTACACAAAGTAGATTCCATATACAATGTAAGATTCCATCTATGCTTCCTTTGTTCCTGAGAAAAAGAAACCTATAAAGCTTTAGTTTAGACCCTCCCCCTTGTTCAAAAATTTGCTGATTGTTAAATCACTTCTGAACCTTTTTGTGCAAAAATAAAGATCTCTCTTTCACCCATGGAATTTCGTAAAAGTCCTTATATTTTTTTAAGGCTTTATTTTTCCACAAGACAGTGAAGTCCACAAGTCATAAAAGGGCCAAGTTTGAAGACCCCTGATATATAGTGTCGCTACCATCTATTTCGTTCGCTAATGTGCTCCTTAAAGCCTAAAATGGATTATAGGAAGCTAGAGTTAATAAACTGGCAAATGAGAAACTGCTGTTGTCATTGCAATGGAAACTTGGTTAAAGCATTTCATCCCAGATAGTTTGAGTGGATGTTCAACATTTCGGCTTGCAGGTAATCCCCCCAGATACGAGCGTTTATTTAGCGACATTTCACAAAAAAGAGGTTATTCAGAAAGGGTACTTATGTTAAAAATTCAAAATTGCGATCAAAAACAGGCCTCTGTAGCCATGTGACTTGCATTGAATCTCGACTGCTGCGGTGGCCATTTTAACTCTGACTTGCCTGGGTCGGTTCGGGCCTACGAGAAAGTTTTAAATTTAAATTGCCTCCAGAGGTTGTGGGTGTTCTCTCACTGGAGGCTTTTAAGAAGAGTCTGGATAGGCATTTATCAGAAATACAGTACAATGCTGTACTCTCTTGTGAGAGCAGTGGGTTAGACTAGATGATCTCAAGGTCCCTTCCATCTCAGTTACTGTTGCAAACCAACAGTTCTGTAAACTCCACCCCATCTCCCTCTGCATGCCTGCTGGAGATGCTTAAGCTAATGGCCCTGTGTGTGTGTGTGTGTTTTAAAGCAATTGGAGATTTCTGTAAACACCTACTTTACTTTTACTTTTACTTTTTTACTTTACTTTGCTTTTTTAATGGCAGCTGCAATCATAGAGTTCTCCACCCCCCTCTGAAGAAGCTTGAGCTGCCTAGCAACAAATGACTTTAAAAAAAAAAGCCTACTGCCTACTTGGGAGGCAGTTTACAAGTACTGTGGTTACTGAAACCGGAAACAGCTGATTTGCAGCTGGAAACAGCCTGCAGCAGCAGCGGGAAAAGTCTCTCACTTCAGGCAGCCATCGGAGGAAATAGTAAATCAAATCTTCGTTCATTTAACCACCCATTTGATTCAATTAATGAGTGTCATTTTAAAATGTAACATTGAGTCTGATTCATTTGATGATTACGAGCCTAATGGGCAGACTCTATTAGGCTCTGGACTACCTGTATTTTCTGAGAGCGGGCATCAGAATTTGATTTTTTAATGGATGCCAGTGTGTTGACAGAAAAAAAAATGACAAAGGTTGTCTTTTAGTCACATTTATAGGTCATAAAGCAGGTTGGCTGGGGAATTCTGGGAATTGAAGTCCACACATCTTAAAGGAGCCGAGGATGAGAAACGCTGATACGAAGTAACAATATGACGTTAAAATAAAGCAATATCCATGGAAAGAAGAGCAATAATTTTGGTTTTCATATAGGCCTTTGTGTTGTTTTGTGTAGGAGGATAGGCAGAGTCAAGAGAGGAATCAGATGGAGTCCTTAAGTTCCCACAAGGGATCCAAGCCCAGCCCCTCTTGAATGCCGTTAACTCTTACCGAGTGCCAATTTAATGCTGATCTTTAGTTGACCAGATTCTTGCGTATAGGCCTGAGCAATAAATCGGCTTACCTAGAACTTTAACTATGATTCTTTGTGCCTAGCAGCTTTTCATCTAGTCTTTAACACTTTTGTGTACCAGATTTGACGAGTGTGCTCCAACCACTCTCCATTTGTGGTCTTGTGATCTCACTTGGGGAAAAATGGGTTAGTAGCTTCCCTGCAGCCTCTTAAGGGTCACAGGATGGTGCTATCACCCAAGTACATATGACGGTGTTTGGGGTTCATTTATGGTGGAGGTTGGAAAATGTGGTTTGAACATAGTCAAGAAGCTACAGTTCAGTAAACTGGTTGTCCAATTTTGTCTGGATTGCTACCCCACTACTTTGGTTTGGTTTTTCGATTCTTGTGGACTACAATCTTGTCTATTTCATTAACATAAGTCTCTTTACCTCCAGATTCTATACTTGGTGCTGCGGTTGGCCTGGGTGAGTTGTTGGTTTCTTCCTCCATCCGTATAGAAATGCAGGTCCTTGTGGGAACTGGAGGGTTTGAGATTACTCTTTTTGTCCTTGACTTTTAGTGTCTACCAAGTAAGAGGTGGAGGCTGAAGGGGGTGGAAGAGAAAAATAGATAAGCTGATAATGTCCAGTCGTTTGGATTCCATCACTCAAAATTGGGTGGGGATTCTGGGCTTTCTGTTCAGAAATCACCAGAACAGGAAAAGAATATTAACCTTGCTTCTTGTGAATCCTGGGATTATAGTCTTTGTCTACAGTTAGTCCTCGGCTTAGGACTGCTTGAAGTTACAACAACCTCGGAATGGATGCTTTACAGCCCATAAAGCAGTGGTTCTCAAGCTGTGGGTCGGGACCCCATTTGGGGTCGAACGACCATTTCATGGGGGTCGCCAAACAACGCAATCCGCCATTTTCCCCCCTTTTCTTTGGCCACGCCCCTGGCACCCGGTGATGTATAAGTGGTTGGGGGTCACTACAACATGGGGAACTGTATCATGGGGTCGTGGCATTAGAAAGGTTGAGAACCACTGCCATAAAGCATTTCCAGAGGTGGAAAAATGTTGCTTCTGCTCCTTCAGCATGGCCACATGACCACATTTTGGGCGTTTTGGCAATAGGCTCGCCTTTTTTTTTTTTGTGAAAAATTTTTTTATTTTCAATTTTACATTACATTCATGAAAAATACTTCAGATAAAGAGTAAAGTAAACTTATACACACAACTTTCGGTATTGCTCACCCATTTCCCCCCAAACTGCATCCTCCCTCTATAACCTCTTCTCTCACTTTCCTCTTTTCCTCTTCTTCCTCACTCTCCCCCTCTCCTCCTTCTCCTCAACCTTCCTACTTAATTTTCTCCCCTTCCTCCTGTCTTCTCACTCCGGATGAAGTCCAGGGGAAATGCTCGAGCAATTCCTCTCTCCAAATTAAAACATCAATATTATATACAATGAAACTTATTTCTACTTATCTGAGCTATTTAACCCCAATAGGCTCGCCTTTATAACCCATTGCCGTGTCCTGCAGTCACATGACTGTTTTGGGTCAGTTTCAGAAGAATGGGTTTATTTAATGGCCACCCCATTGGCTTAAGTCAAGGACTACCTGAACCTGGAAGAAATCAGGATGGGGAATCTGAATTATTCTCAAGGAGAGGGATTCACTGCAGGATTGGGGACCACAATTCAACTATGTGCTGTTCTTCTGGAGGAATCCCCAAAGTCCTGTGCTGGCATTGGCTCTTGTCCATCCTGGTTGTGGGGAGGGTTCACTAAACTACTCCCATCCCCATGCTTTGTGTTTATATCCTCCAAAACCGTAGTCAGAAACTGCCGCTGGAATTAATCGTTCTGCAGCCAGTGGTGGGAACCAACAAGCCGCAGGTGGATCATCTTGACTGCGCATCGTGTACCATCCAGTGCAAACTTCTGGAACAGAACATGTGCGTAACTGATCCTTCTGGGACCGCTCCAGAAGCGTTCAGGACATGCACTCTTTCTTCCCCATTGCTAACTGAGGAACTCTGGGAGTTGAAGTCCACAAGTCTTAAAGTGACCAAGTTTGGAGATCCTTAGTTTAGGGTGTTGTCTTTCAGAAGACAGCTGGGTCATCCTAGATCAGGGGCCTGCAACCTTGACAACTTGAAGACTTGTGGATTTCAGCTCCCAGAATTCCTCAGCCAGCATAGCTGGCTGAGGAATTCTGGGAGCTGAAGTCCACAAGTCTTCAAGTTGTCAAGGTTGCAAACCCCCGTCCTAGATCATTATGGAGTTTCTCTTGGCCTCTAAAAGTTGGCAATTCTTCCTGCGACACAAGGACCACAGTCAGCTCCATTTGTTTCCTTCCTCTACAGGTGTGGCTGTGGTGGGCATCCCGGCCGCAGCTGGCGCTTTGGGTTTCACTGCTGCAGGAATTGCAGCTGGTTCAATTGGGGCCAAAATGATGTCTGCTGCTGCCATCGCAAATGGAGGCGGAGTGGCCGCTGGGGGCGTGGTTGCCACCCTGCAGTCCATTGGTACGTTTCCTGGCCCTGCCCCGAGGATAGGTCTGATCAATGGGGACTGGCATCTTATCTTTTGCCTTATACCTCTCTTTGTCTAGGGGCTGCAGGGGTGCCGGCCGCCGTGTCGGCAGCAATAACAGCCACAGGAGCAGCGCTGGGAGCCTTAAAGGACCTTTGCAGTTGAGAGGCCAGCGGGGACCCCCCCCCTTCCATGAAATTAGTTTTGACTGTCAAAAGGCCTCTAGAGAAACCTGCTTGCAGAGGAAACGGCTGTTCCTTCTTACCTCCTTGCTTGAATTATTGTAGTTAATAGCCTACTTCCTCCTAGATTTGTTCAACTGCTTTTCTTGTAATAAAAATATCTTTTTGTCTCAGTTTATGTGAAATGTAACGGGATGTCCACCTCGATGGGTTTCCATTGACCCAAATTTGCAATCGCCTCCTTTTCCCGGCCGTGAAGAGGCAAAAAAAAAAAAAAAAAAAACCCAACCAAAAAAAACCAACCCAAGCCTCTTTTCTGAACCTCAAAACACTACTGATGCGCAAGGCGAAACGTACACCTTTTCCAATCCCCTGGGACCTTTTATTGGTGAGGTTCTTTTTTCCCTTCTGTTGCAGCTGGACCCAAGCAAAACCTACAAAGAACGGCTGCGGGACTTGGATTTGGCTAGTCTAAAGAAAAGAAGGAATAGGGGAGACATGATAGCAGTGTTTGAATATCTGAGGGGCTGCCACAAGGCAGAGGGGGCCAGGTTGTTCACCAGAGCACCAGAGGGAAGGACGAGAAACAATGGTTGGAAATTGATCAAAGAGAAAAGCAACCTGGAATTAAAGAGAAACTTCCTGACAGTGAAGACAATCAACCAGTGGAAAAGCTTTACCCCCAGAAATCGTGGGCGCTCCATCACTGGAGATTTTTAAGAAGAGACTAGACAATCACCTGTCTGAGATGGTGTAGGTTCTCCTGCTTGAGCAAGGGGCTGGACTAGAAGACCTCCAAGGTCCCTTCCAGCTATACTCTATTTTAAAATAAAACTCTTTGTTTTCTATGCGGTCCTAGTCCATTTGGATGGCTCACCAATGGTATAAATCAGATGCTCCTCCTTATTCCTTAGAAAGAGCTGGTATATTCTGTTAGCTTAATTCTAAAAAAAAAAAACTTGTAGTAGTTTATGACTAGGAACCTGGACTGGACAAAAAAGTTGTTACTCCAAGGAAGGATGCAGTCATGTGATGGGCGATATTTCAATAGCCATAAACGCAAGGATTGGTGGCAAACATTTTTTATTCAGTGTTGTTAACTTCAACCATTCACTAAATGAATGGTTATAAGTTGATCACCTGTGCTTCCAATAATTCAGTTCCTTTTACTGCTCTATTGAACAGTTGTTCAAGTTTACATAAAGGGGGGTGGGGTTCCCAGCCAAAACCAAATCCCATTTTACTGTTTCACTAATGGGGGCTAATCCTGCTCTTGCTTAACTGGGGCTTCAGTTTTGCAAAAGAACACCCTTGCTCCCCAAGAGGTGTGGGGTTCATTTCCCAAACCTCAAGAGTCTCTGTTCTGCAGAGCTGCCCTGCTTTTCTTCATACAAAGCTCTAGGGCCATGGTAGTGAACTTATAGCATGTGTGCCACAAGTGGCATGCAGAGCTCTCTGTGGGCACGCGCACCGTCACCCAAGTCTTAGGCCTTCAGTTGAGTTTTATAAAATCTTTTCGCTTTAGGCCTCCGCCGTGTGCAAAAAAAAAAAGTTCGATCAATTTCAACTTCTAGCAGGAAAAAAAAAAGATCTCACAAAGTTGGAATTGACTGAATTTTTTAGTCCCACCCAGTCTGCCGTTACCAGCGCAGCCACGCCCATCCAATGGGGCACCCCACCCAGCACCCGACAATACATAAGTGGGTTTTGGGTTGCAGTTTGGGCACTCGGTCTCTAAAAGCTTCGCCATCACTGTTCTAGGGAGACCAATCTCCCCACGCCAAACAAGAATTCTTCTGGAAGGGTGGATCACCATCCTATGGGAGAGGGCCAAGGTAATTCCCTTCCTGTTGCTCCATTTTACCACCTTTCCTGCCACAGTTGTAAGCAAGTCACTGTCGTTAAGTTAGTATTAAGTGAACCTGGCTTCTCCATTGGCTTTGCTTGTAAGGTTGCAAATGGTGATCGTGTGAACCCAGGAAACTGCATCCGTCATAAATATGAAGCAACTGCCAACCGTGTGACCATGGGGATGCTCCAGCGGTCGTTACGTGTAAAAAGTCATCACTTTTTTTCAGCGCCATTGTAACTTTGGTCATTAACAAATAGTTGCAAGTCAAGAACTACTAGTAGACTGATGGACAGAGCGCCACTCTTCTGACGGCTTCCCCGGATGTGTGTGCTTGGGAGGCCTCTGGGCACATTCCTGTGCAATTACGACACCAGTTTTAAGTGTTTGCTTTTTACAGAAGCCACACACTACACAGCATGAAACAAATATGTTCCTTTCTCAACTTTTCATGAAAACAAAATGCATCTGAAATTCAACTGCAAATTCATACAACTACATCAGGGGTCAAGGCCATGGTTTTCCCAGTTGCAATGTATGGCTGTGAAAGTTGGACCATAAGAAAGGCTGAGTGCCAAAGAATTGGGGCCTTTGAACTCTGGTGCTGGAGAAGACGCCTACGAGTCCCCTGGACTGCAAGGCAATCAAAATGGTCAGTCCTAGAGATCAACCCCGACTGCTCTTTAGATGGCCAGATCCTGAAGTTGAAACTCAAGTACTTTGGCCACCTAATGAGAAGGAAGGACTCACTGGAGAAGAGCCTGATGCTGGGAAAGATGGAAGGCAAGAGAAGAAGGAGACGACAGAGAACGAGGTGGCTGGATGGAGTCACTGAAGCAGTAGGTGTGAGCTTACATGGACTCCAGAAGATGGTAGAGGACAGGAAGGCCTGGAGGAACATTGTCCACTAAGTCACAATGTCCATGGGGTCATGATGGGTCGGACACGACTTCGCAACTAACAACACATCAGGGGTTCCTAACCGGTGGTACGAGACAATATTCCAGGGGATGCAAAAACTGGGTTTTTCAAAATTATAGTGTATATGTGTAATTTGTTGTCGTTATTTCAAACTTTTGAAAGGGGTGCAAGGAATATATCAGAAGTGTTCTAGGAGCGCGGGGTATAGAAAAGGTTGGTAGCCGCTGAAGTACATGGTAAAGGGGAAAGCTACCTGTGTGGGCATACCGGAAGGATTCATATATTTTAATTTTAGGTGTGTCTGTTATGTTTTATTAGATTGTAAGCTGCCCAGAGTTGCCTCGAAATGCAAGTGGGCGGCATATACATTTAATAAAATAAAATAGACACGTATTTTAAAAACACCTAAAAAAAATCCATGCGATTTAAATTGAGAAATTTATTGGAAAAGTCACAGCTCTGCCACGTGTCTTCCTCCATTCCACCTTGTAATTATTTACCTTAATATATATATAAAATGTGGGATATCTTGTTTAAAAATGATGGGATGCAGGGAAGTGGGGCGTGAGGGGAAGATTACAGAAATGATGTGAGGGGAAGTACTAAGAAAAGACTTGCTGTACACCGTTTTCTGCATTATCCCAAATGCGCCAGCGGTTTCGTTACAGGCAGGAGACGGGAACGATCAAGTACACAACAGCAAAAGAGAAGACTACTTTCTGATTTTATTGTTAACCTTTGTTACTGTTAAAAAGAATACCCCAAACACACACACGCACACACGCACACATACATACACAAAAGGCTTTGTTCAATGCTGGAGAGACCAACAGCAGGGTGTTTCTTTTTTTCTTTTGCTTTTTTTTTTTTAAAGAACTTCTTAAGAAATTTGGTGAATGGACAAAACCGCGAATAAAAAGGTACAATTTCCCCCCCCCCGTTTTTTTTTTCTTTTAAAAAATAGTTTTGATTTTCAAAGCGATCTTTTGAAGACTGAGGGGGGGAGGGAAAGTCTTCGGCTTGAGGAAGGTTGGTGAAATGGGACTTGGCTAAGCCTTATGCACCCTGCGTTTTGATAAAGGGGACTTTTTTTTTTTACCCAGAGGAAGAGGGGGGGGGGTTAGGATTAGGGCAAAGCCAACCAAATTCTCTTTTCAAATTTGGAATCCGATTTCTATGCCTTTTTTTTTTTGTTGTTTGTTTGTTTTAATTAAAAGCGACGCTACACAAATCATGCTGAGGATTACAATGCCTTGTTTAAATCAACCAGTGGGATAATGCAAACAACAAAAAACATCCGCAAGGCCTCCGGCGTTCAAACTCTCCTGGATTTGTAGAAGTGAATTTATAAATGAGCAATGGAGGAATAGTCGCTGCCTCGTCCAGTTAAAGAAAAAATAATAATAATAATACAGGGACGGGGGTACAATTTCTCGGGAACCGCTTTTGAGTATCTTGCTCTTAAGAAAGGGATGGGCGGAGGACCAAACCCTAGTTTTGTCTGCATGGGGCGGCTGAGTATGTGTGCGTGGAGTTCATTCAGAAATGAGTCGTTTCCTCAGATAAAAGTATGGTTGAGGTGGCCTGGCTAAATTTGACTTCCTCCTGTTGCCTGGGTTTTCAAAAGCCAGAAAACGTGAGGGCAGCCCGCCAGGCTCCCCCCCTCTTTGCTTCAGCTTCTGACCAAGTTAGCCTTTTTGAACAACCCAACATTTTTCCTAAAGAAGACCGCCCCCCCCGAAAAAAAAGTATAAAAGGGGAGAGGGCAAGGAATGGTTCTGGCGTGTATGTTACAGATGGCATTCCCATGGGCTTCCGTCTCAACTACGTTCAGCTTGGCATCCTAGAGCAAGTATTAGGTGACCTCCATGGATGAGTGGGTAGCAGCTACACTGCAAAAATTACCCGGGGGGGGGTCTTAATCTAGCTTCCTTTGCTTCCATGGTTAGGAGGGAAGGATGTACACCACTGCTTTCCTTTTTTTTTTGTTTTGTTTTTTAAGAAAACACATCCATAATTGTTTTTTTTATTCCACTACAAGCACCACTTGGAGGCAGGGAGAGGGGGAAGAGACAGGTCTCCAGTTCATCTCCGTCAAATGTTTTCACGGGCGTTTGCGGTCTTCTGCCACTTTCCATCCTTCGAGTCTCGTTTTGCAACCTGTTTGCAGCTTCCACTGTGCCTTCGGAGGTGTGGGGCCCTTTTTGTGTGTGTGTGTGTGTGACACGAGTGATTTTTCTGAAGGCCCGGTGCAATTCAGTTTGGTGCTTTTTTTTTTTTTTGCAAGATACCATGGAAAGGGAAGGAAACAAAACCGAAACAAACAAACAAACAAAAGAGAGAGCCTCCCCTTCGCCCGAGTTTAGTCCGAAAGCTCCGGATCCGAGTCCTCCGGTTTAACTTTGGCAAGTTCTTCGTGCACTTCCCTTACCATGAGGCTGCGCGTTAACATGATGTCCAAAGTCCCAGGATCTATTGGCATAGTGGAATACCACATGGGGCTATTGGGGACGCACGAACGTTCTGGCTGGAGGTAAAAGACGTCGCTCCTCTGCTTCACGCTTTCAGAACTGTGCGGGGAAAGAAAAGGGGGCAGGGTTTGGAGAGAGGGTCTGGATCTCTTCTTTGGGAAGAAACTAGCCCGAAGACGTAGCATCACTCACCACTTTGACAAGTAGAATTCATAGAGCCGAACCGGGCACCTCAAGGGATTGTCAGTGTTCTCAACCATCTCTACTGCTTCTTCGCCCTCGTGACGTTTCCTTTTGCCCACTAATTTATCTGGAGGTGGAAAAGAAAGATCGGGGATGGGAAACGGGGCACAAAGGCCAAATAAACCCCCAACCCAATAGCAGCAGGACTGCGAAAAGTCTCATTTTCTTGCCCGGCGTTCCTTGTGAAATGCTACGCAATAGCCGCAGATGAAATGGCAACATTGGGCCTGGACTGCAAACAAGGTGTAGTTACAGGATTGTTTCTATTCTGTAATCCAGACATAGCCCTGAGCCACCCCTGGCCCTTTGGCTGTCCCTGCCCGTGTGAGGTCAATGGGAAATTAGAAACTAAATATAAATAAGCATGCCCAAAGTTGAAACTCAAGTACTTTGGCCACCTAATGAGAAGGAAGGACTCGCTGGAGAAGGGCCTAATGCTGGGAAAGATGGAGGGCAATAGAAGAAAGGGACGACAGAGAATGAGATGGCTGGGTGGAGTCACTGAAGCAGTAGGCGTGAGGTTAAATGGACTCCAGAAGATGGTAGAGGACAGGAAGGCCTGGAGGAACGTTGTCCATGGGGTCGTGATGGGTCGGACACGACTTCGCAACTAACAACAAAGCATGCCACAGGGCGAGAGAAAAAAAGAGTTGAGTTCAGCTCTGCCGAGTTGCTGCGCGCTCCTTCAGTCAGCCGGCGACCATGGGAGGGTGAGGAGAGAAAATACTCTTCTGTTCCTGTGCAGGTTCATCCCTTATCTGGAGCAGCCTGAGGTGGTGGTGGCAAAGTCATTGTGTGAGGGAAACTGTTCGGCCACTCACTGCCACTTTGGTCAAAGAGCGGCCTTGTAGGCAAGTAGATGGAACGCAGCTGGGAGCTATTGGTTCAGCCCTCCATAACAGTCCCAGTTCCTCATGTGGCCCCTTGGGGGAAAAAAAACTGCCCACCCTGCTGTAACCCAAAAGAGTCCTGCCCAAAGCAAGTTAGCTGCTCAGGGAGATGCCTGGAGGTTTTCTCTGGCCTGGGAATTTGTTTTATTGAGAAGCAATCACGAAGGCCTTTCATTTCACAGCCAACATAACATAACATAACACAGCAGTTAGAGTGCAGTACTGCAGGCCACTTTAGCTGACAGTGTTCAGCAGGTCAGCGGTTCAAATCTCACCGGCTCAAGGTTGACTCAGCCTTCCATCCTTCTGGGGTAGGTAAAATGAGGACCCAGATTGTTGGGGGCAATGTAAATATATATATATATACATTGCTTACTGGTGTACACCGCTTAGAGAATGCTTGCACTTAAAGCGGTATATAAGTCTCATAAATAAATAAATAAATAAATAAATAAATAAATAAATTACTATTCCAGCGAATCAAAATGGCCATTTCCTACCATTCCTCTGCTGGGAACACAATAAAAACCAAAGGAAACTACTGAAATAAATCGCTCACTTGGAAAAGCAAAAAGATAACAGGCTCCAGAGGTGCAGCCTTGCCCGCTCTCCGTTAAAAGCATGTTGATCTGCATTGTAAGGCAGAAGGCAGCTCTAGCGAAGCAGAGATTTCTGCATTGTTTTTTTTTAAAAAAAAATGGGAAGAAAACTGAATAAAGGCTAGGAGGTTACCTAACTGGCAAGCAAACCACCAACCTTGGAGAGCACCAAGGATTCCACTATCTATTTATGATTAGCGCTCTCAGTACATTCCTGGGACGTAACATTGCACTGGAGGAATCAAGATTGTCTCTGTCTTGCAAGAAATTGGGAGCAAATGTCCCAATATTCTCTATAAATATTTTCAAAAAGGGAGGCCGCCTGATATAATATTGCCCTTCATCCTAGGGCCTGAATACTTAATCTAAAAGATGGGCTGAAACAAAAGTAAGGAAGGGGGGGGGGATGAAAGTAATGGTTGTCTCGCTGTCCTGGTCAATGAATTTTTGGGCTTCCCAGTAAATGGCAGCAGGCTGATCGTGTTGGCCTCAGAAGTTAAGCAGGTCCCAATCTGTTTGGTGCTCAAATGGGTCACTGGGGAGAAACCCCAGGCTTGCAGGTTAGGCAGCGAGAGAAAAAGGCAAGAAGGACAGGTCTACCCACCTGGTTCTACGTCCTGCTTTTGGAAAGGTGGGAAGAAGCGTAAGTAAGTCAGCTTTGTGTTGTATTTCAGAGTCCGGGTACGTCGCATGACGTGGGCAAAGGACAGCTTCATGTGCTCAGTGACATTCTTGAGCTGGAAGTATTTGGTGTTAAAAAAAAGCAGTGTATTCAAGAGCACGATGGGGGAGTAGGCGCCCAGCTGCTTACACTCCCACAAGTGCTCCTCTTCGATTCTTGAAAACATGTAACCTGCAGGTTGAGCAAGAGAGCAAAACAAAACAAAACAACAACCAAAAAAAGTCACTTCGGCCAGATCAAACCAAAGGAATTAAGCCCCATCCTCCTTCCAAGATATTTGCTCCCTTTCCAAAAGGTCCCACCAACAGCCTTACTGACTGAACAAATTGCCAAGCTTACCGTTTGGAAGTATTGTAGGCTCCCAGATTTTCAACAGTTTTGTAAGTTCAATCATAAACCTGGAGTAGGGTTCAGTAAAAATGTTATCTATTCTGCCGTTCTCAAATAAGTACTGCAAAGGAGAAAAGGAAAAAAAAGAAAAATAAAATAGGGGAAATGTCTATAGAAATCCAGAGGCAGAGACACCGGCCTTAGCAACAGATTCAGTTCTGTCGTCCCATCTTAATACAACCCCCTTCGATGCTTTGAAGGGTTTGGAAAGTGGCCAGAAAATTACAGGTCTTCTTAAGACTGAGATGCTTCCACTAGTTGTATTTTCAAGCAGGACCCTCAAGTATTCTTTCAGGTATAATGTACAATTGATAAGCCAGGTCCATATGAATAGACATAGGGGACGTCTTTGTGGAGTCCTTGGTGCTCCCTCAACTGGTAATCAAGGTTCCAATTGATAATGAAGGAATTGACATCCAAGGTCCGTTCCAACTTTATCATCCTCATCCTCATCCTCATTATTATTATTATTACCGTATTTTCTGGCGTACACGACGACTCGGCGTATAAGACGACCCCCGACTTCAGAGACGATTTGCATGCTTTAGAAAGTCGTCATACACCGGAAAATACAGTATTATTATTATTAACCAAGGACAAAACTATATCCTCACTAATGTGACAGGACATGCTACTCTATGTAAACAGGGAGCAAAACCCCACACTTATTCACACTGATGATGTTACAAAGCCGGGTCATGTAAACGTCTGAAGAAAAAAACCAAGCTCAGAGAACACCAAGGACTCCACAGCTCAACCCTGAAGGACAAATATTCTTTTCTATATTCAGAATTATAGTCCAGCAATACAGAGGCGAAAGCTGTTTTTGCATGTAAAAGCTGGAAACCTAAAAAGGAGACTGGTAACAAATGAGGCTCATAAAAGCCCAGCACAATTAACAGCCCATCTGCCATTTCAATATAATAATAATAACAACAATAAATTTGGAAGGGACCTTGGAGGTCATCTAATCCAACCCTCTGCTGTAGTTCTTCCTTCTATTCCTACGAAGTCAAAGAAAGACGTGCAATTCCAGAAAATGGATGTAAAAAGAAGAAAAATAACCTGCTGAATTCCAAGGCACAGGTATAAGATGCTGTCAGGGTCATACTTTTCGCCGTTTGGTCGCCGCACCTCCTGGATGAACTGGCACAAGCCGAAACTCAGCTCCGAAAAGGAACACGACAGGATGTCCTCTTTGAGCTTCACAGACCGAACTGTAGGAAGGAGAAGCACCTACAGCAGATCAGCTTCTTGACCATCAGAAGGAAGATGGTTCTCAGCTCAGCCCTTGGCATCAACTGGGGGTGATTTCCAGAGTTCAATTAGCAATGGGGGCAGAAGAATCCGCAGAAATGGGGCCAAACAGTAAAAGGAATCAGCACGGCAGCCACAATCACACAATCAAAACCACACCTAAAAAGGGGGGGGGGCAGGGCTTGGATTGGAGGACTATGGCTGCCATCTTGACTTTCTTCAACCCCGTCCTGAATAGAGGTAAGCCAAGGAATTCATTTGTATATATAGGAACCCAAAGTGCAGCAAGTAGAACAATGGACCTAATAGCCAAATGGCCAAAACCCGCCTTAGTTGGGCCTTCCTACTGCAAAATTTAGAATCATCTAGAACAGTGGGGGTGAACCTATGGCCCTCTCCTCAACAGCAGTCTCCCTGGAGGAGAGTCGTCCCCCGGGCGCGTCCTGCACAAAGCAGCGCAGCCAAGGACATGGCAACGGAAGACTCCACCCTTGCGCCCAGTCGTGTGTAGATGATGTTGCGGGGCGCAGGTAGAGGGCGTGGCCATGGCGCTGCAGGGCCACTTGGGCGCTCTGCGGAGGACCATGGAGGCGGGAGGCGGCCCTGTGGGTGGGCAGGGCAGGGGTGGAGTGGGGCAGTTTTGGGGCACCTCTAAAAGGTTCACCATCACTGAGCCAGAATCAGCCCGCTTCTAGCACTCCTAAACGATACGTTTCCAAGTCTTACAATCCAATTTTCATGCAGATGCTACCCATTTTATTTTTTTATTTTTTATTTTATTGAAAATTTTTAAAGTTTTTACAATAAAATACTCCCTCCCCCTCCCACCCCCCCATTACCCTCCCCCCTCCTTCCCAGAGCTGAATACAGGGTTAAACAAACAAACAAAAAAAAAAAAACATACAAATTAAATGAACATCAAACAATTATACATACATCCCAAAAAATTTTTTAAATGCTTTAACTCCAATACATAAAAACAAAAATTCTAACCATTACCCTTAAACGTAAGTTATTCAAAAGCTAAATAATACTTTCTAATCCCATATTTATTCTGTACAAAATCTACCCATCTTTTCCACACCGAAATGTATCTCTCTTGTGAATGGTCTTTCAGATAAGGCGAAATTTTTGCCATTTCTGATAAATAAGAAACTTTAAGAAACCATTCTTCTATAGTAGGCAAAGAATCCTTCTTCCAATATTGCCCAATCAGCAACCTTGCCGCTGTGATTAAGTTCAACATTAAAATAATCTCTTTACCATCACAATCAACACCCCATTTTATTTTTTTTTAACATTATTCTATCCGAAGGCTGAGCCAAGCTTTTTTTATCTCCACCGCTGAACCCAAACTGAAAACAAAGATAACAAAATAAAACTGCGTTACCTCCAAATTTCAGGTCTCCTTGGTCTTCCTGCGTGTTTTTCCACTGGACCCAGTTCTTCCAGGCATTCACCCCGTACATGTATTTGAGACTCATCCCGGAAACAGAACAGCCTGGATATGAGCTCTGAACCAGGATTCGGGGTTCCACAGAAACGATGGACTTCTTTCTACCCTGAAGGAAGTAAAATAAATATATATATATTCTGAGGTTTTCGCAGGTGTTTGTATGTAGGTCTTTGGTTGTTCGGGTTTTCTCCCGTGTAAAATTGGAAGTGTCTTGGCGACGTTTCGACGAAGTCCCATTCGTCATCTTCAGGCTGGTGCTTTCAGCTTTGTGCTTCGAGCAGCAATGTGTGGTCTATATATACAGTTTGCGCATTGTAAAAGTTTGATTTATAGAGATAGTCCTCAACTTACAAACACAGTAGGGATTGGAACATTTCTCATTAAGGCAGGGGTCCTCAAACTTGGCCATTTTAAGACTTGTGGACTTCAACTCCCAGAATTCCCCTGCCATCGCTGACCCATTTGCAAATCATCTCCGATCTTCTGGCTTGAGTAATAAACAAGAAACCCAACCCTGTTTCTTACCCGTCTTTTTGGCTGCGGAAAACCGTCTCTATGTCTCCGCCTCGCTCGTGCCCGTGAATGAAGACCTAGCCCTTTGCTGATGGGGTCAAAGGAATCTAATTGGGAAACAAAGGCACAGATTTAGCCACAAAGCAGCAGCAGCAGGCCAGTGGTCCTCAACCTTTTTAATGCCGCGACCCCCCCCCAACCGGTCATAAGTCAAGGACTACTCAACCGGTCGTAAGTCGAGGACTACTCAACTGGTGCAGCACCGTTTGCAGAATGGGACTTTTGGCGGGCTCAGCAGGGCAGAGACAGACTGGACAATTCCTATTGGCTTTTGAAAGCCAATAGAATTAGACTCTATTCAAGAGAGTCTATTCTATTGGCTTTCAAAAGCCAATAGAACAAAAGGGAGTAGCACAGGTAAGGAAAAGGGGGAAAAAAATGGCGGACTGCGTTGTTTGGCGACTCCCGTGAAATGGCCGTTCGGCCCCAAATGGGGGTCCCGACCCACAGGTTGAGAACCACTGAGTTAGGCTGATCTTCAATAATGGGGCAGATCACAAATTACTCTGCCAGCGATGCCGGGAATCAAAGGCTGTGGCCCAGGAGTGGATGCCACACCGTCGCGTGCATGAGCATTTTGTTCCAGAGCTGACCAACCTGATGGGAAGTCGGCCTCCAGGTCCTGCTCCAGTTCGCCTTTGGAGAACTGTTTTGGTTCGGGCTCGGGCTCGGGCACCGTACTGGAGCGCAACGCATAGTGATTCAGCTCGTCCTCCCAGCTGTGGGGAGTTGACACTGCTTCCGATTCCAGGTCCCCGCTGTACGTGCTGCCCTGGTCTGGAATTGCAAAGGAAGGAAGCTGAACACAGACAGAAGGGGGTTGGGGAAGGCTAAGCAGCGGGTTCAACAAAAGCCCATTAGAAAACTGGGCCTTAAGGGAACCACGTTTGCTGTGGGCCAGGAGTGTCCAACCGTGGCAACTTGGAAGACTTGCAGACTCTCCCAGAATTTCCCAGCCACCATGACTATCTGGGAAATTCTGTGAGTTGAAGTCCACCGGTCTTAAAAGTCGCCAAGGCTGGAAATCCATGCTGTACACCAAAGTTATTGTTTTGCACAACCTTGAAAGTGTGTAGGTGAATGTTTGTGTGTATGTATGTGTGTGTTCTAAATCACTTTATTTCGGTAAGAAAAGCTTCTTCTCATGTTCAGTTGAAATTTGCCTTTCTGCTGAACTGACTCACGGGCTCACCTTTTTCAAATATTTTAGGGTCCAGAAAGAGTTCGTGCTCAGATGTTTGAGAGCCTGAAATAAGATAGAAAGACCAAGATAACCCAATGCATCTAAATTAATACTCGGCAAAATTCCCAAATTTAATTAATGCTATATGAAACAAGATGTATGCTAAAGGGACCCACAACTACGCACGGAACAGCCCAAAGCACACATTCCAGTAGAGACAAGTTCCCCAAGGACAGGCTCCAATACGGATCCAAAAGCTCGGATCCCGGTGACTGACCCAGATTGGATCCTGCAACATTATCCTGGGAGACGTAGATTCGCCTCTAAAACAAAATCCACCTACCTCCCTGAGAGTGTTCCTTGTCTTTATCTTCAGCAACCATTTCTGCCATCTGGAGAAGATCAGCCTCAAAAGGACTAGCCGAGTTCTTTTTGACGTCTGGAATGGCTTCTATTGTTTTGTCAGGGGTCTCTGGGGCAGGGGGCACAAACATAGGAACCGGGACCTGGAGAGAACAGGCAGCAACTACCTTTATTTCTCAGGAGTTGTGAAGTATCCCTTGCCATGAAAAGCCAGCTTCCGGTCTTAAACCTGAGCACTGGCGTCTCAAGAGAGAGTCCATCCCTTAAGAAAAGCCAAGTGTCTCAATAATAACTGAGGCTATAATTTAAGGGCAACCCGCCCAGGGATTCGTTGACAGCAGCCTTCCTAAGCATCTTGGGCTTCTCAAGAGAAGGAGAAGGGGGGAGGAGTGCAATTAGCTAGAACAGTAGTTCTCAACCTTTTTAATGCTGCGACCCCCAACCGGTCATAAGTCGAGGACTACTACTCTACCGGTCGAGGACTACTCTACCGGTCGTAAGTCGAGGACTACTCAACTGGTGCAGCACCATTTGCAGAATGGGACTTTTGGCGGGCTCAGCAGGGCAGAGACAGCCTGGACAATTCCTATTGGCTTTTGAAAGCCAATAGAATTAGACTCTATTCAAGAGAGTCTATTCTATTGGCTTTCAAAAGCCAATAGAATAAAGGGAGTAGGACAGCTAAGGAAAAGGGGGAAAAAATGGCGGACTGCGTTGTTTGGCGACCCTCGTGAAATGATCGTTCGACCCCAAATGGGGTCCCGACCCACAGGTTGAGAACCCCTGAGCTAGAAGATCAACTGCAAATTCCCATCTGGATTCTAGTGCAAGTGAACCAAGTGTTAGGCTCAAACCCGGAGATAAAGACAGTGAGTGAGATTCAATCGAGTCCATTCTGTTATGTGCTTACACCTTATGGACAGAAGCTTGCTGAACTAAAGCTATAACTTTTTAAAGTTACTAGATAGCTCCTGAGAGTTGGCACACGTGCCAGAGGCAGCACTCTGAGCCCTCTCTGTGGGCACACGCATCGTGTAATGCAGATGGCAACCGTCCCTCTTCAACCAGCCGCCCGCTAACTCGCCGAGCTCCCACGTGGCCGTATGCATCCCAGCATAGCTGGTTTCCTCCACCCCCCCTCCCATCCCTCCTGGCCTCGCATGCTCTCCTTTTCCTGGGCATGACCCACTGCATTGCCTCCTCAGCTGTTGGCTGGCGGTCCAGCTCAGAGGCGGCTTCTCTGAACTGCTGGCGGTCAGCTGCAGAGCCCCAAAATGCACCGATTGGCAGGCTGAGGCTGCTGACAGACACTATCGGCCCCCATGCGCTCGCTGGCCTCTGTGTGTGGGGGCCGATGGTGTCAGGCAGCAGTCTCCCCGGCCCCTGCCTCGCCTTGCCCCATGGCACTGGCCCTGCCTCACCCCGCAGGATGAGTCTCCTGCCTACTGCCCCACCTGCCAGAGACCCCCTGGATCTCCCCTAACCCTGCCCGGCCCCCACAGGCGTCCCTCCCCATGAGCAACATCGAGGTGACCACGCCCACCTTGGCCACACCCACCCAGTCTGCCATGACCACAGCCATGCCCACCCAGTGGGCCACACCCACCTGGCAATAAATAAGTGGGTTTGGGGTTACAGTTTGGGCACTCGGGCACTTATCACTGTTCTAGGATGTGGTTACGCTGAACCTCATCCCACCTCCCTAATCAGACTCGGGACCAGTGGTGGGGTTCAAATAGATGAACAACTGGTTCTCTGTGTGGATGCCGCTTCCAGAAGTCCATTCTGCGCAACAAAAAATTAGCTGCCGGCTCTGCCAAACTGGTGCGACCTGGCTGAATCCCACCACTGCTCAGGACTGTGCAATCTCTTGATCCAGGTCTTTTCTGGGAAAGTTCTAAGTTGGTCAAATCTCCCCCCCCCCACCCCAGATGCACATTTCGTGATAACCATGTGAGAGGGATAAGGACCACAAGCTTCCAGAGTCACAGAAAGCCATCCAATCGTGTGACATCAACTGAAGGGATGGGGCTGTTTCGGTCTACAGGGCTGGGAGGTGGGAAGGTGTGTCACTTGACTGCAGGACATTGCAAACGACATAAATGATCAGGTGATGGCAGAAAATGAAATTCAACTGAATTTTAAGTCAACCAAGTCCATTCCTTCAATGTTTGGTTGAAAACTTTGAATCCAGGTGGTTTGTAATTCTGAAGTTACTTAGCTACGTGCCTGGTCATAAGTCAAGGGCCACCTGTAAATCACAAGCAGTCATGTCAAGGCACCGCACCTTGGCCAGGTAGAAGCCCACCCATGCAATCTTTGACTAGCACATCTTGAAGCCTGGCTGGAAAGAAAGGGGCAACCTGCACATCACTCACCGGGACTGGCATTCCCAGAGGGACTGGTGTATACTGGGTGAAGAGATGAAGCGGGATTGGCACAAACACTGGTACAGGAACAGGCACCATAATGATTTTGGGTGGAAGTTCTTCTTCTTCTTCTTTCCATTGCCGTGTGAAAAAGAAAAGGTGTGATTCTTGGAGAAAAACAGCTGCCCATTCATCTCTCTTTAACATGTTACATTGCTGTTTTTTTTTTTTTTAATAACAAGTTTCTATTGGTTTTCCAGTTTTACATTTAAGTGTTTAGAAAGCAGCGTGGTGATTGGGTAGTCAATAGTACAATAACAACATCTTTAGTATATCTCTCAGGTTACATCATCAAAAAATTTCTTCTCTATTTCCCTTCACATCTGCTATGTCATATTTAAGCTAGTAAATTTGTAATTATAACAAGCTCGGTTAAAACATTTATCAATATATTTTTGCTTATACATATCCATGTCTTGTATTTAAATTTTAGCTAATTTTTAATTACAGTATTCCAATTTAATCTTTAATATCCATAGTATTTAGATTTCGGATAACCCAAATATCCTTTATTTCACTACATAAAAATTACGATATCTAGAATACACCAGTACTTACTTAAATATATTCTTATTGTATTTCATGATCATTTTCTATTTCTCAACCTAGTACATCACCACTTAATGGAGTATCCTTTACTTGTCTCAAATCCATCATCTGTGTTATCTGGGCTAAACAATAATTCAAAACTATTTCCTAATAATTAATTTTCATTTCCCTTGTAAATCTAAATCCTCAATATTAGGCCAATTAATCCCTTATTTGTTATCACTTTCCAACAATAGTTAGATCTAGCAATCATATTTCCCTTCATCTCAAAATCTCCCTTTAGCCCAGTGGTTCTCAACCTTTTTAATACCGCAACCCCCCCAACCGGTTGTAAGTCGAGGACTACTCAACTGGTGCAGCACCGTTTGCAGAATGGGACTTTTGGCGGGCTCAGCAGGGCAGAGACAGCCTGGACAATTCCTATTGCTTTTGAAAGCCAATAGAATTAGACTCTATTCAAGAGAGTCTATTCTATTGGCTTTCAAAAGCCAATAGAATAAAAGGGAGTAGCACAGCTAAGGAAAAGGGGGAAAAAAATGGCGGACTGTGTTGTTTGGCGACCCCCGTGAAATGGTCGTTCGACCCCAAATGGGGTCCCGACCCACAGGTTGAGAACCATTGCTTTAGCCCATTAGTTGAGACTTTAGCATCCTCTCTAATAAGACAAAAGACCCCATTTTTTAAACCTAACTCTAGCTTTCTTTTTATGCCAGCCAGGCTTCCATATCAATACCTCTAGATCATCAGATAGATCTCCCTTCATTCTTGTGCCTGTTAGTTGAATCAAAGGAGACCACATTATTGTTATGGCTGTACCCAGCTCACCATTTTGTTCACTAGTCTTTCCCCCCCCCCTATATTTCCCCCCCCCTTTATTCACTGGCCTTTTGCCCCCCAATATTGCCATTCTTTCAAGGTAAATCCCTGGCCAGCAAATACATCAGATGACTAACTCTTAGGCCAAAGGAGGCTTATTGTCTTTATCTGTGGCAACAGGACTCTGTCCGTGCTGGATTTCCTTTCTTAGTATCAGAACAACTTTAGGATTTTTAGCGATATTGCGTAGTATGACTGTTATTTCCTTCCCAGGAATTTTAAAAAATATTACAACAGAATTTTTGCATAGCGGCCTCCTGTTCGCTTCTCCCTCTTCCCTGCTGAACCTAAACAAGAATTGTACTCAATTATATAGTCTGCCAATATATTTTAGGATAGCATTTTGCAACCTCAGCAAGGTTAAAATGTGCGGACTTCAACTCCCAGAATTCCCCCTGCCAGCATGCTTTAAATCAGTGGTTCTTAACCGGGGTGATATCGCCCTGCAGCGGGCGATTTCGTTTTTCAGGAGGGCAAAGGAACGAAAAGGGGGCGATATGGGGGTGATGGAGCGAGATGTTTGGGGGACACTTTTGAGACTTTTTCGTACAGTGAATCGCTGTATATCTGTCGTACAAAAACATCAGATTGCTCGCTCTTAGTGGATTGAATTGTGTTTTCAAATGTTCCTCCAGCTAGCTTCAGGACAGAATGCCATACGTATGTGAATACGCATCGCTTATCTTCATGTGCGTTGCGCAGCAGCCTCTACCCTTTTTATATTTCTTTTTGCTTCTTAAATTTCACTTGTAATTCAATCATCAAATGTTACTGTTTTTCTTTTTGGGCATTTCACTTTTTTTGCTATTGAATTTTGTTTTCAGTGGTCATTACATTAAAGTGTCTTGAATAAATAAGATCATAATGAAATACATGCATCATGAAGTTTGGGAATAAAGTGACGGGTGGCATCAAAAATTGAGATATGGGGAAAAGACTGGAAATAAATTATTTGCATCGATAGGTCCTGATGACAATTAAAACAAAAACAAAAAAAGTGTTTGCAGAAATTGAAGAATTATTTCCTATGTTGTGATTGAGAGGTTATGTTGAGGGAGGAGGGCGACAACAACTTCCTCATTGGCTCAAGGGGGCGATTCGTTCAAAAAGGTTAAGAACCACTGCTTTAAACTGCCCCAATGCATTGAAAGGTGATGTGCATGGCTGCTGAGCCTTTTTTCTTCTTCTTCTTGCAAACCTAAGTAGCAATCAATTGTTTTGTTTGTTACTTACCGGTTTGGCATTCCTTATGCTGCGTGTGAGGCTTGCAAGAAGTGGCCTTGGTCTGGGTGATGGGCTTGCACAGCAAGGCTTTGTTCTTGAGGAGCCGGGGTGGCTGTGAGGGAGGGAGCTTCAAAGCATCTGTCTGGGTACTTGCCTAGTTTCAAGTCAGAAAACAAGAGTCTGTTTGTTCACACATCCTGAAAAGGGGGGATATCCAGACAAGAGGCAGCATGGCCCCTAAGCCTGAGTTGCTAAGTTGCTCTGCGGCTTTTCCCTTCTATTCTGGGTCATGTCCATTCTAAGGATGCCTCCTGTTAGAATTATGCCAGGGGTCTTCAAACTTGGCCCTTTGATGACTTGTGGACTTCAACTCCCAGAATTCCTCAGCCAGGCACGCGTGCCTGGCTGAGGAATTCTGGGAGTTGGAGTCCACAAGTCATCAAAGGGCCAAGTTTGAAGACCCCTGAATTATGCCTACGATTTTGTGCCTTGGTTTGCTTTTGGGTAAAACATTTAGCATTTGAAGATTGCATATTCCCCCTGGGTATTAAGGCCAGGAAGTGGGGTTTGACTATTACCGTATATTCCGGCATATAAGACGACTTTTGAGAGCGTCGAAACAGCCTCCGAACTCGGGGGTCGTCTTATACGCCGAGTCGTCTTATACGCCGGAAATAACGTAGTTTCTGGCGTATAAGATGACTTTCTAGGCATGAGACTCGGCGTCAATCGTCTTATACGCTGGAAATAAGGTAGTTTCTGGCGTATAAGACGACTTTCTAGGCATGCGACTCGGTGTCGATAGTCTTGCAACTCGGCACCGATAGTCTTGCGACCCGGAGTCGAACTAGGGGGTTGTCTTATACGCCGGGTCGCTCTATACGCCGGAATATATGGTAATGGGGTTCTGTGTTTATATGGGGCAAGCAAGACTGTCCTTGGGTGGCATTAAGTCCTTATTATGTTATGAAGTGATTGTGATTTTATGCTCTTCCTGCTGTTGTTTAATTCTAGGTCCGCTGCCTAGTCTAAGAGATGGACAGCTATATAAAAATTGAAATCTTAAACAAACATACAAAGTCACTTCCCAGGGAAGCTTGAGGATCAAAGCTAGCCAAGGTTTTCCTTCCAGGTTATGACAAGTATCTGTAACTTAGCTTAATTTTGTGAATGCAAAAATCACTAGTCAGTGTAACATCAACATGTACAAAACGCAAACAGAGGCAATCACATGCCCAACAATTTTTTTTTCTATTACACTACACTTGATCTCAACCAAAAGGCCGAGAAGCCTATTAGTAATATTGGTCAGGGATGAGTTGGAATCTAAGACATTTCAGGGATATTCATCCCATGAATTAAACTATGTTGAAGCTGAAGGAAGGAAGGAAGGAAGGAAGGAAGGAAGGAAGGAAGGAAGGAAGGAAGGAAGGAAGGAAGGAAGGAAGGAAGGAAGGAAGGATTTTAAAAATATTCATCAAAAATTAAAAGAAAATGAAGAAAAAAATAATGCATGACAGAGTGACGAAGACAGAACGTAAGTAAGAATTTAATCCATCAGGAGGTATTATTTTCAGGAAAACTTACATCGCCAATTATTTTTGCTGTTACAGTAGGAACTGCACCTGTTAGGAGGAAACAAAAATAGAAAAAGTGTCTTCCTTCCTTTTTTAACATTGAAAGCAGTCCTGCGATTCAGATTACAAAAGCACACTTATATGCTTGCTCGCTCATTCAGACATTCTCATTCCGTATCAGCATTTCTCAAACCTGTGGCAACTTTAACCTGGATGGACTTCAAAGTCCCAGAATTCTGGGAGTTGAAGCCGAGACAGCTTAAAGTTACTATGGTTTAGAGACACAGTTCCATACTATAGCAATAACATGCCAATGTGCATCTGAGGAAGCAACCTAACAGAAGGGGTGGGTTTAACAGGTAGAGGAGAGAAAAGACACATCCACTGCCTACCTTGCAAAACATTATTGGAGTTGGCTGTAGGCTGAGCAGCAGGTGCGCTGGCAAGAGACACCACATTTGCAATCACAGGAGTGGAGTCCTTCCTGAGAGATAAAGGTGGCCCTGCTGAAGATGTTGGTGTCATAGAAACATTTGCTGGGTGGAAAGGGAAAGTTGGAACATAGTTAATGACGGCAAGAGTCTACTGTTTACACACAGACATTTAAAAGTCTTTCTACATCCAACATACAGATAGATGTGTTTAAGGCATCCTATCCGAGTGTGTGAAAAGGCATGGAGAATCTCTATCCCTAAGATAGATCTGTGGCGTTCTTTCCAATTAGTGATGTCCATCTTCGTATATATTGCATCTGAGATACAATCCGTTGTGCATACAGCTGAGAGATAGGGTGCTAACTGCAACAGGCAGATGTGACTACATCTTCCCAGCTGAACCCCTGTAGGCTTGAGCAGGAAACCCTATACCAGTGGTGGCAAACCTACGGCACGGGTGCCAGAGGCGGCACTCGGAGTCCTCTCTGTGACCACACGTGCCGTTGCCCCAGTCTTGCCTCCCCTCGTGACCCCCTCCTCACCAGCAGTCCACCTAGAGGAGAGTTGCCCCTGAACATGGCCCATGCGGAGCATCGCAGCGCAGCCAAGGACATGGCAGCTAGGCAGTGTAGACAAGACTTTGCCCTCAGGCCCCATTGTGCACAGCTGATGTTGCGGGGTGCGGGCAGAGGGCATGGCCACCATGGTGCTGGGCTGCCTGGGCGATCTATGGCGGCCCCTGGAGGCGGTGAGTGGCCCTGCAGGCAGGCGGGATGGGGCGGAGCAGGGGGGAGCAGGGCGGGGCCAGTTTTTGGACACTCGATCTCTAAAAGGTTCTCCATCACTGCCCTATACCATTTCAGAAAAATGGCTGTCCAGTCTCTTAAGAACCTCCAGTGTTGGAGCTTGCTCTACAATAGCTGTCCTCATGCCAGCCCACACCTTTCTTTTACCTGCATTATTTGGAGGCGGGGGTGGAGGCAGAGGAGGTGGAGGCGGTGGAGGCGGAGGGGGTGGTGGTGGTGGATCTGATGCACACTGCTGGTTGCAAAACATCAAAATGCAAAGCAAGTTGCAAAAATGTTTGATTTCACCTCTCCACTTCAGGGTCTCGCTGAGTTTGCCCTGCCTTTTGCACCCATCACATTTGGACATCTGCAGAGAAAGAGGGAGAGGTACAAGGCAGCTTTTAAAAACTTGATCTTATTGCATGGTTTTGGGTTTTAAACAATTATGCTGGTGCAAGTTATCTGCAGTGACCCAGTAAAAAAACAGACAAAAATGAATATACATACACCCCCCCCCCCGTATATGAAGGTACATGGGTATGTGTGTATATTTACCGTGTTTCCCTGAAAGTAAGGCCTACCCCAAAAATAAGCCCTAGTTTAATTTTGGGGGGGTGGGTCTAATATAAGCCCTACTCCCAAAATAAGCCCTAGTTTTGGGGTGAGGCACACACCTAAAAATCAAGCTAGGGTGGGGGTGGATCTGCCCCATGTGACCACTTATCTCGCAGCCGACCTCTCCTCGCTGGCCCACTACTTCTGCAGAGGTCTTCTGCAGCCAGGCCTGCATTTCTTAGTCACAGGCCTTTCCGGAAGGCCTCTGCAGCCAAGAACCAAGCTATGGATTCAATCCATAACTTGGTTCGTTAAGACCTCTACAGCCAAGGACCGAGCTATGGATTGAATCCACAGCTCAGTACTCGGCTGCAGAGGCCTTCCGGAAAGGCCTGACTGCAAAATGCAGCTGGAGCTCCATTCCCAGCTGCAGAATGAAGCTGCTTCTGAATGAAGCTATACCTATCTATCTATCTATCTATCTATCTATCTATCTATCTATCTTTGGTTATTCGGGTTTTCTCCTGCGTCAAATTGGAAGTGTCTTGGCGACGTTTCGACGACGTCTCATTCGTCATCTTCAGGCTGGTGTTTTCGGCTTTGTGCTCCTCGAAGCACGAAGCCGAAAACACCAGCCTGAAGATGACGAATGAGACGTCGTCGAAACGTCGCCAAGACACTTCCAATTTGACGCGGGAGAAAACCCGAATAACCAAAGACCTACATACAAACACCCGCGAAAACCTCAGAAAACACACACACTCACTCATTCATTCAATATCAGATCTCTCTCCCTCTCTCATATTTGGAAAATACAAAACTCAAAAATCCTAAATTGAGGGGACAATGAAGGTCCCTGAATCTTTTCCCCATTTCATCTGAGGATCCACTGGGAAGCACATATCTCTCCTGCTATCAGGCCTCTGGTGTGACCGAGGCATGGCTACACTTAATCAGGACCCTGTGTGTTGTATATGTGAAAGTAGATGGATCTCTGAGTTGAATAACTCCTGGCGACAAGGATCTGCCCACATAACCTCAGTCAGAATTGTGTTGTTTATTGCTCCCTTCTTCCTGGGTTTGTTTGCTTGCTAATTCCCTGCCCCTATTCTGGACATTCTCCTATTCGAGTACTAAACAAGCAAACCCTTGCTTAGCTTCCCAGCGCAAATAAGATCAGACAGCTACGGAAATGTTATACAACGGTATACTTCCCTATTATGCTTTGCAATCTTTACTTTGTGTTTGGTATAGAGTTATCCAATTGGAACAGCATACACAATTTAATGTATTAAATTAATTAAAAATTGTTATTTCTATATATCATTATGTACAAGTAGTCCTTGCTTACTGAATGCCCTGTTTAGCAACCAAAGGTACGACCGCAATAAATAGTAACTTTACAATTTGGTCCTCCCACTTAGAACCACTGCAGCACCCCATGGTCACGTGATCGCCATTTGTGTGCTTCAAAAGCAAGATTCTGACCCACACAATCAATGGAAACGCCGGTGGTAAAAATCACAAGTTGTGATCATGTGACGTCTCACTTAATGTCTGTGGGTAAATTGTTTAACGGCCACAGTGGAAACAAGCTTGTAAGTCTGCCACGGTCATAGAATGTTTTGCTTAATGGCCAGAACACTTAGCAAGAGTTGCAAATCCCAACTGTAGTTGTTAAATGAGGATTACCTGTATATCATACGAGATAATTAAGTAACACTTATATAATTATAGATTGAATATATAGAGGTACGGTTGACCTCAAAAAGATATATTCTTTAGCACAGATCACAAACTAGTACATTAAATAAATTCCTCTTTTTCCCTTGTCATTTACTCTCCCACATTTAAATTAATACAACTCTTATTATATCAATTTAATACAAATAACTTTTTTTACATTTATCAATAGTTTTTAGTTTATACATATCTTAGTATGTTATTGAATTATGAACCAACCCAGCTGCCACGTTGCTTTTCAAATATTTAAATGTAAAACTGGAAAATCAGTAATTTTTTTTTAAAAAAGACATATATTCTAAGGCTCACTGACAACGCTTAAGCATCTTTGAAGCCAGATTCGGTACTTTCTATCCCAAATAATTCACTGGTGATAAAAGATACCCAGCATACTAAAAAGCAGAGACATCACCCTGCCAACAAAGTGCGTATAGTCAAGGCCGTGGTTTTCCCAGTTGCAATGTATGGCTGTGAAAGTTGGACCCTAAGAAAGGCTGAGTGCCAAAGAATGGAGGCCTTTGAACTCTGGTGCTGGAGAAGACTCCTGCGAGTCCCCTAGACTGCAAGGCGATCAAACTGGTCAGTCCTAGATGAGATCAACCCTGACTGCTCTTTAGAAGGCCAGATCATGAAGTTGAAACTCAAGTACTTTGGCCACCTAATGAGAAGGAAGGACTCACTGGAGAAGGGCCTAATGCTGGGAAAGATGGAGGGCAAGAGAAGAAGGGGACGACAGAGAATGAGGTGGCTGGATGGAGTCACTGAAGCAGCAGGCGTGAGCTTAAATGGACTCCAGAAGATGGTAGAGGACAGGAAGACCTGGAGGAATGTTGTCCATGAGGTCGCAATGGGTGGGACATGACTTTGCAACTAACAACAACAAAAAGATACCTTGCTGTGCTGAAGTACTGTTTTTCCAAGAAGAAGAATCGGTAGAAGACAGATTTGAAGAGTGCCAGGATAACTTACTTGATAAAATAAAACCGTGAACTTTGACATGCAATCTTCTGAACAGAATTCCTCCACTTTGCCTCCAAAGTGATTCTGCACCAGTTTTGGAGAGGTTTGCAAACAGTAGCTGCACATTTTACAGTGATTCCCCCAACGTTTGGCTAAGTCATGCTTGTAAAGCAATTTGCAGCCTAAAAAAAGAGAGCAGAAAACAACACATGACAACGACTTAGAATTCTCCAACCATCCCCCCAAGGTGTAACTCTCCCAAGCATAACAATTTCACACACAAATTCTTTTGCAATTCAAAAGGTAAAGCTTTTTATTTTACACAGGAGGATATACGGGGAAAAATGATGATTAAAACGACCATTTCCACCACGGCATATCTTGGGACTGAATGTCGGTTTAGCCTAGGCTTTCTTACCTTCGCTACAGAATGATTTATCAATGCCTGAAAATCGCACTGTTTCTTTAACGATCTTGTCAATTTTGCAGTATTCACACATTGACATGACACAGTTTATCTTTTTGTATTCGTCACAACAGGTCTTTCCGCAGAACTGGAACATTTTGCCCTGCAATCAAGCACACACACACACACACACACAAAATGGAGTGCATTTTGGAAAAGAACATGCCATTGTGTACTTATCGAAAAGAAATGCAAGTTCACCCATTTCTATTAAAAAGACAAAAAAAAAAAAAAACCACCAAAAAAAAACAACAACAACCAACCCACACCAAAAACCTGCCAAGATCCGTCATTAATAAAGACTACCGGCTGCCATTTGCAGAGGTGCTGGTTTGTCGTCTGCTCAGAAATGAAAACCCACAGCTATCATTAAAAATCCATGGCTTAGGTCTTAAAGCTATATGGCATTGTTTCTCAACCTTGACAATTTTAAGGCATGTGGACTTCAACTCCCAGAATTCCACAGCCAGCATTGCTGGCTGTGGAATTCTGGGAGTTGAAGTCCACATGCCTTAAAATTGTCACGGTTGAGAAACAATGCTGTATGGGATTAGTTCAAAAACATGTGAGCAACGCGTGCCAAATTTCAGAAGACAGAATGGTGGTAAAAGAAGATTCCCAGCAGCTGGAAAAAAAGAGTGCGCATCCTTGCCAATTTTATAAGCTGCAAAAAAAAAAAAGAAAAAAAAAAAGACCGCAGGAAATGGAATGGGACAACTCACCACAGCCATCTCGCTGTGAGATAGCTCCACACAGGATTAATTCAGTGCAATGTTGTCTCCCCACTGTTTCTTCGACATTATTTCCATTGACAACAATGGAAGTAATGTCGAAGAAACAGCGGAGGGTAACATTTATTGCATTAGGGTCATCCTATGTGGAATTGTCCCGCGATGAGATGGTGACCGCAAACTGTCCTATACTCCCCCCCTCCCCGGGAATTACCTTACAGGTGAGAGGTTTGCCGAGTAATGTTTGAATGTAGTTATTTAGCATACAAGGACTCAGCAAAAGGAGACGTGATGCAAATAGGAACAATCTGCGTTATTCACGCAAGTCTCAAGATTCACTTTCTGTTGGCGCAAACCATTTTAAAGGGGGGGGGGAGGAAAGAACTAAGCATGGAATACACACGACCTTGCCTGTCACTAGGCCTCTTGTCCACAATTACAGGCCTCGCGTGTCCGACGTCAAGGCATCTGTGAACAACAACAATGGCAGGTGCCAATTACCCTGTAGTCGAGCACTTCGGGCTTCGTTGCAAAGAGACGATTACAGTGTTGACACCTGAGCTTGGCGACGGTGCGGGAGACTTGTTGCGACTGGGCAGCCAGCCTCTGGAGTCCGGCTGCGGCTGAGCTGCTGACCGAGCTGGGAGAGACCGTTGAGGTAGTGTTGCCCGCGGCAGAGACCGTCGCTCCTGAGGGAATGCTGACAATCACTTGGCCCTGTGACAAGGGCACCACGGAGGAGTTCATTCCTGTGGGCTTGTTGAACAAATTCTGGAAGGGACAGATTTGCACAATGAAGCCCTGTCCCTGCCCAATTCACCTCCAGTGTTATCCAATTGAGACTTAAACAATCTAACCCAGCGGTTCTCAACCTGTGGGTCGGGACCCCATTTGGGGTCGAACGACCATTTCACGGGGGTCGCCAAACGCAGTCCGCCATTTTGCTTTCCCCCTTTTCCTTAGCTGTGCTACTCCCTTGTATTCTATTGGCTTTTGAAAGCCAATAGAATAGACTCTCTTGAATAGAGTCTAATTCTATTGGCTTTTAAAAGCCAATAGGAATTGTCCAGGCTGTCTCTGCCCTGCTGAGCCCGCCAAAAGTCCCATTCTGCAAACAGTGCTGCACCAGTTGAGTAGTCCTAGACTTACGACCGGTTGGGGGTCGCGGCATTAAAAAGGTTGAGAACCCCTGATCTAACCACAAGCCATCCAAACGGGTGTTACTCCATCTAGCTGCAAACATCTCCAGGGCCACTAGATGGCAGTGAAGAAATTCAAAAAAATTCTACCTCCGTGCTGCCTGCCATCTAGTGGCTGTTTCGCAGCCTCCATACGGCAACCTTCTGAACGACCTCTATGGAGCAATTTTGCGTATTATATGGCAGTGATGGCGAACCTTTTGGAGACCGAGTGCCCAAACACAAAACCCACTTACGTATCATCGTGTGCCCATTGGGTAGGTGTGGCTGCGGTGGTAAGGATTGACTGGGTGGGACTAAAAAGCTCAATCAATCAATTCCAACTCTACGAGATCTTTTTTTTTCCCCGCGAGAAGTTGAAATTGATTGATTAATTGAACCTTTTTTTTTTTGTGCATACGGCGGGGGAGGCCTAAAGCGAAAAGGTTTTATAAAACTGAGCTGGAGGCCCAGGACTGGGGCGATGGTGTGCCTGCCCACAGAGAGGGCTCTGTGTGCCACCTGTGGTATGCATGCCATAGGTTCGCCACCACGGTTATATGGCATTCTTACTGCTGGTCTAGAAAGAGATGGCTGGATTTGGTATCTTGCAGAGAGGCCCAATTCAAGCCCACCTGTTTGTGGCATGGAAGGAACAGAAATTCTACGCCGCAACGGCTTAAAGAGAGACTATTACTTTTTTGCCAGTCTTCTGTTTACCAGGACAATTTGGCCTCTTCCAAACATCCCAGAGGCTGCCGAGCCCTCTAACAGAAAGGCTTCTGATACACAGATTTGACAAAACTGTCTAGATATTTTAACAGGGGCAGCTCTAGCGGCTTCCTTGAGAATTAAAGCCACACGGGCTTTTTTCACATCAAAGGATATGTGCTTGGTTCTGTCCTGACAAATCCCTGCATTCCACCTCCCCTGACTCACATGTATTCAGAATGGTGCAATCAAAGCAAGGAGACAGACTGAGATTTAAGATGTACCTGAAAAGCCACCACACAGCTATAGCTGCAAAAATTACGTATGCTTCCATCTGACATCGCAAGATGATACTGAGGGATGGCTGAGGTTTTACAGCTATTACATTGGACCTGGACACCTGAGAGAGAAAATAAATGAAGCAACACGTGCAAAGAAAAAAGAGTGAATTTATTAATACATGCTTCTCCCGTTGCTTTCAGAACGTATATGAAATTAAGGAGAAAGTATGTGAATACCTGACGATGTGACCACTTTGACTCTGTGTGCCGACAAGCAATTCACGGAACAAAAGAGCTCCGTTTTCCCCACATTATTTGTGCTTTCGATCATCTCAGCTGAAGATCTCAGAGATTTACACATTGCACAGGGGGTAATTTTTGCAGACTTCTGGGAGGGGGGGAGGAAAAACAAAGGAACCATACATAAAGCAACAATACTAGGAGAAAAAGTTTGTTTAGCCTGAAACATGCGCTCCCTTGATTTGGCAGACCACAGAAAGATACCCCAGTTGTCATGTCACACGAAAGGCAGGAATTGTGTATCTTGATAGAGAGCCCGGTCTTAATTGAAAAATGATAGACAGAGGGAACGTATAGCAAGTCCTCGACATACAACCATACATTTAGTGGCCTTTTGCAATTACGACACTGAAAAAGCAACTTATGACTATAAGTTTTCATATTTATGACAGTTGCAGCATGTGGTCACATGATAAAAATTCAGATGCTTGGCAACTGGCATGTATTCATGAGGGTGGCAGTGTCCTGGGGGGTCATGTGATCCACCTTTGACAAGCAAAGTTAATGGGGAAGCCAAATTCATTTAACAGTTGTGTTACTAATTGAACAAATGCGGTGATTCCCTTAACAATTCTGGCAAGAAAGGGCGTAAAATGGGACAAAGCTGACGTAACAACCGTCTTGTTTAAGCACAGAAATTTTGGGCTGAATTGTGGTTGTCAGTCCAGGGCTAACTGTACACAATTTCCTCTTGACTCAATACATTCTCCGTTAAGTATTTTTTTTCCCCCTGTAAATTGTAAAGTGGGGAAAGTGCTGATTGAAAGACTTAATTTTCCTTTTCCAATCGTTCTCATCAGGTGCTATGAAATATAATACACACACACACACACACACACATTCAGAATCTCTATACCCATGAGGGTCCTGGAGAACTGGGGTCCTCATATGGAGAGTGCTCACGGACAGATAGATCTCTGAAAACGTTTGCATCTTACAATGTGGAGAATGTTGACAGGGGCACGGGGTCCCCACTCCCCCTAAAATTGGCAAGATATGTTTTTCAGTTTTTTCCAGAACACTAGAAATGGACTGCTGCTCGCTGTCAGTTATCCGCTCAAACTTGTTACTTGGCAGGGATTTGTCCGGTATGGAAGAATAAGTCCTATACAGATAAGTCCTCAACTTACATCCATTTGTTTAGCAACCATTCAAAGTTATAAGGACACCAGAAGAAATGACTTGCGACTAGTCCTTATACTGGCAACTGTTCTAGCATCCCCGTGGTCACACGATCAAAATTTGGGCACTTAGCAACCGACAGGTATTTGCAATGGTGGTAGCCACGTGACCACGTGATCTCCATTTGCAACTTTCCCAGCCATCTTCTGATAAAGTCAATGGGGGAAGCCGGATTCGCTTAATGACTGCACGATTCACTTAACAACTGCAGGGATTTGCTTAACAAGCATGGCCAAAAAAACAAAAAACAAAAAAACAAACAAAACAAAAAACCAAACCAACTGTCATAAAATCAGGCATGGCTCACTTAACAACTGCCTTGCTTAGCAACAGAAATTCTGGGCCCAATTGTTGAGTCAAGGCCCATCTGCAATGGCAGCGTCTCCTCCCACAGGCAACCCAAGGGAGCTTCTTCTATTGAAGAGATGGCCTTGAAGCAGCCTTCCCCAAGAAGAGGGAGTCAAGCTATTCTCCAAAGCGGCTGAGGGCAAGACAAGAAGCAATGGATGGAAACTAATCAAGGAGAGAAGCAACCTAGAACTAAGGAGAAACTTCCTGACAGTGAGAACAATTAACCAGTGGAACAACCTGCCTCCAGAAGCGGTGAATGCTCCAACACTGGAAGTTTTTAAGAAGAGACTGGACAGCCATTTGTCTGAAATGGTATAGGGCCATGGTGGGTGCCATAGGTGGCAAGCAGAACCCTCCCTGTGGGCACGCGCACCATTGCCCCAGTCCTAGGCCAATTTTTATAAAACCTTTTCGCTTTAGGCCTCCGACGCCGTGTGCAAAAAAAAAAAGGGGGGGGGGATTTCAACTTCTTGCGGGGAAAAAAAATAAATCTCGCAAAGTTGGACCTGATTGATTGAACTTTTTAGTCCCACCCAGTCTGCCGTTACCACCGCAGCCACAACCACCCAATGGGCCACACCCACCCGGCACCCAACAATGCCTAGGTGAGTTTTGGGTTGCAGTTTGGGCACTTGGTCTCTAAAAGGTTCGCCATCACTGGTATAGGGTTTCCTGCCTGAGCAGGGGGTTTGACTAGAAGATCTCCAAGATCCCTTCCACCTGTATCATCATAATCGTCATCCTCGTTCTCCTTAGGAAACCTGACGCGCAAAGTCCTATTGCAAATAAATGTGTTCTTCAGAAACCAGAAGGTGGGGGAAAACACAGACCTGCTTGTAGGCAGTGACGCAGGCTGAGCTACAAAACTTTTTGGACTGCCCCTCGATCTGAAGCATGTGACACTGTCCCGAAGCACTGTAGCAGTAGCCCCCACAGTTTTCACAGCAGTTCATGGTCAGGTTGTTCGCGGAACGAAACTTGGAGAAGCAGGCATCGCTGCAGAGCTTATGTACCACATTCTGGTAATTCACTTCATGCCGAATCTGTAGGTAGGAAAAATGGGTTACTGCCAAAAGAACTATCTCAGACTCTTCCTTCTCTTGTAGGAACTTCCTCTCTCTCTCTCTCTCTCTCTCTCTCTCTCTCTCTCTCTCTCCCTCCCTCCCTCCCTTCTCTCTCTTTCTCTCCCTCCCTCCCTCTCTCTGAATGTAGTTTGCATATTGATGAGTACGAACTTCAAAACAGTAGCACTTAAATTTATATGCTGCTCCGTAATGCTTTACAGCACTCCAACAATTTGGGTCATTTTAAAAAACTTCAGAAGGATGGAAGGCTGAGTCAACCTCGAGCCCTGACAGGATCGAACTCCTGACTGTGGGCAGAATTAGTCTGCAATACTGCATTCTAACCACTCAGCCACCAGGCTCTTAAAAGGTCCAAAAACAAAAGATATGGTAAGATGGAATGATGGATGGGATGGGATGGGATGGGATGGGATGGGATGGGATGGGATGGGATGGATGGATGGAAGGAAGGAAGGAAGGAAGGAAGGAAGGAAGGAAGGAAGGAAGGAAGGAAGGAAGGAAGGAAGGAAGGAAATCTCTCTTAGACTTGACTCAGAAAAGCAACATCTAGATTTATATGTAAGATTCTGTCCAGTGCAAGAAACCAGGAGCAGGGTTAGAGTTCAAAAATATTGAGAGTTTATTTCATGCTACCTATACACAAGAATCTGATCTACTAATGGTGCTAGATAAAAGTCAACAGAATTCACAGGAGGAGGCTGGACTGGGGTCTCTCGTGGGAGCATAGCAATTCCAAACTGACCCTTGGGCTCAGCCTGGTCATCTCCTACAGATTCAGTTGCAAGAAATATGTTACAAAAACCGACACAATTGCCAATGAGGTTCTTCTGCAGAGCTGCAGATTATTCCTTGTTACGATTGGCCATTTCTTTAGTTCAGGGGCAGGTACAATATGCTTTTAACCAATTGCACCTCAAAAATCCACTCGTAAAGTTCAACAGATTTGATGGTTTAATCAAAAGCAACCTGAGGAGCTTTGTAGCTGAATGCACGCTGAACAACAACCCCAAACATTCAGAACAAGGAAAGACTGGCAAAGATGGTTACCACTGCGTTCTTCTGGCACATGCTGCATTTGGTGGAGATGCTGTTTGTATGGATGGTGACCACGGGCTTCCTTTTCAACTCGTACACAGAAAGACAGGACTGGCTACAGAAATCCTTGCTGGAATTTGTATTGTCAAACTGAGCTGTAATCACATCTTTTGGGTGCAGGATGTCCCTACACAGTTCAGAGAAACAGAGTTAACTTTTTCAGGCTCAGAAATAACGGATCCACACAGAACAAAAGCAGTATCTGTAATGTCTCTGGCGCTTCCCCCCCCCCACTCCCGATTAATTGGATCTGCAACTTGCAGACATAATTGAATATTGGTATTTAAACTTCAGATAATAGTATTGGTGCCATTTGCCTTTAGGTACTTTCCCCATACTATCTTCTTGGTTAAAAAAAATCATTAAGGGTGCACCTCTGCAAAAATATTGTTGCTTTAATTGATCAAGTTTTGTTTACCCTGGATTTATTTATTAATTACAGTCACCCACCAATCAAAAGAGATTGGGGATGGGAGTGGGATACAACAAGGTCAACATATAAATGAAGAACAAAAGTATACAAAATTAAATGGTGTCATAAAACAGAAAGCAGTAAATACCACAGCTTTCAGTAAAAATAAACCAGGGGTCAAATGCATTCTGGAGTAAAACGGCTTTGGAGACCTATAGCTTGGTCTCCATCCTATGAACCATGGAAGGAGTTGCTGCAACAGACACTCTGGGAGACTGGATCAGACTGGTGGACTTAATTCTGGCAAAGCATGGCCTCATATATCCAGCATTGTCTTATATATCCCAGAGGACACTGTAAAGGATTTTAACAGGCTCTGCTTTCCTATAAGAAAATCAAAGCACTACAACAGTGGTGGCGAACCTATGGCATGCGTGCCAGAGGCGGCACTCAGAGCCCTCTCTGTGGGCACACGCGCCGTTGCCCCAGCCCTGCCATCTCCTCATCAGCAGCCCCCCTGGAGGAGAGTTGCCCCCCCCCCGGCGCAGAGCAGCGCAGCCAAGCACATGGCAGCTGGACAGCAGGGACAAGACTCCGCCCTCGCGCCCCGTCATGCACAGATAATGCTGTGGGGCACGGATGGAGGCGGTGGGTGGCCTGGCAGGTGGGGCAGGGTGGAGCGACGGGGGCGGTTTTTGAGCACTCGGTCTCTTAAAAGGTTCACCATCGCTGCACTACAAGATGTAACTGCCGCACCCTCTGGGTCAGTGGTTCTCAACCTTTTTAATGCCACGACCCCCAACCGGTCGTAAGTCGAGGACTACTCAACCGGTCGTAAGTCGAGGACTACTCAACTGGTGCAGCACCGTTTGCAGAATGGGACTTTTGGCGGGCTCAGCAGGGCAGAGACAGCCTGGACAATTCCTATTGGCTTTTGAAAGCCAATAGAATTAGACTCTATTCAAGAGAGTCTATTCTATTGGCTTTCAAAAGCCAATAGAATAAAAGGGAGTAGCACAGCTAAGGAAAAGGGGAAAAAAATGGCGGACTGCGTTGTTTGGCGACCCCCGTGAAATGGTCGTTCAACCCCAAATGGGGTCCCGAGCCACAGGTTGAGAACCACTGCTCTGGGTTAAAGCCCGGCGGAAGGCTGGCCATGGTGCTTTAACCCTGACTATGCTGCAAGTCCAGAGTAAAACTTGTAAGGAAGCCAAAGGCTGGATTCCAGGCATTCTCTGGATGGGGATTAAGTGAGATCGGTTTCGTGTATCTGCCCTTACTTTGAGCAGCTGGAGCACGTTTTCTTGGTGAAAGGCTGTGGCCGAGTGGCTGGTACAGTGTATCCCGTGAGGCACAGTGTGGAGCAGAAGAGCTGAGTAGAGCCCTTCCTTTGATAGGCTGTCTGCCCCTTCTGCAGGATCTTCTTGCATCCCGAACAGGAAACCCGAACGGCCGTGCTTGGGACCGAAGGAAGTAGCTTGTTCATGCCAGAGGATGGCGTGTTAGGTGGGAAACCTGAGGTCAGCTGCGGAGCTTATCAAAAACAAAACACACACACACAGACACACACACACAATGCTACTGAGGTTGTCTTCTCGCCTGTGGAATCCCATGTTAAACATACTTCACCCCCTCTGCAAATGCATTTCTCCCCCCCCCCCATTCCTGACAGATGAAAAGGAAAAAAATCCAACAACCCCTACTGAGCACTTCTTACATAATTTCTCCAGGCCAAGTTCCCCTGATTAAAAGAGTTAACTTGGCTGGGAATTCTGGAAGGAGGATGGGGTGGTGGTGTCGGCTTAGGGGCCAGGGAAACCCAGATTTAATTCAACACTTAGGCGTGGAAACTCTCTGGGCCAGCCACTTTTTCTTAGCCCAACCCATTTCACAAAGCTGTGGGGATAAGATAAAGGGAGGCATCCCCTATGCCAGTGTTTCTCAACCTTGACCATTTTAAGGCATGTGGACTTCAACTCCCAGAATTCCACAGCCAGCATTGCTAGCTGTGGAATTCTGGGAGTTGAAGTCCACATGCCTTAAAATGGTCAAGGTTGAGAAATACTGCCCTATGCAAACTTGAACTCCAGCAGGCCAGGCAGGGTATAAACCCAGTGAGTAAGCAACACCCCCTTACACCTTTAGAGGATGCCATGTTGGGGAGGGCTAGTCTTGCCTATGTAAAACATGTGAAATTATTTCTCCAAGCAACCGGTAGACAGAAAATGCCTGTTAATTCCCATCCAGCCCAAATCTTGATCCTTACCGAGAGGGCTGCCGCTGACAGAAAACACAGCGCTGATTTTCAGTTCTCCTTCCTGAGTTTTTGGCTGCTGGCCATAATCCTGAAAAAAAAAGGGTCACAGATGAAAATTCCAGCTGATGTAACCAGAAGCATCTAAGCCCTAATCTAGAAGACACACCACGTAACCTCCCAGTGCAATCAGCCACATAGGAGTCCTGCTGTAAATATCCCAATCTATGAAATGCCTTTTCCTGCATTTAATGCATTTCGAATACTATGTGGCATAGGAGTGGCTGATTATTTTGGTGTCCTCTATGCACCATTTAACTGTTGCCTATTTGCAAGTGCCTCAATTCCTGGCAAATAGATGGGGAAGAAATGGAGGTAGTGACAGATTTTATCTTCCTGGGTTCCAAGATCACCGCAGATGGGGACTGCAGCCAAGAAATTAAAAGACGCTTGCTCCTGGGGAGGAAAGCTATGGCAAATCTAGACAGCATACTAAAAAGCAGAGACATCAGCCTGCCAACAAAAGTGCGTATAGTCAAGGCCATGGTTTTCCCAGTTGCAATGTATGGCTGTGAAAGTTGGACCATAAGAAAGGCTGAGCGCCAAAGAATGGAGGCCTTTGAACTCTGGGGCTGGAGAAGCCTCCCGCGAGTCCCCTGGACTGCAAGGCCATCAAATCAGTCAGTCCTAGAGGAGATCAACCCTGATTGCTCTTTAGAAGGCCAGATCCTGACGTTGAAACTCAAGTACTTTGGCCACCTAATGAGAAGGAAGGACTCACTGGAGAAGGGCCTAATGCTGGGAAAGATGGAGGGCAAGAGAAGAATGGGACGACAGAGAGTGAGGTGGCTGGATGGAGTCACTGAAGCAGGAGACGGTAGAGGACTCCAGAAGATGGTAGAGGACAGGAAGGCCTGGAGGAACGTTGTCCATGGGGTTGCGATGGGTCGGACACGACTTCGCAACTAACAACAACATAGTTTTTGACCATAATATTGAGTGAATCTCAAAACTATCGACGTATCCTCAAAACAATATGTGCCTGAAAACAGAGATGGATCTTACCTCAGTACTGTCTGGCTCATCCTTAATTTTATTCAGCAGCCCCGGCTGAGGTGCCATAGCTTTATCGTAGTCATTATCCAAAGGCTCTTCTTTGATTCTAATATTGGACGCGTAGGAATTCCCGAGCTCTTGGCCAACAGAGTCTTTATTAGCAAACAGGTAGCTAGATTCCTAGGATGCAAATGTGGGAAACATGCTTTAGTGCATCGGGGCTATGCAGTGCTTCAGGCTTTATTCTAGAAAAGTGCTTTGGCATTCATATACAGCAGTGTTTCCCAAACTTGACAATTTTAAGGCATGAGGACTTCAACTCCCAGAATTCCACAGCCAGCATTGCTGGCTGTGGAATTCTGGGAGTTGAAGTCCACATGCCTTAAAATTGTCAAGTTTGGGAAACACTGATATACAGTGTACAGGAAGGCAGGCCATATCTGCAACTCTTCAGAGCTGCTGCTTCTTTACTCAGCATCATGCAGCTGTTCTCTGCAACCACCAAGTAAACTACCATGAAAAGATGCAGCATCCTTAAAAGAATTGCAGGCAGGCTACTGTGTTTGTGGCCTCGGTTCTGTTTTTTATCCGAGCAATTTATTCACTTTTTCCCTGGCCTTTCAGCTGCACCCTTTTCTTTTCTAAGTTCAGAGCCAAATACCCCATTCTTACCCTCTAATCACCCCACTCTTCTGGAACATTAGAACAGCTTGAACAATCACTAGCTGAAGGTACAACAGCACCACGAAGTTCTTACAGTAATCCTAGCCTCCAGAACAGTGGTTCTCAATCTGTGGGTCGGGACCCCATTTGGGGTCGAACGACCATTTCACGGGGGTCGCCAAACAATGCAGTCCGCCATTTTTTCCCCCCTTTTCCTTAGCTGTGCTACTCCCTTTTATTCTATTGGCTTTTGAAAGCCAATAGAATAGACTCTCTTGAATAGAGTCTAATTCTATTGGCTTTCAAAAGCCAATAGGAATTGTCCAGGCTGTCTCTGCCCTGCTGAGCCCGCCAAAAGTCCCATTCTGCAAACGGTGCTGCACCAGTTGAGTAGTCCTCGACTTACAACCGGTTGAGTAGTCCTTGACTTATGACCGGTTGGGGGTCGCGGCATTAAAAAGGTTGAGAACCACTGCTCCAGAAGGTATTTTATGGCACATAATTTTATTTACTTATTAAATGTGCCTACCACCCATCTGACTCTGCAAAGCAACTCTTAATAAAAGGAAAAAATTCACAAGTGTGAATTTTGTGAACTTACCCTAAAGTTAGTTTCTGGTGTTTGCGGTGCTAAATGTGTCCGTAACGTTTCATCTACTTGATTCGCAACTGGGAAACACAAAAAGTGCAATGAGAAACATTTTAAAGGAGAAAAAAAAATCCTTGGAAGCTTGTGGAAACCCAAATCATTTATACCAGTATCTTCCAAATAATTATTTAGGGTTTAGCACGAGTAACTAAAGTGAGCGTGTGTCACATACGTCAAATGTATTTTCTTCAGATGCTTTTGGAAACAAAGATAACTTATTCAGCAGTGCTTCAGTTTCTTAAACGGGTGGAACTAAGGAGCTCCAAATTTTTAAAATAGAATTAAAGCATGTGGGTCAAGAAGAAGAGGCATGCCAACTCTGAGAACAGCAAGGAAACAACAGAAGTCCAAAGAGCAGACCACAAGTTGGAAATATGGGTTAGACTTTTGCTGCACAATCTGGCAGTCCTGGAAAATTAGTATTGCAGCCCCACAAGATAGTAACAACTTAAGAAATAAAAGAAGTTTGTTATATACATTAGAGAGCCGAGGTGGCGCAGCAGCAGTTAGAGTGCAGTACTGCAGGCCACTTTAGCTGACTGTGTTCAGCAGGTCAGCGGTTCAAATCTCACTGGCTAAAGGTTGACTCAGCCTTCCATCCTTCCGGGGTAGGTAAAATGAGGACCCAGATTGTTGGGGGCAATGTAAATATATATATATACATTGCTTACTGGTGTACACCGCTTAGAGAGTGCTTGCACTTAAAGCGATATATAAGTCTCATAAATAAATAAATAAATAAATAAATTATGTTATATATTTTATATGCGGCCCCAGGCTGTTCCTCTTCAATGTGGTCCAAGCAAGCCAAAACACTGGAGAATCTTGACTGACAGGGAAGATCCCTGTAGATGTCTCACTGGTCTGTTTCTCCTAATCTAATGGGCAATAATTTAACTAGGATTTGTTGAAAACGAAACCCCACCATGGCCGAAGTCTCGTTCTAGCTGAGAAAGAACCATCCGTATTATCCTGAGCGTGAAGCATGAGCCAGTTCCTGAAAAAAGCAGGAGCTCTGAGCTCTCCTAGTAAAACTGAGTGAGTAATATTACCTGATTTATCAAGCAAACTGCTTTTCAATCTGGAATCTAGCTCTTTCGGCATTTTTTCCAAGCGTTTGTCACGTTCTTGGAAAGATCCTTCTCTGGTTTTCTCCTTTGCCAAGAAAGGGTCTTTACTATCATCTCTTGCGATGCTAAAGTCTTTCCGCAGGGACTTAAACACAGAGGATCCCTTGTCAAAAGGGGGAGAGAGATCCTTCTGGATCATGTTTTGCATCGGGGTGTCTTTTTCACTGTCCACCACATGATCCCGGACCCTCCTCCCATCTCCCCGGCTATCTTCACAGCGAAGGGCAGAAGAGAGACCATCCTTTGGAGCAAAAGTCTGCTCTTCTTCATTGTCACTCCCAACCACAGGAATTCCTGCAAGGTCTCCTGAGTTCAGGAAATAATCACTGTCATCCAGCAAAGAGTTGGTGGATCCTGTCCGGTTCTGCATTCTGTAGGGGATGCTGTCAAAAGCAGGACTGAGGTTGTGGACTGTCTTCTCAGACATCTCAGAATTTATAATGTTTGCACCTAAACAGGGGAAGACAACGGGATGTCTTTATAAAAAAAAAAAAAAAAGCAGCTCATTTAGAATCAGGGGCTAACATATAGCCGAACACATTCATAGCTTTTTTTTTTTAATGCGATTTGTCTAACCTAAACATATTTCCAATTGAGTTCTCTGAAAGACTATGTTATTTTTGCGAGGAGGTTACTTTTTAAATTATGTGTACAACTTTCATTAAATTCTTTCCAATCATCAGACCCCCATTTTCAATTAGACTTTTCTCACACTCTGTGAAAAGTAACTACAGCAGTAGCTAAACCTTTTTATGTTTCTGACAGTTAGAACAATTAACCAGTGGAACAACCTGCCTCCAGAAGTTGTGAATGCTCCAACACTGGAAGTTTTTAAGAAGAGATTGGACAGCCATTTGTCTGAAATGGTGTAGGGTTTCCTGCCTGAGCAGGGGGTTGAACTCGATGACCTCCAAGGTCCCTTCAGATCTATTCTATTCTATTCTATTCTATTCTATTCTATTCTATTCTATTCTATTCCTATTTCTATTCTATTTCTATTTCTGCTCTCTCTATTCTATTCTAAATTTGCAACATTCCTTTTGAGTCAGTATGACACCAGATAAAAAGTACCTGTACTACAAATTTCAAGGATGTCAGAAGTAAATCAGTCACTCTCACTATTAATTCCTGTGGGCTATATTCAACCAGAGATGGGAAACGTGCCCATTAGCCTAATCCAGCTAATCAAACAGTAGAGGTTTTGAACACAATTCGTTCCCATCTTTACCAGCATATGCAGCATTTACAAGTGCCCGGATTTTGGATTTTCTTAACATAAACATGTGTAACTCATACGTACAAAACACACACAAACAAAATGACTAAGGAAATATTTCATGAGCAAACAATTGCATACTCACGTTCTTCTGCGTTGCCAAACACTGTATCCGTTTTGTCTTCAAACTGCAGAGGTGAAAAAAAATTGCACTGTGATTCTGGTTCATTTAAAGAACAGAACATTTCCTTCTTCTCTATTATCCAATTCCCAGTACAAATGCTAGAGTTTGGGGTTGTGAATAATCTTGCTATACAAATAAAAGAAACAAGATATATTTTCTGACGTTTTGCATATAAAAGATGCAATCACCTGCTACGTTAACTTTAGCACCAAGGCTACTTCAAGCTCCAAAGTCTACTAAAGCTGGTGCTTTAACCGATTTGTCTTGGGATGCTAAGCCATGTCAATTACTCTTGTTTGTAACTTTACCATCTAGGCATGCAATTTTCTTTGTTTTTTTCCAGCCTAAAGCAAATGGTACATAATGAAATATACTCATCTTGTGCTGAACTTATATTGCCTTAAGAAGCATCCCAATGAAGAATTCCTCACCGTATGTGTTTGTGGCTTTTGAAAAACCATTTATCACAGTAGGCAAGCCACTCCTTGGATTTCAGTCACACCGAGCGTTGCAAATTAAATAAATGTTTTGTGGTGAAACACCACAGCATGAGCAAGAGTGAAACTGAGTGATGTTCCAATTTATCTTTCTAGTACAATTCAAAACAATAGATAGTGAAATGAAGAAGTCTACAGAATGTTCGCTGAAAGGGGCAATACTAAGCACAGAAAGCAACAGGGCTCAAGCCAATCTCCTCTCACACTTATGCTGCTGTGGAAAAGACAAAATTAGAAATCAAGCATTCATTGGATGCATCTAAGAGCGACAAGCCCTGTTATCTGCAAACCAAGGGTTCAATCAATGAGAGAGTTCCTACCTGAATCATCAGCTTTTTACTCTTCTAATTGTGTGACGTTCAAAGTAGACAAGTTGAATAAAAAAAAAAAAACTGGATTCGAAACAGTTTGGTGAGGGGTCCTTGGTCCTCTCTGAGCTTGGTTGTTTTCTGCAGATGTTTCATTACCCAAACTAGATAACATCATCAGTGCAAGCTCAAGAAAGCACCAAGGACCCCTCATTTCAACCCTGAGCTACAAATATTCTCCTTTATTGGCAAATCAGAGAACTTGGCATTTTGTGAATGTGAATTTGACTTAATGAAGTCCAATTATTAAATTCTGCTTGTGATTTTCTAATCGTTTTTAAATTCTGTATTTTTTTCCCCCCAAAATAGTGCCTTCTATTCAACTGCCCCTTAAGGAAACCTGTTGTAAAGTCTCTACATTCCTGAGGCAGCACCTGATTTTATTCATTGGCCTAATTTTCACAGCCATGACCCACGGTGATATTTGTTATCTTCCCTGAGGATGCAAGGAAAGAAATGGATTTCTATAATCTATTGCAGGGCTTTTCAAGCAGTGGTACGGGTATCACCTGTGGTACACTGGCACCTGGCAGATGGTATGCGACCATCCTAGAAAAGTGGTAGTGGGGGAGGGAAATGAGCTGAACCGGTGGCAGCAACGCACAAGCCTGAGCAAGAGATGGCTGGAGCTGCAGGGCTGTCAGGGCTCAGCGGAAGCGCCAGGATCAGTGCTGCTTTCCAGCTGATCAGCACTTCTTCAAGACTATCAGGGCTCAGTGGAAGCACCAGGATCAGCGCCAGGCTCCAGCTGGAGCTCGGCGCTGATCCTGGTGCTTCTGCTGAGCCCTGAAGAAGCACCAATCAGCTGGAAAGCAGCACTGATCCTGGCGCTTCTGCTGAGCCCAGAAAAAGTGCCGATCAGCTGGAATGTTGCAGCATCCCGAGGGTCTTGTGATTTACATTCAGATGCTTGGCAACTGATTCATATTTATGACGGTCACAGTGTCCCAAGGTCATGTGAAGTGACCAAAATCTGCTGCAACCACCCAGCAGACGGGGGGAATAAAAACCAAACACCCCCCACCCCACCCCCGCTATTTTTTTTTTTGTCATCAAGTTTTTGACACCTTGCTAGGCAACTGGTGGTACTCGGATACTGCCATATCCTAAAAGTGATACAGTGGGTGAAAAGGTTGAAAAGCCCTGATCTATTGTATCTACCTAGACATGGTACATGATACTTTTTCCCCCAGAAAAAGCCAAATCAATCCTATTCTCCCTACTGGAGTCATTTTCTCTATCCTCATATTAGTTTACAGTTTAGCATCTTTTATGTTCAACCCATGAGATTTGTAGTTAATTTTTCATACCTGAAGACATTCCACAGACTGAAGCACCCTATACTGCCACTTGGACTAGGCCTTGCTTCTCCACCTGTTTATGTTTAAAAAAAAGATAGTAAGATAAGATAACCTTTATGGTCATTTTTTTACTGTGGGCACAACGGCACACATCAAAAATGAAATTTAGTTGCCCGCTCTCAAAGTGAAACACATACATGATGCACACCTAAACATACTATGAACAATATATGCATAGACCCACATCCCTACGTATACGTAGCAAATAAATATTAAATACTGTTCATCTTGAATATATAACAGAAGGAGGAAGCTTGAGAGTTCACAAGGTCTTTTTAGGAATATTTTTGAGGCCTGTCTCTGAAAACAAAACATTTTTGTTCAAACAGAACATCATGAACCTTGTTTACCGTTTCTTGTAACTATAAATGGCTATATAGAAATTTTTGTAGATACCATACTAATCTCCTGTAAGATAAGCAGTAGTAAAAGTTTGATCAGCTTGCTTGTAAGTGCAATAGCCACATCATTCAGCTTTGGATATTCCATTTTCTTCATACATTCTATAAGTAGAAGCAATTAAAAACCAGACATGCCATCAGCACTGTCTGTTGCCAACGCAGCAAGTGACACAAGTCGGTACAACCTGTCCGATCTAACATAAAAGCCATACTGCTATTAATCAAATATGTTTTGTCAGGTCTGGCAAATTCACTAAGAAAAATAGACAGCCATTCAAAGTATTGTATGGGAAGTCTAGCAGTCAATGTTAAGCAGGATAATATCAATCATTTTGGGTACATTGCCTTCTATAAAAATTGACTTAAGGAAAAGTATTGATATGCCTTTGTTCAAGTTTAACTAGTGAACAGTTGAAGAACTGCCAACATTCATTTGCAATCAACCAGGCCAGAATGTAAGAAGTGTTTTGATTTGCTCCCTCGCTATGGTAAAAGTTATGAGCAATTTCATTTCCAATGTAATGAGAGCTAATTCCACGTCCCCCCCTTGTATTTTCCCAAAAGCAAGAAAAAAAAGGTTTCTTTGTAACTTTCTTAAAATTCATGACTTTCTAATTGCTCTGATCTATCCAGGCTCTTAATTGGGATGTATAGAATTGTGTATTCCCTTTCCCAAAAGTTCTGTTTTTCCCAAGCGTTGTGCAAAATGGGTTCCTCCCAAAAAGTCAGATTTAGAGAAATGTATTTGTATCTGTATTTTCCAGAACAGGAAATAATTTGCAGTATTCCTGATGCTACATTTGAGAGAGGAAAAAAAAAAGGAAGTGACCATGTTGTTTTACACATATATTTCTAATTTAATTAATTTATAATGGAAATGGGCTGATCACATAGCAAGAACTGATGGCAGTCATAGAATGGATCCCCCTTGATAAAAAAGTGTCCACAAAAGAGACCTAAAACAATGTCCTTCCATCATATCAGTGATTGCATGACCTTTGTAGATGCCATAGGCTAAACAAACATATTACTAAATAAATGTCCTTCCACATCCAGGACTTTCCATAAAGGTTTTTCCTATAATGGACAAGAGATTATCTTTTCCAAGATTTAATCTCCCATGCCTTCTGGCAAGCAAGATCCAAGTCCACAGATGGCAGTAGAGAGCAGTAAATTAAGAGACAAACAGTATAAATAAGAAGTTTGAAGCATAGGAGAGAAAAGCAGAGGTATAAAGAACTGACTCTACATTCAGTGAAAAAACTCATCTGCATTAAGGAGAAATCCAGAGATCTCCACCTGTAAAGAAAAAGGGAATCTTGACATCCGCTTTCAAAAGTTCTTGGCAACTAAAGCCTCTTCCAACAACATCTTCCATGTTTTCCTGATACATTTTGTTAGATACATTTCTTTGGGATACCAACCCAAAGGAAGACATCTTTTCATCCACTGTGTTCTTCACAACTGAAACTGAGACATTTTTAATCAGGACCCACAAATTAAACTGGACAGCTTGAACGTGGCTGAAGTACTGCAAGAAGATCTATTGAAAGATTCCTCATCAGACATCCAGTAATATCAAGAAAGGCTTTTAGACCTAACTGTCTCACGACTGTATTGAACCTGCAAAGTGAATCTACTTCTCAGGTGTAAGAACATTAAATAATCTTGGTTGACAGCGACAGAGATTGCTCATGCATCATCTCTGAAGCCTCTCCCATGATTTAAAAAAACAACAACTCAATTCTGGCTTAGCATATTGCTGTGCTCAACCCATTATTTTGTCAGGAATAGCATGCGATGGATGATGACATGGCAGAAGCCTGAACTTGTAAACTGCTAATATGGTCATCTTGACCTCCATGCTTAAAACATATTGTGTTTTAGGTCCCAGGGAGTTTAATAACTTGGAATCCAGAGTTCTTAAAATCAGGTCCCCTGGCTCAAAAGCTTAAGTCACTGACAATTAGGATAAGGATACTATATACCGTATATTCCGGCATATAGGGTGACCCGGCGTATAAGACAATTCCCCGAGTTCGACGCCGAGTCACAAGACGATCGACGCCGAGTCGCATGCCTAGAAAGTCATCTTATACGCCAGAAACTACTGGTATTTCCGGCGTATAAGACAATCGACCGCCGAGTTGCATGCCTAGAAAGTCGTCTTATACGCTGGAAACTACTTTATTTCCAGCGTATAAGACGACTCGGCGTATAAGACGACCCTGAGTTTGGCACCTGTTTCAATGCTCTCAAAAGTCGTCTCATACACCGGAATATACAGTAAATCAATTGATCTTCCAGAATGGCTCTCAAAGGCTCATTTTTACAAGCACAATGAAGAAAATGGAGTAGAAACCTAAGGCCTTTCTTCCCAACGATCCACATTCTGCACTCAAATGCCTTCAGATGAATGAAAGCTTGAAAAGTCTATTGCGGCACTTCTCCTGTTACGTCCTATGAAAATAAATGTACTGATTGTAAGGTCTGTTTTCGAATTCTATGGCTTGGCGTGGTAAAATGTGTTAAAACACCCAGGCAACTATGGTACTGATGAGCTATTGTTAGGCAAGTAGGGAGCACCAGTAGCAGATAGTCACTGTTGCTTGCGGTCCCTTGTATATGTAGGGAAGAGGTACCGTATATGCCGGCGTATTAGGCGACCCGGCGTATAAGACGACCCCCGTCTTTATAGCCGGGCCGCATTCCTAGAACATCGTCTTATACGCCGGAAACTACCAGTATTTCCGGCGTATAAGACAACTCGGCGTATAAGACGACCCCCGTCTTTGGCGCCGATTTCAGCACTCGCGGAAGTCGTCTTATACGCCGGCATTTACGGTAATACTCAGATTACTGCTGCATCTTCCTTTGCCTCAATTCAGTTCCCTTCCAAGAGACTCAGGATTCTCCTCTACCTCTGTTTCTAGACTGGGGATGAAAGGAATTAAGTTTAATTAACTAAAGGGTTTATTTCTGGTCCTTGGAAACAGGGTCCCTTTAAGGACTTCCCAAAAAGTCTGCTACTCTCAAAGGTTGAACGCTTCATCTAGCACAGTAGTTCTCAACCTGTGGGTCGGGACCCCATTTGGGGTCGAACAACCATTTCACGGGGGTCGCCAAACGACGCAGTCCACCATTTTTTCCCACTTTTCCTTAGCGTGCTACTCCCTTTTATTCTATTGGCTTTTGAAAGCCAATAGAATAGACTCTCTTGAATAGAGTCTAATTCTATTGGCTTTCAAAAGCCAATAGGAATTGTCCAGGCTGTCTCTGCCCTGCTGAGCCCACCAAAAGTCCCATTCTACAAATGGTGCTGCACCAGTTGAGTAGTCCTTGACTTACGACCGGTTGAGTAGTCCTCGACTTACGACTGGTTGGGGATCGCGGCATTAAAAAGGTTGAGAACCACTGATCTAGCATCTGCCATCTAGGTTTTGAGACACAGATATCCCTGCAGCCATGGCTCTGAGCTTCAGTCAGTTCCAGGTAGTATAAATGTGGACTGGCCAATTGTTTTAACACCTTCACGTTGGAAGACTGCCAGTCATATTTTGAGAACCGTCTGTAAAAGTGGTTTGGGCCAGGCAGATCAGTTTGTTTGTAGATTTTTAATGGAAAATCATTCCAATTGGCTATAACGTTATCCAGAAATCTGCTGGATTTGATTGTATTTATTAAACAAAAAATATATGGCTACCCAACTCACACATGCTGACTGCTTACAACAGGGGTTCTCAACCTTGGCAACTTTAAGACTTGTGGACTTCAACTCCCAGAATTCCTCAGCCAGGAATTCTGGGAATTGAAGTCCACAAGTCTTAAAGTTGCCAAGGTTGAGAACCCCTGATTTACAACATTAAAAAAATCTACAACATAAAATCCCTTGTCCCCTTGAGCAGCAGCAGATACACTCCCACCAGCTACAACTTCCTCATACTATGGACATATCAGCCTAACTTTATGTCCTGCAGATATGTAGGATTACAACTCACTCAATCAAGACAGCTATGGCTCCTCAGGAACAATCATCCAACACAACCGAAAGGCACAAATTAGGAAAGACTGACAACAGAAACACTTTTTGAGATGAAACACATTTTTTGGGCAGGTAAGCTGGAAGATCTATTATTTTCTCTGAGTTGTCCTTTTCGGTATTCTATAAAAGTATATTTTTAGCCCATAATGAATTGTTTCCTTTCAGAACAGGTTTTATGCACTTAGACTGTTTTGTTTTCACATTTACTTTCATGGCATATTTTAGATGTGAAAATTTCAATTTTTGAGGGGCATTTTAGCTTTTCTCTTTTTTGCTTCAATAGCATTTTTTTCTTATACAACTTTGATTTCAGAATGTTAAAAAAATAAAACTAGTTAAAAAATTTAGATCTGATTCTAAGGAGAGTTAAGAATGATACATTCTATTGTTACTATTTTATAAATGTGAAATTTGAATTGCAGCACAATATGTTTGCAACAATGCACTTGAAACAAAATTTACAGTAAGTTAAAAGTGAAAATGCACATATTTTGCTTCTAAAATAATTACATTTGTTACTGTTTGGGCACATAGTTTACACAAGAAATGATATTATAAAATCTCAACAAC